AGGAGGAAGGGGTTTCTGGGGAGGAGGAAGGTTCTGGGGAGGAGCGGGTTAGGGTTATGACGTCGTCTTTTTCGAGGCCGAGGAGGGTTTTGGAGAGGTTGGTGTCGAGACCTTCGGTGGGGAAGATGAATTCGCCGCGGAAGAGCTGGGAGAGGAAATGGACTTGGGCGCGTAGGTCAGTGTATGACATGCGTTGGTACTCGGGCCCGCCGCCCTGCTTGACGTGTGTGTATAGTGCTGCGCTGACGAGACTTTGCAAGATGAACAAGTGGATGGTCATATTGCGGTAGAAAGAGAGCTGGAATCGATCGACGGCGTAAAATGTGTCTTCTGGGAGGTCAGGTACAAGGCCGACGAGCCCTGGGCCGAGCACTTCAAGTGCGCGGTCGACGACAACGCTGGTGGGGAGATTGCCAAAGTGTGCTACGCGGCCCCCTTGGGCTCGCACACGGTCACTAAGCCATTCTACGCGTCGGATGAGTTCAGTTTTGCCGACACCACGGCCGCGAAGAGTGAGCAGGACGGTGCCTACCAACGCCGTAGGCATGACGACTGAGACGTCATTGATTTCCGACAGCACTTTGTACCCCAGCGTGCGGAGGATACGGAGTCGATCTTCTTTGGTATCGATTTCTTGGGGAAGCTTGGAGAAGCGATCGCGTTGTTGGGTAATGAACGACTTGAGAGACCAGGGCTCGTGGAAACGGACGTCTACACGGCCAAGCTTGAGCGAGAGGACGGACGAAGCAGACAAGAAATCCATGAGATTTTCTTTCGGCTTTGGCTGGCCGAGGAGCTCGCTAATATACGAGCTGTTCACTGTTAGTATCCATGTTCATCTTTGAGAAATTTCGCAGACTTACTCAACCTCAATGACCTTGTCATACTGCGTTGAAACCGGACAAATTATGGCATCGTCTACCCGGCCACTGGCAACACTATCCAGCATGTAACTCAAGATGCCAAACTTTGGTGGCAGCAGCTTGCCTGTTCGACTCCGGCCTCCTTCGACGAAGCACTCAAGGTTATAACCACATCGCAACAGAGTATCTATGTATGCCTGAACCAGCGTGATATACAATTGATCGTCTCCGAAGCTCCGTCGTATCCACATGGCGCCTGCATGTTGAAGAAATGAACCCACAACTGGAAAGTTTAAGTTGTCGCCAGCTACAACGGTGGGCAGGGCAAGACCAAGCCTGTAGCAGATAATCTGGAGAGAAACATAGTCGACATGGGAGCGATGGCAAGGCAGGAATATGATCGAGTGCTTGTCCTTGGCGGCTTTTTCAGCTACCGCGCGTAACCGCAAGACTTCCTCGCTTGAAACGTGAACACCCTGATGGTATGCCCTGGTGAGGAGCTGAGTTGCAAAGTAGTATGCACCTCTTATAAAAGGCCTGCTCTCCATTTTGCATATCATCGAGTCTGTCCACCCCTCGCTGACCTGCATGAGTGACTCTTCAATCTCGGCCCTCCTCTTGGACTTTCTATCTTCGTCGTTTAGCAATCCCTGCTTGGCTTCAACCTCAATTCTCTTGTCCGCCAGTTCACGTATTTTGGTGATGAGCATTGGGCTGCTCAGCACCCTTCCTTTCATATCTTCACTGAAGCCCGAGTAAAACTCTGGCTGGCCAATGTGGTGATCAAAAGAACGCCATCCTGTTCCAGAGAAGTGAAGCGACACTTCGCGCAAAAAGTCCAGAGGCGAGGAGCGGAAGCGCGCGAAGCTGTGTATGAGGCCGCGATCGGGCGACTCATTGTAGCCGGCTGCGTGGAGATGCACATTGTCGTCTGCTGTTATGCTGAGGTCGGGAGCTTGTTCAGAGGTAGACGAGGGTGAAGCTTGAGGGCTCTGCACCTCGTCTGAGCGGGTCATGGTGTCCAGAGGGCAGGAGGTAGCTGATGCGCCGGGCGGAGATGCGTCTCGTCAGGGGGAGTTTGGGACCAACTGCGCTGATGACATGGGAAGGCGCGTTTTCGGTCAGGGTCGTAATTGATCTACTTGTTCTGTGGGTCCGTGGGCTGTGGGTGGTGTAGTGTTATGGCATTGTCAAATAAGGCGCGAGATGCGTTGCCTGGCAAGAATGACGGCGCGACTGTTGAACTTGAGGTGGACCCACTTCCCCGGCCTATCCCTTGGGCCTCGGCTTGTGGGGAAGGCATAGCGGGCCTGCATCGCCTCCGATTCGCCAGCCACCGGACTGCTACGGATACTGGTATAAGCATTCGAACATTATTGCAAATCTCACTGATTCGCATTTTCAGCGAATTACAAGCAATGCTCTTAATTGTTGATGAAGTTGTACGGATATTTCTTGACCAGAGATACCGTGTCAAAGAGGCTATAGCCAAGCCAAGATGCTTTAAAACACTTCCCAAAGACTGACTTTGCCATCCTTGGCCCCAGCAGCAACCCAATGCTTCATCTTTGTTTCGTTCTCGCGCTCCTGCCCACGGCTCTCGACACGTGTTTCTGGCTCTGAGTCTTCCACTGCTAGGTCTTCTGCTGTCAATATGTCGGCAAATGCTACTGCGTAGACGCCTTCCTTGTGCCACTTGAGCACTGCGACTTCCTTGAGAGTTTTGCTACTATATATGCGAACGCGAGCATCCCAACCTCCGGTGACAATGAGCCGGCCGTCAGAGCGGACTCGGAGCGATTGTTGGCCAGCATGTTTGGTGTCTATGATTTTGTATGCAGGCTCTAACGCCACTACCGATTGGACTGGCGGTGCAGGCTTGATGCGGGGAAGTGGTGTAGAGGACGACGAGAGTAGAGATGATAAACCACCTGGCTTGGGAGTTTCCGATGTTTTTCCCTTGGCAGGCGGCTTCGCAAACAAAGGTGGGGACTCGGAGGAGTCGACGGGCTGAGGCACGCCCTCTATTGTCTCTGATAATCGACTGGCAGGCGCTGATGGCGGTATCATGGTAGTTTCATCTTCACCTTCCTCATTGGCATCGAGAATCAGCTCGGGCACACGATGCTTGGCCAATTTGGCGTCAGCAGATGAAGTGAAGAAGAAGTCGCCATCCGGCGAAGCATCGAGTGACAAGACGGGCTGAGAATGGGGCTGGCTGAGGTAAATAAGCTCAGCAGAGCCGACGGAAGGGCCGGTGCAGTCACCCGGGAGCTTGAAGGCTGCGGCGACGCCACCCTCGTACCCAGCAAGGAGCAAGATGGTTCGCGAGCGTTGATGGCGAAGCAACCTGACAGCCATGACCATGCCTAGGGATATTAGCGACTTTTGTGGTTGCAGGGTTGACACAATGACGCGTACCTGTCTCGACTGTTTGCACTCGCGGGACTATGATTTTGAGGGTCTCGTCCGGAAGGAGCCATACTTCAAACTGCTTGTCGTCCCTCCCCGGAACAGCTACGAGGATGGGATTAGGGCCTGTCTGGTCTGTGCGGGGCAGCGTGTACTGGCAGCACATGGAAAAGGCGCAGAAATTGAGGGTGTTGACAGGAAGCGAGTGGAGCAGCCATGGCAGCGGCTGGGTGTGGTCGTCTGAATCTGCAGGAAGAGCGATCTTGTCTGGCAGACGACCTTGTGGCCTCAGCTGCCATACTCGGAGGGTATTGTCTCGACCATGACTGTGAGGCACACGTTAATCAGATGAATTTTTTTAAAATGAGGATATTTGGCAGGGACGAATGAGGGACGAGCAAGGGGCGCATGCGTGGTGTATGTAAGGGTGGATAACGAGAGCAACGTACGTGAGGATGCGGTCGTGATCCCATTGGGCGAGGGCGAGAATGGGGCCCGCATGGGCCTTCCACACGTAGACGGCCCTCTTGGTAGCGAGACTCCAATAGACGACGCAGCCATCGGCATCGCCAGTGAGAAGATAGGCGTTGCAGCGGACAAAGTGCACACAATGGATCTGGGAAGCGTGGCCGCGGAGAATGCAGGCGGGCAGGGCGGGTGGCAGGGTGGACGAGTGTCGGGCGACAGCCATGTGTGGTAAGGGTAAGCTGAAGTGGTGGTCTTGGGCAAGACGGCGCGAGATGAGATCGGCGAGGCAGGACGAGTGGGGCGAACACAACCAACGACGGGTGGAGGCATTTCGGCTGAACGGTCGAGGAGAAGGAGACCATGTCGAGCCTAAGACAGCCCAGGTAGTATTAGCTGCATGCCCATACCCATACCCATACCCATTACCCACACGGCGAGCTGACGGCGGTCGATGCTGGCGTCATGAGAGCGACGCCACGAGGCCGGGGCTGGTATCTGCAATCCTCCTGTATGTATGTGCGTGCTTGCATAGATACAGCCAAGTGCAATGCGTATCTACGTATGTGTGAGTGTAAATACTTGGCTAACGTCCTTCCCTGCCTGCCGGAAACCCACCAGTGCTTCTCATCATAACAAAGTCAACAATAATCAAGAGGCGCAGATAAGCTAAGAATAAAGAAATTAACCGTACGGTAAATCCAGAAGCAGTATAGCTGTATTCTAGCAGTGCCCCCGCATGCCCCCTGCAGTGCTAATCATGCTGGACGGTACTAGTGGCTTGTGTGCCTGATTTTCGCCACCTGTGGCTCAGTCTTCCCAGTCAACGATTTTCGTCTCACACTGTCATTGAATTCAGCATATCTCGACAAGGCCCTGGCTAGAGCAGGTCGGCCGTCCTCCCTGCTAGCGTGATTAAAGCGTTCACCCACTCGTTAAGTTGTGAATATATTAGATTTAGTCGCATTCGAACGCACCCTCCGCTAAAGTCTGACTCCGCATGATGCACGTCTGCGCTGATACAAAGCCACACATTGAGCTGAGCATTCAGTCCCACCTGTCCTGAGCGAAGCTGTCCCTTCAAATCTACTCTTGAACTGTCTCGTGCTTGGAACCCAATCTTAGGTATAGTTAGTATTTTGTTTTGCTGTTATGCTCGTTAACCTTGATGACTAAGTATGGTATTCTTAGCCGACGAGTGGGTTGCCGTGCTCTTATCTCTCTGTCGCGTTTAAACTAGGCCATAACCCATCTGGCCCCCGTCCAACTCCACACGAAACAATGCGTCTTTTGCGACGCAGCAGCACTGGCGACTTTTGCCTGACTAAGGATTTGGTTGGCGATGAGACTATCCCTCCATATGCGATACTTTCGCACACATGGGATGTAGACACAGAGGTCACCTTTGCAGACATGACAAATGGGACTGGCAAGGATAAGTTTGGTTATAGGAAGATCCAGTTCTGTGGAGAACAAGCCAAACAAGACGACTTGCAATACTTTTGGATTGACACTTGTTGTATCGACAAGTCAAACCACGTTGAGCTTCAGGAGGCTATCAATTCTATGTTTCGCTGGTACCAGAATGCGGTGAAATGCTACGTCTACCTATCCGATGTTTCGACAGCAAAGCCGAATGCATACGAATTCTCTGAGTTTACTTGGGAATCGTCTTTCCTGGAAAGCAGATGGTTTACCCGGGGTTGGACCCTTCAAGAGCTTCTTGCCCCGCATTCAGTCGAATTCTTCTCCCAAGAAGGCTCGCGTCTAGGTGATAAGAAATCGCTAGAGCGGCAAATTCACAAGATAACGGGAATCGCTACCCTAGCCCTTCGAGGAACCCCATTAGAGGAGTTCGGTATTGAGGAGCGATTATCGTGGGCAAAAAGCCGTCGAACCACGCGTAGAGAAGACAAGGCATACTCGCTACTGGGTATATTTGGGATCTACATGCCGCTCATCTATGGTGAAGGCGAGGACAACGCATTCAGGCGGCTCCAGGAAGAGGTCAACAAGCCTTCAAGCGGCATCCAACGGAAAATGAATTCGCTTTCTATTGTAGACGCATCCATAGCCACCATCCAACTTATCAATGCCGCATCGATATCGATATCCTCCTTTATACGATCCGTCCGCGAATCTCGGTCAGATCTTAACATTGTCGAAAATGAACTGCAATCTATCAAGAGGACGCTTGAGCTGCTTCGCGAAGATCTGGACACGGAATCCGGTAGCGAAGCGTCAACATCACTTCCTATCTCCTTTAAGAAACAAATCCTTGGAATTATAGACTGTTGTGCTACCACAATCAGGCAGATCCAAGAATCCCTTGAAAAGTCTCGCAACTTTCTTGCCAAGTCTGTCGCTGGCCAGATCAGATGGGCCATGAACGGAAAATTAGATATCCAAAGACATCACTCCGTGCTTGAGTCCAATAGACGGGCATTGGAGATTGCGGTCGACCTGCTTTCCTGGACAATGACAAGAGAAGTCAAGGACAAAGCTGTCATCCGAGATGATACTTCTCACATCAGGCAAGATACGGTGCGAATCCTGGAGGAAATAGCCAGGCTACAGGAGCAACTACCTCGAGATCTGGCGCAACCTAGAGATGAGCGCGGATTTCTGCTAGACAGATATCTGGAAAGCCTCACGTCCTACACCGAAGTACTCACTGCCGAAATTGACGCTGACTGGGATGGTAACATCAACGATGACTTGTCTAAATTTGACGGGGATGCACCTCCAAATGATCTGGTTATCCCCCAGCCTTCTCAAACTCAACTTGTCTTGCGCTCTTTCAGCAATCAGGCCCACGAGCCTGCCTTGGAGAGTCTTCAAAAAATGGGCTTTACAGGACAATATTCCACTCTTCCTAAAAGCTTCCTCCTCGCAGTCAACAACCGCATTTCAAGAGACCAATTCCTTCAGCTACGAAAAGGGGCCCTGCCGTTCAAGAAATCCGCGCCGTTGCTTTCCATTGGGGCCTTCCTCTTCCCGGGCACAATCCGCGCCGTCACCGAGCGCATGTCACTCCGCGACATCGCGCAGAATATGACGCCAGCGGTGCTCCGCGGGTATCAACGGCGTACAGTCAAGGGTGCGGCATATCCAGCGCTTATACCGAGTAGTGATCCGAATGTTGAGACAACAGGAATGATCATATTTGGACTAAACGGTGCGGATCGGGAGGCGATGGATGGTTTCCAGGGGGGCATGTACGATTTGAGCCGGGTGACGGTGGAGATTGAACTCCAGGATGGTACTAAGGAGTTCCATGAGGCTTTGGCGTATATCTGGAATGGATCATCGACGGAGCTTGTTCCGGTGGAAGATATGTCTTGGTCACCGTTGGATATGCTCCGTGATAGATGGTTGTCTGGGATACTCGAATTGGTAGAACACGAGGAGGCAGCGCTTTAGCTTGATACTACTAGAAGAGCAATCTTATAAGGCTTCTACTGAAATTCGCAGTCTACTGAGGACAGTAGGAAATGTTGCCCGATATAGTACACCAGTCGGGAGAATCTAGTCTCCAATTGAAGAGACGAGCGGGCAACCCGCTCATTCTACTCAGGGTGTCAGTCTTGGAGAGCATCGCATGTCTCTCAACATGTTGAGCAGGCTGGGCGCTTTGGGTGGTGCGGCTGGGAGGCTTGCATATGGGTGAGTGGCTCAGCGTCAAGGTGTGTCTTAGACTTACTCGCTGTTCGTATATAATGACGTGTATGTAAGTTAGGTCGAGCGATGATGTCAGCATTGCTAGCATACCGCTAGTCTCTTTTAGATATTTCGATACAGGTGCAGGGGGATATCACATATGTACTTAAATAGATACATACGCAGATACGCACAAGTAGTGCCCATGCGATTGCCGATGGATGGATGCAGGGATCTCGTATGGCGACGAGCTTATTTGCAGCTGTCTGCAACATTAGACGAGTCTCGCTCCCTGCACCGCCACGGAGCTGCCGACGGTCGTAATCATGGACGTTCTTGACAAGTATCCGCGGGTCCGACACATGCTTGTAGGTTGCTGCCCGTTGTTCGCTCCTCACGCCCAGCCCAGGCCCGTTTGCGTTTGCGCATTGCGCCCGGGACGGCGCGCACATGACGCCCTCGCACTCGCACTCACACGTCGCCCGTCGCCCGTCCAGCCAATGCGCCCAGCGCCAATGCTCTCTTTGAATAGTTACTACTACTACTTACTACGCACATCACACGCAGTCTGCGTTACCCGCGCTGCCCCTCGCTTCATGGGCCCTCGCCTCGCCTCGCCTCGACCTGCCCCTCGCAGGCCCCGGCAGCCACTGCGCCCCCATGCCATCGCCCGCCCGTCCTCCCTATTCCCCGTCGTCGCTCGCCCGCCCGCCCAGCTCCCATCCAATATTCCACCCGTCTGACGCCTTGGCCCTAGTCGACATTCATATTCGTTTCTTTCCTTCTTCCTTTTTAGACGCCTCCTCCGTTTTGCTTCTGCTCTGCTCTCCCCCGACTCGGTGTTCCAGACTCGCGCCCGACACACACATCTCCCTCCCTCCGATCCCATTCCAGACCATTAACTCCATCTGCGCCCTCCAACCGTGCGCCCTTGCCTCGACTTCTTACCAATCCACTCCGACTCCCCAAAAACCCCCTCCAAACCCACAGTCACAACAACCACATCCACAACCACAAAAGTGGAGGGGTTAACGTAGTCGCTTCGCTGCACGCCCTACTCTAGGGTCGTGGTGGCCTCACGCCCAGCAGCCCCCCTGTGCAGCGACCATCCTCGAACCGGCTCTGTGCGCAACAGCAGCGGCACCATGGCAGACACTGCTACGCCCTCTTCCAACAATGACTCTCCCACAAATAAGACGCTGCCCACCAGGAAACGAGCGAGCGACACCACCGTAGATGACAAACCAAAGCGCACGCGCACCGGCTGCTTGACATGCAGAGAGCGCCATCTCAAATGCGACGAGACCAAGCCCACTTGCAACAACTGCCTCAAATCCCAGCGAGAATGCAATTGGGGCAAGAAGCTCAACTTCCTCGACACCACCTGCGAGCGAAACGCATATCTGATCCCCCAGGGCATCGACTACCAAGTCGCCTTCATGGATGAGTCTCGCACAATCGCCTCCGAATATGTCGGTGGCCGAGAAATGTATCCTGTTGAGGAAATGGAGTCTCACATGCCCATGGCCGACAATGCCTTTGGCATGGCCCCACCCCCTGCGTCGCGTCAACACCTCCCACCAATGCAAGGCATCGCCCATGACTCGTACCAACAAGCACAACTCAACTACAACCTGGATCAGCACCGCACACAGCATCAACATGGACGCACAAGTGAGCTCGTCCACCATTTTCGATAAGAAAAACTCTGTTGCTAACTTGCATAGTATCCAATTACTCAAGCGGCCCAACTCCTTCCTCATACACCATGGAACACTCGGCTAGCCCAGGTCCCCTTCCTACGCGCGACTATCTAAAAAGCCAAGAGGAGGTGCTGTACATGCAAGTCTTTGTTGAAGAAATCGGTATCTGGATGGATAGCATGGATGCACATAAGCACTTTTCACGTCTACTGCCCTTCCACGCCCTCAACGAACCTATGTTACTGCATGCTTTTCTTGCATGTGGTGCACGACATCTTGCCCTTGTCAACCCAAAGTACAGCGAGGAAAAGGCCCTACATTACTATGATGTAGCCACACGCGACCTACTGCATTCCCTGCAGAACCCCGACCGTGACACCATTCTGTGTGCGACCACTGCTGTCATTCTAAACGTATACGAAATCATGGCCGAGCGCGCATTACAACGCATGAACCACATTGCTGGCGCCCGCGCCTTGATCAAGGAGTGCCGTTGGAATGCCAGGTCCACAGGCATTGGCGCAGCGTGTTTCTGGCTCAACGTAGGCATGGAGATTCTGAGCTGTCTGCACTTCAATTGGCAGGTCGCGTGGGATCCAGACGACTGGGGCATCGAAATGGACTTTACCGCAGAGACTGAATCAGGAAGGGAAGAAGTTTGGACACACCGGATTTTGTACATTGTCGCTAGGATATGCAACTTCCGCGCCTCAATACCACGTAACCAAGATGTCGCCAGGCAAACATTACACGACCGCCACAATGAATGGCTGCGGCTCAAGGAAATGACTGACAGATGGAATGAAAACATCCCCAGGACTATGCACCCAATGGCCTACCTGTACCCTGGACAGACCATTTCCGGCTCTGCATTTCCAGAAGTTTGGTTAATCAAACGCGCATCCATCATCGCGCGCCTATTCTACCACACGTCCTTGGTTTTGTTAGCCCAAATCAACCCCGTACAAGCAGCCAGCGAACCGGAAATGTGGGCCATGCTCGAGCAGAATTCAAAGTTCATCTGCGGTATTAGCGCACATGTCAAAGATCGTGGCGTCGCTAGCGTGGCGCTAAGATCACTCGCTATTGCGGCCGAGCCTCTGACCGACCGCCGCGAGCAAGAAGAGGTTCTCCAAATCTTTGATAAGATCAGACAGGAGACGGGGTGGCGCGTGGGCTTCGTCAATACAGAGTTGAAACAAAAATGGGGCTGGGACACACCACAAAACCAAGACCAATCGCAACAACAGCCGCTGCCGCCGCCTCAGCAGCAACAGCAGCAGCAGCAACAGCAGCAGCAGCAGCAACAACAGCTCAACGGCCAGATGCAAGACGGCAACGTCATGTATCAACAGCAGCCGCAAATGGTAGTTCAGCAAATGTCCCAGGTCTCTCTAGCGCCTGTGCCAGCCCCGGCTCCCGCCCCAGCACCTCGAAGGCCAACAGGCTTTGGCAATCCTCTTCTTGTCGCAGACTTTAGTATGCCGCAACATCCTTACCAGGCACATTATGTTCCAGCCAATATCGTCCAACAGCAGCAGCCCCCAACACTTCTCCAGCCGCCACTCAACGGAGTCAACGGCTACGGCGCTCATTTCTTCTAATACATTCTTGCCGTCCTCAGACGCCGCGACCGCGCCTCATCATCTTTCTTCATACACCAGTGTATTAGTGTCACTCTATTACTTCATGAAAGTTTCTTACATGTACAAAAAGCAGCTAAAACATACAAAGGCGGCATTGTTTGCGGTATCTTCTTTTGGTTCTACACACGTTTACTTAACGGCGTCTGTCGAGGATGGATGTTTACTTCTTTCCGTTGTAACGACATAATGAGCGGATTTGTATGGGATTAATTTGATTGCTCGTGGAGCTCATCTTTGGGACTATTGTTGTTTTTGGCTCTTTAGCATTGGGTTGGGTCAGAAATGTAACCTGAGAAAATTTCGTTTCTTGTAAATATACACATATACCTTGGTTTTACACCCGTTCTGGTGTACAAGTTCAAGTAGAGATACTCAGTAGATAAAAATACGCATCCTGTTGACAAGTCCTGTTCTTGGCTCGCTTGTCCCCGCTTCTTTTCCGCGTCTTTTGTCGTTCTTCTCCATTCAGACTCGTCTCGCTTGATTGTCTTGACTGAAGGTATGATTTGGTATCATGTGAGCACCAGCAGCTCACCGATGGCTACAATATGAACAGGCCATCAAGCATAACCGAATATCTGCCGTGAACGTGCTGGCACTAAATATGTCGGGACTACGGTGGTGATGTTGGCGACGCCCGAGTCGGTGGTGAGAGAAGCGTTTGCTACGTTTTTGAACCGGCTGCGGGCAATGCGGTAGTTGGAACGGATGGTGTTGAACCGAAAATACATATCCCGCAAGTCACATGTCGCAGTTGGGCGAATTAATGACAGCAGAGACGCAAGATCGTAATGGTGACAGCAATGATGCCGCTAAGCAAGGGAAGATGGAGTTATTGCTATGTAATGTAGTGCAATTTAAAAGGCTAGAGCAGATGATCTCGACAAGAAGAAAATGCTCAAAACCTAGCCACGGTCTCTCCCTGTTCTACACAGATCTCGATCGGAATGTAGTAGAAGTTACGAAGATTCCAAAAATGGGGCGCAATGCGGTCCATAGCAATACTCTCTTCTTCGAAAACTGGAAAGTTCTAGCTGAGGATCTAATTGGACAGGAAAGCGATGGTTTCAAGATAATAATGCATGGACTAAACGCCGAGTGGGTGCTCGTAGGCGCGGAGGCCCTAGGCATCAGATTCGCTGCTGCTCGTCAGGCATCAAACTATGCCAAAGATCGTGCGGTTTTTGGTAATCCCATTGGTAAATACCAGGGGATCCAACACCCACTCGCAGAATGCTGGATGAATCTGGAAGCGGCAAGGCTAATGCTCTATCTTGCAGGACGCTTGTACGATCAAGGGTACGAAAGTGGCGAATACGCCGATTCTGGGAAATTTCTAGCTTCAGAGGCTGCTTTCAAGGCCGCGGAACGAGCAGTACTGTCTCATGGCGGCATGGGCTACGCAAAGGAGTATCACATCGATCGTTACCTGAGAGAGGCCACATTATCAAGAATCGCTCCGATCAGTGGTGAAAAGACCAAGAATTATATAGGTCAGCGAGTACTGGGTCTACCTAGAAGTTATTGTTTATGTATGGCGAAGAGCAGCTTTTCTGCTCGGATACAGAGGCGAGTAGCAATGATCATTAGTAACAGTATCAGGTATGTTCTGATAAGGTCCTTGTAGCAAAGAATTTGCACCAGATGTTCGATAGAAATCTTTTTGCGTAATACAGCAAATGAAAATCTAAGATTAAATCGCGTTGGTGATGTCTTCCTGCTGCCCTGGAACGTAAAGCTGAAGCCCCATGCGCGGGGTTGGTAGAGAACACTTGTGATCGGTCGGTACGATTCCATGTAAGCGGTCACGAGATATGGATGGGCTTATCTTCTGACTTTGACACCAGAGGCAAGTGCTTCCTTGGTTACAACTCTGGCCTGAGAGATAGCCTCCTCTACGGTACAATTTTGATTTGCCCTACTGAAGGCCTCAATGACCGACGCAAAAACCACAATCTCATCAGCACCGGCTGCCCTTGCATTTTCCAAGCCTTTCATGTTTGGCGCGAGAACGGGGAAACGGAGGTAAGATTCCGACAACTTTCTCGACTTTGCGAATTGCAGCACATCTTGAAGAACGGCCCGTCCATCTGCGAGCTGAGGCACCTATTTTGGTGAAACGAACGACTTTGCCTCGATTTCCTGCAAACCAGTCTCTGCGAGACGCTGTATCAACTCGGTCTTGACTTCCTGGGGCACCAACTGATTGATGTTCTGGAGCCCATCTCGTGGTCCAACCTCCATGATCCGAACATGGCGGTCGCGGGCAATGGTACTCTGCAGTTGATATTGCTTTGTCAGTGAACGCGGTGTTACCAGTCTCTTGAGGTGATGGCATCCAATCCTAATGCCACCCACCAATAGTGTCAAGTGGAGGCCCACTGATAACCGCAAATTCTGGTAGCCCATTGTAACGCAGGCTGGTCGTCTACGATTGCACCGCTTATTGCGATTGAATAAAGGCTATAGCTCATTTCCTTTCCGTTTATATGGCCAGACTACTACAAGGGTTCCCATATTGGTTTCAATGCTGTCATAACATGACGTTGTAATTGGCATTGCAAGGACTGCCGAGGAACCAAAGCCGCGTACTATAAACACCGAATATCCTCGGCAACTGAAACGGGACTAATTTGTTTATTTGTAGTTCAATTATGAAGTCTAACCAACTGTGGGAAAAATAAGGTGATTTATACTAAAGCCATAGCCGGCACATCATTCGCTTCCCGGAATACTCCGAAGACGAGACTCACTTTCAACATGGCGTGTGACAATGTCACAGAGGGATGTGCTTCTACTGGTTTGGCCGAATGACAGATTCGATCGAAAAACGGTTGCCTGCCATATCCAACTTCCCTGCCAATTGTCATCAGTTGAGCTATCTTGCAGGATATTGATCCTCCATTTTCGCAGCTACAACAACTGCCACATGGCGTGATGCATAGTCTGACTCTAGTCATTTTGGTCATGCAAAAGGTGAATTGAAGCGGCTACAAGATGAGGCTTGGCTGGTGCACAAAACCGTTTGAGAATGCCAATCCTGCATGACTGAGCACAGAAAGATATTACGGGGGAGCTGTGTGTAGGTAATCTATATGTTCCAGTGGTTCTGAGCAACAAAACGCCATCGAAAAGAGGTCTTATTGTCTCGGTTGATTACCCAAACATGTCGCCAGTCAATTCTCCGGTCTCTTGAAGTCATATCTTGTGTGATGTTATATTGTGCATACTATGATGTAATAGGCACGTGATTGTTTTAAGGCCATACATATATTTACCAGATAACTATCGCGGGTAGAAGAATTCAACCAGCTCCCACCCAAAAAAACATTGTTTCCTAGTTGCCACCTATCAGTACTTTAACTACGTACCGATTGTGGGTCGAAAGCCTATTCCTTACCTTCTTTTCGCGCTGCGACATCTTATCGCTGCGACAGCACTGTGTACCGCGGAAGGAAAGGCCTATGTAAAAGAGATAAGGGCTGATTTATTTAAGCCCCTTGACTTGGCCTCATCTAGTTCTGTTATTGGCGATGTAATAATTAAGTAGATGATATAAGATCATCAATAACTACATATAAGAATTACTTAGCCATGGATTGAGAAGCACAGCCCGTAGATATCGCGCCATAACTCAGCATTATCATAGAAAAGATCTTGACCTTATTTCATAACGCGTTCTCATGGCTCCACGTCGTCGGAGATTTTCGTAGTAATCGATGCCAAGGAAAGCGTGAAAGAACACCTTCTATTTTCATGTACAATGCCACGCTTCAATACCAGGGCGCTCGTTTCCGCTGAAATCTTGAGCGGACCTCACTACAGTTTGGCTGAAGGTTCAGATGCAGCGTGTAATACCTCATCCTTGGAGAATTGATAATAGTAATCAAGACACTTGGGATTTGCAATGGCGCGAGATGGTGTGATGGAATTTCCGGAAACAATCTGCTTGACTGGGAGTTCGACCTTCTTTCCGTTGAATGTCATCTGTAACATGAGTAAGCTCGCTTTAGAATCTTGCCCTCTCCGATGCACTTACTGGTATCTCTGGTGTTTCAAATACGAACTGGGGGACATGCCGCGGGCTCAATTGTCTGCGGATCGCATTCTTGATTTCATCTACCAGCTGAGCAGTGAAAAAATGTCCAGGTCTCAGTAGCAAGAATAGAATAACCTTTTCGTCCGTGTCCTGAACGCGCTTTTGTCCAACGCAAATGCTGTCAGCAATCTGATCAGCAAAGCTGGCCTCGATGACTCCGTATATCTCTGCGCTGCCAAAGCGGATGCCACTTGGATTGAGAACACCATCCGCTCTGCCGAGAAAGATGATCTGCTTCGTGATTGGGTGAACCATTACAAAATCGCCATGTGTCCATACATTGTCGAATTGACTGAAGTAGCTCTCGAAGTAGCGACGAGATCCATCATCACCCCAGAAGCCTACCGGCATACTGGGGAAAGAAACGGTACACACAAGCTCACCAGGCTGTCCAATCGGGAGAGGATTTCCCTTTTGCATACCACCGCCTGTATGTTGCCTAGTTTCGAAAACCTCCACAGCTAGACCTAAAGCTTTACTTTGACATCCCCCCACATACAAGGGTAGGAGAGGATTGCCCGCAGTGAGTGCGCCCGCCAAGTCTGTTCCCCCAGAGATATTGTCTAGATGGACTGTGCTTGGAAAGGCTTCATCGTAGACCCACTCGAACAGGGAATCGGATAGCACCATACCTGTACTTGAAAGAGTCTGTAGGCGGCTTAGATCGGCAACTTTTCGTGGTGAGATGTTGTTTTCGCGCAATGTTTGCAAGAATCGGGGGCTGATGCCCAGATGTGTGACTCCAGTCCTGCTTGCCAAGCGGATGAGATTGGCTGGATCGGGCACGAATGGGCTACCATCATACATAACTATCTTAGCCCCAAGTACCAGACTTAATACCGAAACAAGATACATTATCCACCCAGTGGTGGTATATTGGAGATGGACGGAAGTGTGGTCAATACTTCGATGAAGTCGGCTCTCCTTGCATCCGTTGAGAAGAACGCCACCAATGCAGTGGACAATACATTTTGGCTTTCCAGTTGTTCCTGAAGAATACACGATTAAAAAGGGATCTGAAAATCGACATCGCTCGAAGATAAGAGCATCCGAAATTACGATAGAAAGGAAATTAGCCAGTGTGTAGGATTTAGCGATGGCTGTGATATCGGCGGGCCTGTTGGCGAAACGCACCAGGGCAACTACACCCTGAAACTCTGCAAATTTGCGAAGTCCTTGACTAATCTGCTGCATTAAAGGGCGGAGATCGGTCTCTTTGCGATTGTACAATGCTCGGTCGTCTACGAAAACAAATTTGGGTCGAATCTGGGAGAGCCGCTCCAGGATGCCTCGTGCTCCGACATCAGTGCTGATGGAGCTGAAGATAGCACCAATGCTTGTGGCAGCCAGGAAGACTGTTAACGTATCTACAGAGTTGTTTGCAACGACAGCAATTCGGTCTCCTTTATGAACCCCTCGCGCACGCATTGCCTGCGATAGTCTTCCAACTCGGGTCCGCAATTCCTGCCATGTGACGGGTCGGACCTGTTCGGTCGTTCCTTCCTTGACTTCGAGAATTGCAATGGTTCCATCTTCTTTCCCAGGGGAGTACACGGGTTTTCCAGCATCATTGCCAGCAAATAGTACGTTCTCAGCCCAATTCAAGTAGACACCGGGGAACCACTCTGGTATGGCATCTATACGCGCCGTCTCATTGATGACCATCGAGGGAATAGGCCCTTCGTAGACCAAGGGCAGAAAACTGAAGGTGAAACGCCAAAAGTCCGATCGATGGGCGACAGAATAATTATGCAAATCTTCATACACCTGCCATATGGTCAGCAATGCTCTTCAGATGCTTACGATTCCTATGTTCCGTACTGGGAATTTTAATCCGGTGGCATCCTCCAGACTTTGCTTAAACCTCCACATCCATGTGGTTTGTGGATTTGGGTGGTCCCAAAGCCTGCGGGGTGCCATCATGTTTGGACTTTCCATGAAGATGGGTAGCGTACAGCGCACAGTAACACAAGGTAAGATATATATGTCTTAGTATATTTGAACCCGTATGTTAGTACGCAAGTAGCAGCGAATGCGACGTCGTGGCCATCTCCTCGGTTGCACTTCCACGATAACTGAGCTGAACAGAGTCTCTGATTTTGACATTCGACTCATTAGTTATTCATATATGACGATTGATCTTTTCCATGATTGGTGCAATGTGCAATAGCCGAGGCAGGTTTGTACAACTACCGAGGGTTTCTTCCCTAGTTAGGCAAAGGCTCCTTCAGCAGATGACTGCATCACCATATTGCAATCAATGAATAAAAGTTTCTGTAATAATGATTGTGTTGTGATATTCCATCCCTGTGTTAGAGAATACTATCAAAAAAAACCTGACAACCCTCTAAAATGAGTGTAACGAAAGATTCATTTGACTCAGGTGCGCCAAATATTGGCGGACAAAGCAAGAAGAGAACATACCGCGGGGCTCATCTGGCATGCAAATTAAGCCGAGCATGTCGAAAGATAGTCTGCAATATGCCTAATTGTGATTTTATTGGCTAGGTCAACTGAACCACAGCAGTGCATTTTGCAGAACGGAGCCCATTCCTGTGCATGGTGCACTAGCCATTGCCGAATATGCGAGTTTCCGGAGCTATTCAAACAAAAATTGTGAGCCCAAGCTTGGAGCATGAAAGTAGCCCGTCGCCTGATGTTGTTTAGTCCTGTTCCGCAGTCCTCTGTGGCTTCCCTACGCAGTAAGCACTTGACTTTGCCTCAAATTACGCTGTAGCAACACGGCATCGATCCGCCAAGCGGGGGACGACCACTTGTGAAATCACAAGCACCCGCGATCATGGAACTTGCATCATCAAATCTATCTGCCGTGTGTCAGGAGAACAAACGAGAAGTTGAAGAAGAAGGCTTAGCCAAGAACGGCCATGAATGGCGAGCCAAACAGTCGGATCTGACTTTCGACATATTCATGTCTGTTGAAGCAGGCAAACAGTATCAAAAAACCGTATGTGACTTGAACAAGTAGTCAAATCGTCAGAATGGATAAAAACCAGTCTATACAGTTCTGAGACGCCGACAGGACTCCGTGCCTACTTGGAAGAATCGCAGGTGTATAAAATGCAGGACATATGCAAGGCCTGTGCGTACGAAGAAGAGGTTATAGAATAGACAAACCATTCTATTCGTACTTGCTGAGCCATTCCTGGAGCTTGTACGAACCACTGAATCCCGTAGTCCGTAAACTAGACTCGGGCAAGCTTTTGGGCGAGCGAACAGGTTGCAACTGCTTGGTCTTTTTGAAGCGCTGTATGATTGCTATTGGGTCCCATTGTGCTGGTATCACTCATGGTTCTGTGCACGGCTTTAGTACTTCATATAAGCTAGATTTCCGGTTGAAGGCAAAACGCCGCCTGGCTTTTGAATCGTCACACACCCCCCGGAAGTCAGCCATAGCTGGCCTGATAATTCTCAGTGATCTTGAATTTGCTCTCGGTAACAGTGGCCTTGTAGTTCAGTTTACCAGTACGGCGTTGCGGTAAGCACTCATAATCAGCTGTCGCTGTAGTGGAAACTGACCGCATATTGGGATCACACAGCGAATTCTATTCCAGAGGCTTTCCGTCATTGCTTTTGAGCCGATGCGAATATTGGGGGTAAACAACTGGACATGCAAAGTAAAAGCAACAGTGTCTCGAGCTCACGAGAGCCAAGATGACTTTCACTATACGCCAGCTGTCTCCACCCATGATAGACTTCAAGCCTTGGACTTGACCAAAATCTTGGACGGGGCCACATTGGGAACATCTATATGCGACGTTGCCGCGTTAGCCAGTGTCACGATAGATTCAATCAACATGGGGGGAAAACACAATCACGCTACACTCACCAAGATTTTTAGAATCAACGAAAACCTGACCACATGGAATGAGCATTTGGAACAGAAACTCTGTAAAATGCAAGAAGAGCCAACAGGAAGATTGATGGCAGTTCATGCAGCTCAGCTACACTACCACTATGCAGTGGTTCTGGTCCATCGGCATCTATCAGAAACAGTTCCTCCAGATAGAAAAGATGCTACATGTAGGCCATAAGACGAGTGCGTAGTTTCGGCTGCACGCAAAACCTGCGCAAAGCACTCTATACACATAGTTGAGATACTGAACTCTGCGTTTTACAAACTTGAGAGTGTACAGCCTTTTCTCCTCACAATATACTATATAGTAATTCTTTGAGTGTTTCTGCATAAAAACAGCTAAAAGAATATAAACAGGTAATTTCCATGTGTGTGCTTTTCGATGAATTAAAACCATATTCGTGGGGCGAAGGGGAGTCATATATGATAGCGACACACCTAAAGTCACTGCACATAATCTTAGCTAGTTATACTAGCGCCGACATTCATCCCAGCTCAGCTGCTACAGTCTTCTCTTTTTATGCTGATAAGGGGAGCCTTGGCAGCTGCCTCAATCTCTATCAAGGGCTGCTCGATCAATCGCAGCCAACTATTTTGGCTGCCAGTTTTAGCGGTGGATACTGACAAACGGGAGACAGGCCTTTTTTGGGGATCTAATATGGAACCCAATGACCCGAGCATATTGCGACTTGCGGCTCTCCATGCGACTGAGCTCATGTGATGAACTCTTTAGTTGAACCTGGGGTATCACCACACATGGCAGTAAGTTACTTGAACTTGTGCGATGAAAATATTAGAAATACAAAAAATAGATAGATACAACCAATTACTTACAATGTTGCATCAAAACAGAGTGGACCGGCCGAATGAATCGAGGCTATCCGTGCCCACAGAAGAGGTGGAATGAATTTACCGAGGCGTTTATAGCGTGAGAGCCGACCGGCAGAAAGTCCATACTACTACTAGATGAGTCGGAATATCACCTAGTGATCCCTAGGACTTTATAGAGCTTCAATATAGAACAGAATTACGTATTTTCCAGGGTTTGTTCAGATTACTTTCATTCTCCAATGTTTACAGGAGCTTCAACAACCCACCACCCACTATTGCAAGGACGTATCTCGAGATTGTCCGCCTTGAAGGACGACTCCTCCCAAAGGGTAGATGATGCAACCAAATAACGCTGGAAAAAGCGAAGAGTATGAGAAAGCATGGCGACAACACGCAATTTTACTGGCACTGGCCCCGTTTATCTCTGGTTGCGGTGCAGGTATGGTAGCGACGGTAGTGGTCCAGCCGATTAATACTTTGAAAGTTCGAATGCAACTCATGCAGTATGAAAAGTCTAAAGCAGCAGCATCTTCAATGTCGCTCATTCGTGGTCTCATCGTTCAGCGCAGAGTAGCCGAACTGTATAACGGCTTGTCGGCTGGCTTACTACGTGTCATGATGTATGGTACGGCGCGGATTGGCTTATTCACAACGTTTGAAAGTATGCTGCAGCAACGCGCCGCCGAGAGAGGAACATCGCTTGGTTTTGGAAGGCGAGCTGTCGCTAGCATGTCTGCTGGTGCACTGGCGACAACTATAGGGAATCCCACCGAAGTAACGCTGATCAGGATGCAGGCCAACGGAGCAACACCTGGCGCTGATTGAATTCATTACTATAGATCCGCTGTCGATGCGCTAAGGCGCATCATACGGACAGAAGGTATTGCGGTGCTGTGGGCTGGCATGATGCCTGTAGTAGCACGTGCTATGTCCACGAATCTTGGCCAGCTTGTATTCTTCTCCGAGGCAAAGAACTAGCTTCAGCGACATGCTGATCTATCCCAAGAGTAACGCAGTGTCACAGTGGCTGCTATTGGGGGTTTTGCAGGTGCATTTATCAGCCAGCCGTTTGACTTTTGTGAAGACGAGACTGCAGAATCAGAACTTAGGCCCATCTCGCAACGTCAAAAGTTAAAATTTGCGGCAAGATCTGTATAACAGCACAATCGATTGCTTCTCGAAGGTGGCGCGCAGCGAAGGCTTTGGCAGATTCTATGGCGACTTTTGGCCCTACCTTTTCAGGGTGGTGCCCCAATCGTAAGTCAGCATTGTGGTAAACTCCGGCTATGATGTGACACTGATGTATAGAAGCTAGCGTGATCACTCTTTATCTTACAGATCATTTCTTGCGCTTGATGCGGCAGTGGATTTTCGTTAGTAGCCATCTCTCGCTGACTGTTTCTTTTTGAACGTTCACTAATGTTGCTCAAGTCTAAGCGCACACATGCTTCTGGTTCTAGATAGCCGTGTTAGATTGGTGCAAATGAAGCAACTTGTTGACAATATCTAGACAATGAGAAGTGTTTTGCGGAGTGATGATTAGGAAACATGTGAACTGAAGACCACTAGGATAGTACAACGATATGATCCATGGACATAATAGTGGCCGGATAGCGAAGCCATTGAGGGTATCCAGTGGCGCGAAAAACTTCTCGGCAACATAATGCAGAGGGTGGGTGCTCTTGTCACTGGAAGTTTCTTGGACGGCAAAAGCACCATCAAACTTGCAATCCATGGCGGCCCTTACTTCTATAGTTGCTGCCTCAGACCTTGATACCGATTGTTTGTCGATTAAGGTATGGTGAACTATCAGCCATGGAGCAGTGTCATCATCATAGCCTACTCGCGTACGGTCGCTTTTTGTGGGGCAGTACCAATGTTGTTCTTTTGTGATCATTCTTCGTGTTCGGTTCCGGTTTAGTAGCAAGTACCTGTAGTTCTTTGATTGCCGAGGTATTTTACCACAGATATATAAACGTATCCCAGGGACTGATATAAGGCCACAAAGACTTTGAGAGCATACGGTGGTAGCTGTGTTTTGAATGACAGGCCAAAACGACCTCGAGACTAGAAACAGCAGGCTGACTGATGGTACTTTGCACATTTCTTTCACGAGTTTGGGGTGAGATGGGGTGGACTGCAGAGCGGTCTGAAGCGAGTGCCTGGTGAAGCGATTGGCTCAAGGATCGCTGTTGATGTTGGGGATATCAACGTTGTCGTCCATGTCGTCTTGGGTGGCATCTTGCGGCTCTGCACGGCTGTCTTGACCTGGCTGTAGGACTTCATACTGTCGGTGGGCGGCAATTTTATTTCCGAGTTCACTTCACTTTACTATCGGTGGTCGGCGATCTGATTTCCGACTTCACCAGTTGACTGAGAGCCGCGTGTTTCCGGGCCAATGAGATGGAGCTTTGATTCTGTTCCATTCGGAGATATACATGGTTCAATACGGAGGTGCCTTTTAAAAGTTTTGTCTGCCAAGGATAATTCAGCCGAAGTATTGCTGCCTGAGTCTAGGCCTGTCTCTCCCCTCTATATATTCATTACCAACTTGTAGATCAATTATCTTTTGGATATGAACAAGGATTCACTTAATCCAAGCTTGAATACTAAGTTGTGAGAGATCTCTCTAGCAGTACTGCCATATTCTAACTGCCTCAGCTCTTGATTGTGGAGCTCCTTTCTTTGTAGTCTCTCTTTATATAAAAAACCAGCACAGCTCAATATAGTTACAGTCTGGCGAGTTACCACACTAGAGTAGTCTCTCAACGTCGTATAGATTATAGATCTAAGACGAGCACTCCTCATCTTCTGTGTCAACCCAGGCTTCCTCGTTGGCTTGGTCTTCTTGTATCCCACTTCTCTCAATACCCTCCAGACGGTAGAGGCAGAGATTTCGACTCTTTGGAGACTGAGCCCACCAGCAACGTCAGCGCAAGTCTTCTCTCGTCAATATCTATCGCATCGTACTTGTTGAAATATCTGCTCCTTCACCTCCTTTGTCTGCTTAGCAGGTCTACCAGAGCGAGGGGCATCCTGGACGTGGTGTGGGAGGATCTTAAGAGGGAGGACATTTGGCTCAAAGCCAGCAGCGATAGCTCTACCATAGATACGATCAATCGTACGAGGATGGACACCAGTCAACTCTGAGATCTGTGACGTTGACTTGCCAACAGGAGGTGACTTTAACGTTACAATTAAGACGCGGGTATAAGAATCAGTATTAGGAGCCATAGTAGATAGATGACTACAGCTGATCAACAGCTCAGCTCAAAGGTGGAAGTTGCGCCAAGAAGAGTTTTGCCGAAGCGCCGAGATTAGCATCAGACAAAACTTTTGAAAGGCACTGTAATTATAAAGTAATAGAAGCCATAATGGTGAGGACAGATCTGACGAGGCAAGTATTCGGCATTCATCTCCGGATACGCCATGGACGAAATTCTCGGACGAATATCAATGTTCGTGCAACATTCTTCAGACTATTAAATGCGAGTGCTACAACATACTACCGTCCTCAATTCTCCCATCCTTTGCTTTTACAAACCTAAAAGTGTGCCTTCCAACGCCGAAAATGCCTGAGAAACAAGCACGTCGCGTACTGATCGTTGGGGCTGGGTCCTTGGGACTAGTTATTGGGTACATTCTTACTCAAGCAAATGTCGATGTGACATACCTGATCCGACCTCACGGAGCAGAAAACCTCAATCGACCACAGCTACTCTACTCTTTCCACGATAACAAACTGAGGAAGTTCGACAAATACAAATTTATTACAAACCCACAGGATTTGTTGACTGGAACGAGCTACGATTTCATCATAATCACACTCGATGGTCACACCTTGAAGACCGAGACTGGATTGGACTTGGTAGACACTATAGCAAATGCAGCCAGAGGGACTGCTACTAAGGTCTTACTACTCCTCGGACTAATTGGCGTGAGATCGTGGTTGTTAAACCGTACAGGTCTTAGAGAGGACCAAGTGGCTGCGGTTGTCTCATTTATTCATTCATACGCGCCTAAGAAGGTTGCACTGCCAATACACAACGGTGTTGATCCAAAGCTGCTACAACAGGCTGATCAAGCATACGTCGATAAAGCCGGTCCTGGGTTGACAATTGACAACAGTACACCTGCACTGGCTGAGGAGTTTTCTCAGCTATGGAATGCCAGTGGGCTTTCACAGTGTGCTATTGCCCCCCCTGTACAGATCGACGCCATGGTAGCCCCTATCTACGTTATTATAGCTGTCTCTGATCTCTTAGACTGGCCAAGCTACGATGACATTGATATCCAGGGAGACCTTTGGACCCTAGGGATTCAGGCAATCAAAGAAATACTTGGGCTTAGTACATTTGGACAGGTTGGCGAACAGGCCATTGCCATAACTACTGCTGCAAGTGTTAGGGATCAGTTTTTGGGGCTACAGAAGGCAATGTATCCACTCGACTGGTTGGCGTTCAATAAATACCACCACGGCGGCAAGGTCAATGCTCAAGATCGGGACATACTACGGAACTTCATTTCCCAGGGCGAGGCCGAGCATAAAGCGATGCACTCAACAAAGGAGTTGTTGAAGAAATTGGAGGAGCGCAAACGTTGAATTGGGGCTGTTCTAGTATGCGGATATAGACATAAGCAAATGACCACGGTGTTTGAATCAAAAAGCGCCAAGCATTAGCTGTTCTTTTATCAAGCCTCGGTGATACAACCTTCTTGATATCTGTTCATGTAATCAACCACATTGGTGCATACAAGCCTGGCCAAAAGCTGCTTGAAACTATGCGAGTGTGAGATAAAACAAGCGATAGTGAGGTCAGATGTATACAGTTGAACAGCAACTATTCTGCTTTGTTACTAGCAAAGACGTCGAAAGGACTGAAGATAGCTAGAATTACCTTTACGCTACTAGATGGTTACATCATTACCGTTTCTTCCTTTATAGCCCTATCACGCTATCAATCAATAGAAGCGGTTAAGCTAGGATCTCGGGTACAAGAACCACTCTACTTTTCACCTTTCCATGATGTAAATCCTCCAAAGCTTGAGGAAGTTCATGCATGCCTCTAGTTACGACCTGTGGTTTAACAATCTCCTTTGTGACGAGGTCTAGAGAGGCCTCGAGACTCGTGTATGATCCTCCAAAGGTGAAAAGAATGTCAACCGCCTTTAGTATTGTGGGACGTGAATTGAATGACAGATGAGGGTTTATAAGACCGACCACCACCACAGTTCCCCCTATCCTCACTATGGTGTTGATGTCAGCCTCGATGTATCACAGCAAGAAATTGTTAAAAATAGAGGCGCTTAGACAAACTTACCAGAGTCAATAGCCGCTCTAAAGGTATCTGAAACACCAACAAAGTCCACGGTCTTGTCAATGACCAGCTTGTTCCTTGTGACGAATTCAGCGGCACTGGTTCCGGGCGGAACTACATTTTTGGCCTTAACGCCAAATTTGACAGCCTCATCGAGCACTTCCTGTCGGTTATCTGCCACAATGACCCTCGCCCCAATACTGAGTATAATCTGTAGCGCATTGAAGCCTAGCCCACCAAGTCCGAATAGCAACACAGTATCTGATTTCTTAACGTTGGCTCTTTCAACAGTAGCGCCGTATGCAGTCAAGACAGCGTCAGTTACAACTGCCCCGAGTACAGGACTCAGCCCAGAAGGTAGTTTGACTGCGGCTCTTTCTCGAACGGCAACATATGGGGCAAACGAGCCATGGTATCCGATCCTGTAGCGTTCGCCAGTCTGGCAAAGCGCTTCAAGACCCCTGGTACATTCCGGGCAGGTGTGCTTCCCACATCCTGGGATCGACAAGATGGCGACTATGTCACCCGGTACAAACTTGCTGGCGGCGGAACCAACAGAGATAACTTCGCCACAACCTTCATGGCCCTGGGCATAAACGAGTCAGTGCAATTCGTCCAGGTTTTGTCGGTGTGACACTAAACCTTAGTAACAGAAAAATAAATAAATACCTACCAGTGTATACTTTTTCAAATGATTGGGTGGTTGTGGCTCCATCTCTAACAGAGTGATGTCACTATGGCACACTAGTCTGCTACTCAGTTTCCCATTTTTGGTGCAAATAGTATTTAGCAGGTGGAATAACAGAGAAATTCAATCTTACCTCCGGCTGCATGGATCTTCACGAGTAAGCCGTCCTCAGGCGCTTGAGGGACATCGACTTCAACGCGAACCCGGATCGCTGTTAGCTTCACTTTATATGTACGTTGGATGGCGATAAACAATCTATCTCCAAAAAAAATATTATACATACTGGTACAGAACTCCCAGCATGCTTCTGCCATGCTAACATGGTCTTAGGAATTGTATTAGTTGCCATTATGTCAGCCTCGATTGATAATGAATAATTCCAAATTAGATTAGTTTCTTGTTTGATAGTGTGTTGATTATAGTTATGAAGGTAATTATTATGGGCGGAGAGGCCTAGCGAACGAGTATGCTTCTACCTATCGTACAGAAGCTAAAAGATGAGAAAAAGAGAAGATAACTAAGTACAGACTTCTCTTATACCTACTCGCTTCTGATCACGTGTCCGTACAGAAGGTATATCACGTGGTCGAAGATCACGTGATCCCTTCAGTAGAGATCACGGGCGCAGCCCTTTACAGTAATACTGATTTATAGAGATACACTACGCCGGCTAGCCTACAATGCCGAGTAGCTTAAAATGCGGGGTATTCTACTGTATAGAGTATCTTTCTACGCGGGGTACCTTATTGCGCGGGGCATCCTACTGCGCGGGGAAGCAGTTCGTGCGTAGAATTTGGTGCGCAAGAAATGAAAGTTCACATGAGGTTTCTTTACGCTTAACTACTAGTCATCTACATAACATAGAGAGTCTTGTATTGACCGGTTGTGGATGGTGCTGAGCCACGAGTTTTACATTGGAGGAGACGAGTTACCTTTACCTTGTCCATCGCAGCTTTAACGGCAGTAGTGTAGGAGAGCAATTAGAACTAGAGAGGGGTTCTAGAGTAATTAAAAGACTATTGGATTCGACGCCTCTTCTATTGTAGTTACAGGAAGTCCTGTTCTTTTACCACAGTTTGAGGGACAATGGTTTTGCCTAGGGTTGCTTGTAACCCTGTGCACTAGCACAGTACTAAAGTATCATATTTAAGTTTTCTCTATTTTTATACATGTAAGGTGTAGGCTAAGTCTGATGTTCAAGAGAGCTCACGTGATGTCATTGATGCCTATCCCAAAGCTCAGCACAGCTAGTTGGATAGAAAACCACGTCCTTATCCCGCAACAAGACAGAACACTATACCACTTACAACATAGCCACGGCATGATTAATTCCATAATTCATAAACCAGATATTCGAACAAGCGTTTGCGAAAGTATTCAAGTAGCACTAAACACAATAGTAGAAACAGCCGTCTGCTTATACCATGCGGGACACAAGACATGCGTGTACCTGCAACGCAATATTCTGCGACACAGTTGTACATTACAATGCCGCGACATTATGGCGACAGAAAGGCGTTTCAATGCTCAATGCGTGCAAGTCAATGGCCATGGCGGGGGGAAGGAGTTTGATTGTCGGAGGTCCGCTGTGGGCCCGCCGACGCTTTCCGCAGCCGCTACGGCCCTCATCGCGCCCAGCATAGCAGCCATGGGCAGATTACAAAATTTTGCGTAACCCCCACGAGAGCCGATACCGGGACGCGTGACGAGGAGCGGTGCCAAGGTGGATATGATGCTGTCAGAAGAAAAGAAGAATGGGGGCTGGCTGCGCATGGAGAGCGAGGACGGCATGGCTACGCTCGGCTCTGGGCAAACCATGGAGAGGCCGCAATAGGACCTGTGCAGCGTGCAGTGCATCTCGCCGACTGTGGGGTAACAGACGGGCATGCATATGAGCGAGGTCACGATGGTCTTCTGCTGGTCCATCAAAGCAAAAGCAAAAGCAAAAGCAAAAGCAAAAGCAAGAGCAAGAGCAAGAGCAAGAGCAAGAGGGTGTGGCAGAGGGGGTCGTCGGGCGAGGCTGGGCATACGTATTGTAGGCACGTCTGCCTCTGCCCTCAGGTCTCCAATGCCTGGCGTCGACGAGGACAGTACCAGACATTGCAGACGCAATCGGCACTACTCTGCAAACACCACGGCAATCGCCATTTCCAGAAGCTGCTGCTGTCTAGACAAGGCGACGCCATCATCGGGGCTGCTAGGGGTGGCCGATACGCCTGCGTCAGTCTGGTACCCTCTGGAGCATCGTCGAGTTTCACTAGCGCGAGCCGACGCAAGCCGAGCATTGCGCATCGCCCTGTCCAAACAACACGCCCACGATGCACGGTATATATGGCATGCACTGCATCACCCAGGGTCACAAGACCTACTGATCTACCCAATTCATCCGAGCATACTTCCCCGGACTCAGAAGCCCTGGCACCGCACTGACTCTGAGTGCTCTATACAAGGAAGCCGCCGGACCCGACCTTACCTGACCTGACCACCACACATCACCCACCACCCACTATCCACTACCCACTACCCAATACCCATCACAATGTCCGCCATGATGCTACGGAGACAGAACCTCCAACGCTTCCAGCGTCTTGCTCTTTCCCAAACCTCAAGGTCCCTTTCACAAACACCCAGATACGTTCATCAGAGTGCACGCCAGAATGTATCTGTACCGACGTCATCGCCCACATCCGACCTCCTCTCCAGCCAGCCAGAGTCGCACATTGCTCAGACAAAGTCAGTTCTTGGTCGTCTACCCACATCTACTGTTCTCCGTTCCTACCTCATCACCGCAATGTCCTCACAGCCATTGCTCCTCAATGCATGCTTTGGCCTCCTGCGTCGCATGCTCGAGTCTAAATCGTACATCATGAGCATTGAGCGCAACCCCGTCCTCTCCAACCTGCTTAAGAAGACCTTTTACGCTCAATTCTGTGTCGGCGAGCACAAGGACGAGGTAGTAAGGAACACCGAATTTGCCAGGACCTTGGGCTATGGCGGAATCCTGTTTGAGTACGCACTCGAGGTACTTGGCGGAGAGGCGCCGACCGCAGCCGAGACCAAAAAGGAGATTGAGGTATGGAGAAAGGGCATGCTCCAGAGTGTTGATATGGCCAAGGAGGGTGACTTTGTTGGACTCAAGTATGTATTCCAAGGCAAAACTCGTCCAAAATAGATAGGTGCTAACAATCTCGTAGATGGTCAGGTCTAGGCCGCCACGCTTTGCAACTCCTCCAAAACCAGCAAGATGCTACACCCGAGATGTGGGACGCCATCACAGCAGCCTGCGATGCTGCTGCGGCCAAGGGCGTCAGTCTCCTTCCTGGCGCTGAAGAAGAAGCTACCAACCTTGGCCTTGAGAAGTGGACACTTGCTCTGCAGAAGAAGTACAACACCCCCGAGCGAGGCCACGCCGTTCTCTACATCACGTACCAATGCTACCTCCGCAACATTGCCGAGCGGTTGGCACAACACCTCGAGATGGCCTCAAAGGGCGGATATATTGCCGGCGTCAAGCTCGTACGCGGCGCATACCTGACTTCAGAGCCCAAGCACCTCACCTTTGATACCAAGGCCGAAACCGACGCCAACTACGATGCCATCGCCGATGCTGTCGTCCGCCAACAGTGGACCGACAAGGTTTCTGCACCAACACCCGGTACACCCTTCCCTAAGGTGAACATTGTCCTTGCAACTCACAACCTGGCTTCCGTCAAAGCTGCTCAGAAGATCCGTGCCTCTCAGATGCTCACCACGTCTCCTGAGAAGCTGCCGCGTCTGACATATGCCCAACTCCAGGGTATGGCCGATGAAATCTCCCAGGCCCTGGTTCAGGACGAGACCATGAAGGCTGACAAGCAGGCCAAGGTTGTCAAGTGCATGACCTGGGGCACTACTGCCGAGTGCTTGAACTTTTTGCTCCGCAGGGCCAGTGAGAACAAGGAGGCCGCGCTCCGTACCGAGGACACCAGGCGAGCCATGGGCAAGGAGCTCTGGAGGCGCCTCAAGGGTACCTTTGGTCTCGCCTAAGTTGTTTACCTCATTTCCTTTTGTCCGATCTTTTTTTTGTTTGTTTCTCCAAAAATCATCTCTTGAAATCTTGGTTTTTACGTAGCGAAGCATCGCATTGAGCATGGCGTTTGGGGTGGGCTAAGTCCTGACGAGAGGATGCCCTTGGATAAACTTCCACTGATTTGATTTTTTTTGTCGCGAACTAAGACGAAACTATTTTTCTTGTTGTACATAGCGCGTCGGTCGACTTTCGCGTTTCCAGTTTTGGACTTTGAATCAAACATATTCATCTATTATGAGTTATTTGCCTTGTGCATTGGCCACGTGAAGAGATACTTTTTCCATCCGGTGTATAGCCTGCTACTGTCATTGACGCGATCAGTGTCCTTGGAACATTGTTACGGTTACTAAGACATGTAACTTATGACAAAAATAGCCAAAGTCAAAGATGTGGTAGGAAGATGGTAAAAAGTACGTCACAACTGCTGCTGTCTCAAAAAGGCAATAATGAATTACCAACCCCCATTGAACCCGCATGCTCATACGATGCATGTGGGGCTGAATCTCAACCACGTGCTTTTGCCCGTATCTATCATCAGGGGTGGAATTACTCCATGCAATTAATGATAGGTGCTGCTAAAAAAAACCGTTAGCACAAGCCTCGGCAAAGCGAGATTTCGTACGTGAGCCGATTTTCCTGCCTGCGATTATGTCAATGACAGCTGAACAACCTCAGATCAAAGCCGGCACATCCGTCCGACACCTCTCATGCCAAACACACCATTGCAATTGTATACCAAATTTCTGTAGGTTTTAGCAACAGTTGAAGTCTACTAAACGATACAACACACTATAACTAGTGGCTAATTGACACTAGTTGCAGAATAGTAGCGTGCCAACGCAAGGATCAAAACGGACCGTCCCAGCACCCTGCAAACTGCAAACCGACGTCGTCACCGGCCGAGGATGTCTTTCACGACCGAACGCAGTGCAACTCTCGATGCGAACGCGCACTAGTTAGAACTGCCATTACACACATGCCCAATGCGCTTACACAGCGCTACAGGCAACCGCGAGGATGACACAGCCTCGCGCGGCTGAACTCACAAGGGCTTACTGTGCAACACCTTGGCTTTGCAGCGATTCCTACTGGCTGCATGAACAACGTCCCTGGCCTGACGTGTCCCTGTAAAGTCAGCAGCTAGGCAGACAATTCCACTAGGTCTCGCCCGACTCGGCCGAATGCACGCCAACCATCATCCATGGGTAAGGGCAAGGCTCACAAGGCAAGGCGCTTGTTACTGTCAGGCTGAATGGTATATAGGAAGCAGGCTTAGCCCTAAATTTAAAGGCACCAACTCTCTGTACCTGCAGAGGCTACGATTCTTGCAATCCAATTCGTATCTTCTCCATTGTTGGACATCCTGCAACAATGGCGTCCCAGTCGTCTAGTTCTGTCCCGATACCACAGCCTCCACCACATTTGCTCATCGGCAATATTGGAGCCATTGATTCAGACGATGCCCCAGGCTCCATCCAGAGACTCTCAGACATCTATGGCGAGATCTTTCAGCTTCAAATTCCAGGTCGGCCAGGAAGAATAATCGTCATCTCTTCGCATGACACAATAAACGACTGCTGCGACGGAGACCGCTTCGAAAAGCCAATCAATGCCACTCTCGAAGAAGTGCGAGCTCTCACTGGAAATGGGCTTTTCACAGCCTACCCGGGGGAGAAAGTGAGCCAAGATTTCGCCTTGTAAGATGCACGCAGCTGACCACGCGTAAGGAATGGGGAGTTGCCCATCGCCTGCTGATGCCTGTTTTTGGCCCCATGGGCATTCGCAAGATGTTCGATGACATGATGGACGTTACCACACAGATGCTGCTTAGATGGGACCGATTTGGACCAAAACACGAAATCTATTGCAGTGATGATTTCACAAGGTAAGTTGGATCAGCTGGTCGTGCTCGGGAAAGTTGCTCATCCACTGCTACCAGATTAACATTTGACATGATTGGACTATGCGCATTCGGATACAGGTTCAACAACTTCTACTCTGACAAGGCACATCCGTTTGTCGAACAAATGGTCGAAGTCCTTGTTGAGTCTGGAAGGCGAGCTACTCGCACAGGCATTGAGAACAAGCTACGTGTTTTTGCCGAAGCCAACCGACAGGAAAATGTGAGGCAGATGCACAAACTTTGCGATGAGATCATTGAGGAGCGCATAGCACATCCGCAGCCAGATGCGAAAGACCTCCTGAACCCCATGCTTGAAGGTGTAGACAAAGTGACTGGCGAGAAGATGTCAAAAGAGCTTGTACGATACAACATGGTAACCTTTTTGGTGGCTGGCCACGAAACAACGAGCGGCACTCTTGGCTTCTTGTTCTTCCATCTTCTCAAGAACCCCGACACATATCTCAGAGCCCAGCAAGAAGTTGACGATGTTCTTGGAGATGGTCCCCTAGACATCAAACACATTCCCAAGCTGGTTTACATCAAGTACGCCATTTATGAAGCATTGCGTTTCCTCGGTCCTATTGGAATCAATGGCAAGCACGCGCTACAAAAGACGAAGATTGCTGTAAGTTTTTATCTTCTTCTCAAGTTGATTTTGCATACTAAGAACTAGTAGGGCAAGTATGAAGTGGAGCCAGAAGACATCATTTTGATGAACTTGAGTGGCCTACATCATGACCCCAAGGTTTGGGGCGACGACGCCCATGTATTCCGGCCTGAACGTTTCTTGAACGGCGGCTGGGAGAACCTACCGCCCAACTCGTGGAAAGCATTTGGTGACGGTATGCGAGCTTGTATTGGACGCACTTTTGCAGAGCAAGAGATGATCATGACAGTGGCGCTCATTCTGCAAAAGTTCCAGGTCGAACTGGCGGATCCTGGCTATCAACTACGTAAGCACACAGACAGATAGTTCAACATTGGAGTATTTCTAATTCCATATCACAGAGGTCTCGGTCACAATCACACAGAAGCCCAAAGATCTTAAGATCAAGGTACGGAGACGACCTGGACGCACAATGGCGAGTCTGGGTGGAGTTGGCGGCGCTCCTTCATCGACAAATCCTGCCGCTGATGATAGGAAAGCCAAGGTAGCAGGAGACGCTTCTGCAAGAGATGCAAAGCCAATCACCGTTCTCTATGGATCGAATGCGGGTACTTGCAAGTCGTATGCCGAGGACCTGGAGACAAACGCAGCTCGATTCGGATTCAAGGCAAATGTGGGCAGCCTGGACTCTGCCACCGAACACATTCCAAAAGATCAGCCAATTGTCATTATTGAGCCTTCGTATGAAGGTAAACCGGCAGACAACGCGAAGAAATTTACCGCATGGCTGGAAAACAATGCGGACTCGAAGATGCTCGAGGGCGTTCAATATGCCGTCTTTGGTGTTGGTAACAGTGATTGGACGCACACATACCACCGTATCCCAAAGAAGACCGACGAGCTGTTCGAGAAGATGGGCGCAACGCGATTCACAGAGACCGGTTTTGTCAACGTAAAAGAAGACATCATGGGACCGTGGGAGAGCTGGTCTGAACAGATGTGGACGAGTCTTCGAGAGGCTAGTGGTACAACTGTCGAAGTTCTTGACGGGACACTTAAGGCCGAAATAAAGGCTCCTAAATTCGCGACGTATCTCGGGGGCAAGAATATCTCCTATGGGCAGGTCAAAGTCAACAAAGACCTGGGTGGTGCTGAGGTCGGTCTCTCCAAGAAGCACATGGAGATCGAGTTGCCAGCGGGCAGCTCGTACCGCTCTGGCGACTACATGGTTGTCCTGCCTCTCAACAACTCGGATACTGTGAAGCGAGTTATGCGACGCTTCGAACTTTCGCCGGATGATACCATCTCGATTACCGGAACCAACAAGACATTCCTGGCTACTGAGTCACATGCATCCATCTACGAAATTCTCATGACGCGTGTGGAGCTTGGTACACCAATTTCGCAAAAGCAGTTGAAGATGCTTGCGGATGTGACACCGGAAGACAAGCGCGCCAGCTTGCTCGAGTTTGCAAGCGACGAAGTCTACAAGGCCAAGGTCATTCCCTCCCGCTATAGCATTCTGGATGTCCTCGAAGACCACCCTGAGTGCAAGCTCCCCTTTGCTGTTTACCTCGACCTACTCAAGCCCTTGTCTCCCCGCCAATACAGCATTTCCAGCTCTCCACTAGCCAATGTAGATTTTGTCCAAGCACCAGACGGCTCGACTGTCCAGCGCCTGACTGCTTCCATAACCTACGATGTGCACGACGAAGCCGCATGGAGCGGAGAGAACCGTCGCTTCCACGGCGTAGCATCGACCTACCTTGCGAGCCGAGAACCAGGCGAGAAAATCAAGTGCTTCACGCGCCCTACAAACATCAACTTCCATCTACCTACGGACCCCACGACGCCCATCATCATGATTTGCGCCGGCTCGGGCCTCGCCCCCATGCGCGGCTTCATCCAGGAACGCGCGACCATCAAGAAAGCGCGCAACGCAACCATTGGACCCGCCATCCTGTACTTTGGCTGCCGCCACCACGAAAAAGACTTCATCTACTCGGAAGAACTTGCCCAGTGGGAAGCCGAAGGCGTCGTCAGTGTGCGCGGCTGCTTCTCCAAAGTCGCGCCTGAGGGACACAAGGCGCAGCGTGTGCCTGATCGCATGTGGGACGAGCGCAAGGAGCTGGCAGAGTTGTTTGGTGACAAGGGCGCCAAGCTGTTCATCTGTGGTAGCGCGAGCAAGCTGGCTAAGAGTACGGGCGAGATGTGTATGAAGATTTATAGGGATACGTTCCCTGGGAAGACACAGGAGGATGCTGAGGCGTGGTTGGAGAAGGTAAAAGAGGATAGGTACGTGAGTGATGTGTTTGAGTAATTCGTATTCGGTAGTGGATTGTAACAAGATGCTTTGGTCTGGTTGTGTAGTGGGTTTTTTTGGTGCCAGGAGCTTGTCAGGACTGTATATTTGAGATAAGTTAAGGCCGATTTCATGAATTTGGACGTGCAGCTCAACGTGGTGTCAGCCCTATATTTAATTCCAAGAAAACGTTGTCTTCCAAGAATTCCACGTACTTTTGACTGTCGCAGTACTAGCATCATACGTACGAATATGCCATGTGCGGGAGTCAGGCCAAACATAAACTTCAGCACCACCATCACACACACACACAATTTCCCGCTAAGTACGCACCGCTTTCCACAGTGCTTCCAGAAACTCCCCCCTCTCACCCGAGGAAAATACGCATATACAAAACCACACATAATCACCAGACGATGAGTTTCGCATACCAGGATGTTGCGCACTACTATCCCGCCTGAAACAAGCGTTTCACGATCTACTCTAGATCTGAACTCTTGGTCTCTTGGCTACCTACACACGCGCCCTCCCCCCCGATCCACGCGCGATGATGCAGCGGAGAAAATCAGTAATACCATCCGCCTCCATATTCACCTTTTTTTTTCCTTCCGGCGGGACTTGTTCCTGGACACGTACTTGGATGTGTGTGTGGGGGGGGAGGGGGAAAAAGGGCTGCATGCATCCTCAAGCTATTGTGTCCATATTGAAGCCCACAGCGGGGTTTTCTCGCATCGCATTCGTGAATACCTGACAGACGGAGATGGGGGCGGGGCAGGGCAGGGCAGGGCAGGGGAGACACCCAAAAGTGGAGATGAAAGGTATACCGCCCGAGTCTCACACGGTTCATATGCGGACGACGCCTACCCAAAAAGAGGAGAAGAAGGCGGGAGAAGGTCAAGATGAGGATGAGCGCGAATCATGGCGGTGCCGCGGGGATACGTGGAATAGAGAAGGGGGGGGGGGACATGGCAATTAGAGGCGATGGATTAGGTAGGTAGTAAGTAAAGTCGATCAACTGAGCACATGCAGAAATCGTGCCGGTTTCTCCCAATTTCCACCATTCAGTTCCTTGAGCGGCAAGTAAGTAAGTTATCCCATCCCCGCCCGTCTTGGTAGCTTAATAACGGGCGAAAAGAGAAACGAGGAAGGTGGCCCGTAATTCGCGTCCGCCGCCCGCGCCCTTGCTTACTGTGTAAACCATGTTTCGAAATGGGGGAATTATACCCCGGACTCGGTTCTTTCTTTCTTTCTTTTTTTTAACTTTCCCAACGTTGGAGCCGTGCTGGTGCTCGGAAAATTAACGTTAATTGGGCGGGGCTCGCAACATCCTTGCGTTAAACATGCAACATCCTTCGCTCAGCGGAGAAGAGGCAGGGGTATGGGGAAGGGTGCGGGCCTGTCTATTTTATACAGGTCCCAAGGCTCTTGGGGGTAATTTAGGGGAGTAGGGTGATGGGATGGGGTGAGTGGTATTATTCCGCCCAGCCACGCAGTGCTATGTTATTACAAAAGAGTGGGTTGCACTGCACAATTTCCTGAAATGTCTGTTTGAAAAAGGGTTACGGGTTTCCCTTTTTCTTCTTCTATTCATCCTTCTCTTTTTTTCTCTACCTGCGATCGACTCGCCCACCATGTTTTCGTCGAGTACCCTCACAGCCGTGCTGGCTCTGGCTTCACTCGCCTCCGCCCAATGCGGCTCAGGCACTCCCCACGCCAAAGTCACCGGCTCAGGAAGCTCCTTCACGGCGACCAGAGGATCCACAAACCTCTACACGGGCTCCGACTACCTCAAGGCAATCCAAACCGCCGTCGACGGCATCACAAGCGGCCAGCGTGTCTCCATCATCGCTTCCGGCAATATTGGCGCCAACACCATCCGCATCAGCAGCGGCAAAACCTTCGAAGGCTGCGGCACCATCACCGTCGCGCCCAAGAGCGGCGGCGGCAACATCGAAGTCACCGACCAAACCGGCGTCAGCATCCCCTACCTCACCATGACGGGCTCCACCTACTTCGGCCTGCGCTTCTCGGGCACAAAAGACCTAACCCTCGGCACCCTAACCTTCAACCTGCAAACGGGAATGGGCATCCGCTTCGACCGCGATCGCGCCGCAAACTCCAACGTCAAAATCGGCACCGTCACCTGCAACGGCGGCACCTCGCACTGCATCGAAACCTGGAACATCGACCGCCTCGACATCGGCTCCGTCATCGGCAAGAACGTCGGCGAGTGCGGCCTTCTCTTGCAGAAAGTCACAAACGCCAAGGTCGGCACCGTCGACTGCAACAACTGCGGCGCTGGCACTGGGTATGCTGCCCTCCGCTTCGCCAACGAAGCCGGCAAGCTCAACGGCGGATACGGCACTAACATCTACGTCAACCGCGTGCGTGCTCGCGGAGGAGGCCGTGGCGTCTTTTGCGTGTCTGCATCTGGCGGCGCGGAGATTGCGAGCGTGGACATAGCGAATACGGGGAACAACGCTATCCTACTTGAGAACTGCTACAATGTCAATATCAAGGGCGGTACCGTGAGTGGCGGCGGCGAGGTACGTTTGGCAGCCAGGACAGAGTTTGCGAATAGCAGGGATATTGCGATTTCGCTGAAGGTCGATGGCACGACGGTGCGCGAGAGTCCTTGCACGGTGAATAAGACGAAGTGGAATTTGTCGGGTAATGGTGGTCGCACTATCTGCACCTAGAGGGGCAGATGGGAAAAGCTGCTGGTACTTTTTTTTTGGCGGACGTTGTGTCCTCGTTGGGTCAGTGGTCTGATGGGGGATACGGGATTTTTGAATTCTCTGTAGATATTGACGAGGTTTAGTAAATACAAACGCAGGTTTTTTTACGACTTACAATTTTCATGATGATCGCGTTGATATCAGAAATAGTTGGGATGAAAGCATCAAGTTTCAATTGCGATTACACTGACATCCAGCTCACAGCGCATCCCATCTATTCATACCCTCTCGTGACATCGTTTCATACCACTTCTTCACGTACGCCAACCCCGCATGCGGTCCATATGCCTTTTTCTCCCACTGCGGCATAGGCGGCTTTATTCCAGTCTCTGCTTCACATCTCGCCAGTACTTCGCTCATCTTGCCTCCGCGATCTATCGTATCATGCGTCGTATACCCCGTCTTTGCACGCTCATTGTGCATTGTCTCGCGAAGACGCGCAGTGGCAGCTTCGTCAACGGCAAAGATCTTTGGATCGACAATCACACCGTAGTTGGTCTTGGCGCCTTCAACAGTGACTAGTCGGCGGTGGACTTCCTTGGCTACTTGTTCTTGAGGGCGTGTGAGGGGATCACCGAGGCCTCCGCCGCCCCAGGTTATCCATTCCAAAACGTCGCCTGGGTGTTATTAGTTTCTACGTCCAGGTGCACTGCAAGGCTTAAATCTCACCTGGATGGACGTGTAAATAGTCTTGTTTGGAATGGCACATCTCAACGTTGTTCTTCTCTTCCGTTGTACCGAAACTGTTATTCCGATACAACACCTTTCTTGACCTGCTTCCAGGCTTGCCACCATTGACACCCCAAGGCTTGACGAGCCATCTATCATCGTGAATGCTGACGTCTCCTTCGCACAAGAATCTGTAGATTGTTCTTTGTGCGTTCCCCCCGCGGTAGTATCCTGCACCTCCAGAGTCTGGTAACGCTTCGTTGGCTTCGATGATGACGGGAAAGTAGAGCTCAATATTTTCCGTGGGTATTGACTTGATTGCGGGGAACAAGCAGTGGCAATCAGGACCGTCACCAATAGGTCGCGCGGGTACGCCTCCAAAGCCGATCTGGTACATCAAAAAGAATTCGCCCCCGGGCTTGAAGCCAGAGTAGAAGAGATGCGGCGAATCTGAAAATCCGGCTGCGCTACGATGCTCAGGGTTTTGTTGCCCAAACAGTGCTTGTAAAATATCCATTACACGACCTAGGGCATGTGTCCGACAACTGACAGCAGCTGGTCGGACAGGGCGAAGAATGGTACCAGTCGGAATCCTGACATCGAGTAGATCGTGGAAGCCATCGTTGACAATGGCGTGAGGATCGTAAATCGCCAGGAGGTGATAACCAACAAACATTTTAAACATGTTGACGGAAAGATAAAAGTTCATCGCAGAACTGGATTGCGGTGATGTGCCGTCCCAGTCAAACACCAGCTTCCCATTCTCTTTCTTCATGGAACAGGAAATCGCATATGGTCCTATGCCTTGTCCATCGTCGTCAACAAAGTCTGTGAAGCTTGATTCCTGGGTGCCGAGCTTCTCATCGATAACCGTCTTGATGGCAATCCTGTTTTGTTCTAGTAATGACTCCGTGGCTGCTTCGTATACTTCCGGTGTGTAACGATCACAGAGCTCGACGACCCGAGTAGCGGCTGTGCGACAGGCAGTCACAAGTGCCATGAGATCACTCTGGAACCAATCCGGCACCCGTGAATTGCGGAAAAGGACGGCTGCGAGACTCTCATTGTACACGCCTTTTGCGTAGAGCTTGACAATCGGAATTTGCAGGCCATCTTCGAAGATTGTATTAGCATTGACACTCATGGATCCTGGAACTTTGGCTTGAACATCGGTCAAATGGCCAAAGTTGGCCGCCCAGCCTATGAGCTGATGCTCGTAGTATATGGGCAGCAGTGCGACGATGTCGTTGAGATGTGAGACAGCACCATCGATTTGATAAACATCGTTAGTGATGAATACGTCGCCTTCTTCAACAGTCCCGTCCCAACCTTCCAGAAATTCAGGTATGAAAGACCCGAATTGACCAACGAGCATTTGGCCGCGGGTATTGGTAATAACATTGAACTCATCTTGTTGCTCACGGATAGCAGGGCTCATCGCACAACGGAGCATCTACAGACGAGTTATGGAAATTAGTACGCATCAGACGAAAATTGCCAATAGAGTTACTAACGAGGGTATCCATTTCTCTTCGGATAGAACCAAGCGCAGAGGCAATGAGAGTTGCAACAATGGGATAATCCTGGATAAGCTTCTGTGCGGATTGTTTCGTGTGTGCTACCTTTTCCGACGCTTTCTGATCTACAGGCCATATAAGGATATTGCCCATGGAATCAATCTCACCAAAGAAACCGGGGAGTATCAGAGTATTAGAGTCCATCTCTGAGATCACAGCTGGACCATACACAATCTTTCCAGCACCACCAAGTAGCGTACGGTCCCAGAACGTTGCCTCTACCTGCTTGCCGTCGTATACAATGTTTTGTTTCGCGATGATGGCATCTTGTGATGGCGCCGAGGTATTGGCGCGCTCGACGGGCTTCAAAGCCACCTCTTCAGAAGCATCAATGACTTTAGCACGCAAGCGCATGGTCTCGACTTCTGCATTGTCATTTGAGAAGCCGAACTGATGCTGATGTGCTTTATTAAACTTATTGCGCAGATTCTCAAGCAGACTAGATGAATTGCCAAGCTCATCAGAATCCATCCCGACAGTAAGCGTCATCTCCTGACCTCTGTATCGCATGTCGGTTTGATATATGACATGTAGTGCAGCGTCATCGTTTGCAAGCGAAACCTTCATCTTGGTCACACCCTCATCCTTGAGTCCTAGCAGCGTCTCCTTGAGTTCCGTTTCGGAAGTCTGCGAGAGGTTTCGAATATACGTGCGGGTCTGCTCGTAAGACATCTTGGTGATGGCATCACCCTGAGCACATAGCACTCCAGGTGAAGGGGGGACAATGACAGGCCAAGAACCAAGTAGTTTACCGAGAGCATTGCCGTGAAGAGGCCCGGCTCCACCGAGCGCAACAAGTGCAAAGTCCCTGGGGTCGTAGCCTTGTTCCACAGAAACCAGGCGAAGAGCGCCATGCATAGATTCGTTTACCAAATCGATGATCCCTTCGGCTGCCGACGCCATATCAATGCCCATTTGTTTGGCGATCGACTCAACTGCTTTATTGGATGCTGCGACATCAAGTTCGAAAGTGCCACCAAGCAGCTTTGACGGTAGTCTTCCTAGTGCCAAGTTCGCATCCGTAACAGTCGCTTGTACACCGCCTTTGCCGTAAGCTGCTGGACCTGGTGTGGCGCCACTAGACTCCGGTCCTACACGCAGACTCTTGGTGAAGCCGTTGTATATCGCAATCGAGCCTCCGCCAGCCCCTACTGTATTAACATCGACTGATGGCGCGCGCACTGACAAATGACCGATCTGGGTTTCCTGTCGGATAATGGCGTCGCTACCTTTGAGCAAAGCGCAATCAGTGCTCGTGCCGCCCATGTCGAACGTGATGAGATTCTTGTAGGGTGTGTTTTTGGCAACTAAATGCGAGACAGCCTTGACACCACCAGCTGGGCCACTCATGAGGATGCGCACAGGCGTCTCGCCTGCAAGCTGGACGGAAGTCAAGTCTCCATCAGACTTCAGGATCCGGATTACATCGGTATCTTTGGCAAGCTTGTTCTGGAGGTTCTGCATGTATTTCTTGACTACCGGTTTGACCATTGCATTTGTAGCTGTTGTGGCTGTGCGCTCGTATTCTTGAATCTCTGGCAGGACTTCGGTCGATGTGACGATCTCAACGTGTGGCCCAAATTCCTCGTGCAATATAGTCTTGATGCGCTCTTCATGGGCGTTGTTGGTAAATGAATTTAGCAAGGACACGGCAATCGCCTCGGGCTCTTGTTGCTTGAGGTCCTGCAAATCATGCCGAAAGCGCTCTTCATCCAACTCGCAGTAGACACTGCCATCGATTTTGATGCGCTCTTTGACTTGAACGGTCCGTTCTAGAGGTACAAGAGGCTCAGGTTGCTCGTAATTCATCCAAGCTCCGAGTCCACCTGGAATATGGCTCCGTCTGACAGCCAAGATGTCCTTGTGGCCCTTTGTAACGACAAGGCCGCATTTGGCACCCTTGGCTTCGAGGACAGCATTGGTAGCAGTCGTGGTGCCATGATGTATGTATTGGAATTTGCCTTGCCAGTTATACTTTTCTTTGAGGATCTTGCGGGCCTGCTGCACGCCCTTTTGCACTCCAATGGACTGGTCCTGGGTGTCCGTGGGTACCTTTGTGCGAACGGCCTCTCCGTTGGGGGTAATTACACAGACTGAGTGGGTTAAAGAATGAAAGTGAAGGCTACATGAGATGATGCCTACCATCGGTGAAGGTCCTGGGCTCGAGTCAGCCGCACGCTATTGTCGTTGTTCAGTGTTTGGTGGCGTTGGAAGGAAGGGGCAAGGGGATGGTAGCCGTAGCTACGGGGCAAATGCAGCATCTCGGACGTGATGTGGTTCGAGACTAGCAGCTGTGTAAGTATGCCGGGTTTGGGCGATACTTAGGCAGCCAGTAGAGCAGATTTGGAGCGACACATTACTCACCCTCCTACATCAACTCCCAGCCTGTATCCGGGGACAGCCATGCTGCGGGGGCAATTTCTCGAGGCTGGCAGCCGATGTGCAGCTGGGGATCAGCTATAAAGGGACGGGTCGGGTCGGCGATGGGCTGTCAGTTGGCCCTGCGTCATGTCTGAACTATGCTTTTCTGCCACTCGAGGAGAAAAAAGCGGCATGCCGCCAAACTGGGGCCGCCGCCGGACAGGCAATAGCAACGGCAGCTAGGCAATGTGTACTCGGCAACGGGCTGCGTGTGATATCAATCGCCCCACGGCTGCCGCTGTTGAAAATTCCCGTATAGAGTTCTAGTCATGCGCCTATCCCGGGTGTCTACACCCATGTGCCAGCACCATTACGCAAGGTATTTCGCGGATCCGACTGCCACGGCGCAGATGCGGATGGAAAATTGACGGTCATCAGTGGTAGCCTCTGCCTCCTGTGTGCGGGGTTCGCTAGCTGCTGAGTGGCTGGGCGGCCAGCCATGTCTATCAACGAAGCCCTTGGTTCTGGCACCTTGGATGCTGCGACATTTGCCGTTGTCGTTCTTTGCCTAACCTGATGTTGTGAGCATGAGGCACGTGCAGCCAGCCGTTGTGTGTGCCCTCGGTTGTTCCGCATCCATCCGATTGCTCACCATCCAGCTATGTGAGTACTGTCTCTGCATGACACCACAGCATATTGCCAATACCTTGTTCGTGCTCAAATTCCTCAATAGTTGTATATACTTTGTTCTTCCTCTTCATCATCATCATCATCATCATCATCATCACCATCATCCTCGTTATCATACCCCCTTATCTTGCAGCCAGCATCTCCAAAAACTTATCTCCAAGAGCATTCGCCGCCATCGGATTATCTCCTGTCACAAGCTCCCTATCTACAGTGATGCTGCCCAGACTTTTCCCAATACCCTCCTGCATGTCAGCACCTTCTTCTCTCAGCCTACTCTCAACCTTATCAATCTCACCCCTCAACATCGTCTCCATCATCTTCTCTTCCGCATCCGACCAGCTCGTCATCTTGTATCCCTTGTACTCGAATTCCTTCTTGGGTCCATATTTAGTCGACAGGAATGCCCACGGACCGTGGCAGATGGCTGCTGTAGGTTTCGACTCGCCGTGAAAATGCGATAGCATACGGCCCAGATCTGCATTATCCCCGAGATCCCTTAGGGGCGCATGTCCTCCAGGAATGAAGACACCATCGAAGCCCTTCAGCTCCTCATCGCTGATTTCAGAGAACTTCTTCGGCCTCGAGAAGCCGTTCTCCTTCTTCATCCTTTCAATCAGGTCCAATTCGCGCTGCTTCTCGTAGTAGTTGCCTGCGAAGGCGGCGAGCGACACGCTCAAAGGGTCCGGTGTGGGTTCTTTGCCTTCGGGCGATGCAAACGTGACTTCATAACCTGCGTCTAGAATCTTGGATAGTGGTTTGGCGAGCTCCATGAGGAAATAGCCAGAATCTTGTGAGACTGTTTTCCCATCGCTACCCGTGTTGTACAGAGGGAAAGAGTTGGCGTCGGAGAGGACGATGAGAACCTTTTTGTTTGGTGCCATGGTGACTTATTCGCAAGTGCAGTAGCAAGTTTTCCGGTCAATGTATTACTGAAGAGACTTTAATGGGTATCAAAGGGTACAGAGAACTAGGCAAGTTGAGTATCTGGTAAGGGCGCGATTGAACTTTGTGCGCTTTTCATGTGTAGGTCAGGATGACGTAGCCATGTTTTTACGCGTCGCAAACGTCACATGCGACGCGCTCACTTGAGTCTCCAATATTTTTCGCCGCCCTATTCTAACATGTCGGGTAACCTCGGCACGTATAACAACAGTGCTCACAGCTGTAGCAGATGAATCATGTGTCAAACCGAGTGCAGATGAGACTGCAATTGTTGGTAAAGCATAGCAGATCAAGAGACGATCGAAACTTCAGCACCGAATGACACGCCATGATAATACTCAGCAAGCATCATTTCATACTATTAAATTAAAAAAAATCAGGCCAGACTTTTTATATTCCTACCACTAATCATGACTAACGGTAGGGTCCCATGAACAAGGCTCGTATAACCCAGTATCCAGGCTCTTCATGTCTTGTTCAGAGAGTTCAAAGGAATAAATCTGGGCATTCTCCTCAATTCTTGACTTGGTAACAGACTTTGGTAGTGGTACAAATCCCTATCCTGGTTGTTAGTCCATGTAAGTGAGCAGTAGGGACTTTGAACATACCATTTGCAAGCTCCACCGTAGCAAGATTTGTGATGGCGTCTTGCTGTACTTTTGCGCAAGCGACTTGAGCAAAGCGTCGTCATTCTTGGTAGCGCGTACAATGGGACAATATGCTTCGCACAACACACCCCGCTTCTTGCACCACTCTGTAATATCAGGCCGCGCAAGCCAAGGATGTAGTTCGACCTGGTTGACGCTAATCACTCCACCCTTGCCTTTACCCTCTTTCTCTTCCGTCTCCTTGATCCATGTCTCGAGCTCATCGAGATGATGCACACCGTAGTTGGACACGCCAATGGATCGGATTTTACCGGCTTGTACACCCTCAACGAGCGCTTTCCACGCGCCGATTCGGTTAGCCTTGCCACCATATGGACTGTGTAGTAGATAGAGATCAATATAGTCAAAGCCTGTCTTCTCAAGCGTACTATCAATGTGCTTTTTTGCTGTTTCGTAAGACATGTCTTTTGGCGGAATCTTTGTGGTAAAGAAGAGGTCTTCCCTGGGGATTCCTGACTTCTTCATACCCTCAGCGGAAGGTGCTTCGTTCCTGTATGCTACAGCTGAGTCTACATGACGATATCCGACTTTGAGCGCGTGTTGAACCACTTCTGTAGCAATTTCTGCAGGTGTTTGATACACACCATAGCCGAGTACGGGGATCTTGTAGCCCGATGGCATCAAGTACCGGGATTCGATGGTCAGAGCCGCCATGTTGGCTGACGAGGCGTCGAGGAAACGGGGCGAATTGATGAGAGGAAGTTGAGAGGTCAAACGCGAGATTCGTCCCAATGCCGCGCGCATACTACCTAGTCCTGGTAACGAAGTGAAAAGACAACAAGCCTTTTGTAAGTGAGCTTCTCCGATCTTAGAACATCAAATACGCAGAAGCATTACGTATAGGTGCACGGCCTGGTAGCGGAGTTTTCGGAGATAAGACAGCTGGACGAGGACAAATGAGTAGAGAGCTATTGGTGGCTGCCTTCCTCGATAACGTGTCAGCCTTTAGTTTCTTGTCCGACTTATCCCACATGCCCCTCACGACAACCTCGCAGCTTAACACCCCAAACCTCACCTTTGCAAACTTATGGTCCATTCTGTCCCAAAACGGCAGTATTAGTGGCAATTCAACGCACACATGTTCCATAGCCCCGGGACACGGCGCAGCAACACATTTAACCTAGACAGAACACCATGACCGGTTAAATATTAAACGTCTCCTATCACGCTCAGTGCGCTTACTGTAAACGCTCATGTATCCAGTGCTCTAGACTTGCACACAAGCGTCGCGTCTACAAGTCTCATGCGCACCCTAGGCGGCTTCGCGGGCCTCAGCTGCACGGCACCCGACTTGACGGACGCCATAAGCGCTAGAAGGGCCGAAGAAGATCTGGGGAAGATACCGAACAAGAAGGTCAGTGGGGCGAAAACAAAGTACACAATCCCGGGCCTAATCGTGGACGCTGCTAGAAGCCACCGTGCGTGCCTATACGAGCTTACAAGTCTGCAAAGCTCCCGGACTTTTTCCTTTGCGTCTGCACTTTGCCATTGTACCATGGGCATGCGCTTGCTCAAAGGGGATATTCACTTGCAGCCTCCATCCGTCTCCGTATTCACCGGTAGATCGGCGTTTGGCTCCGCACCTCGGCAACATTCCCAGAACATGTCTTACGTTTCTGAGCTTGGCAGAGCCTTCGACTTGTTCAACAACTCTTCAACATTAGCCGATAAACACTTCATGCAACCGATCCTCGACGGCTTCCGATTGCATCTTGGTTTTGAAGATCGATTTCAGCCATGGCTTCGAGCTTTGTCCGCCCGTCAGCGTGCCACCCAGAGATTTGCAAGCTCGAGCAATCGTTCATCAGCTGGAGAGAGGGGAGGGTGGGGGAGGCATGCTGATGCACACGTGCAGCATGACCTCACGAGCCCGAGCAGACGGCCTTCCTTGCCGCCGACGAACCCTGTATGGTGCGGCTAAATGGACTGCAGTTCAACAACGCCCATGACTATCGGCCGAATCCATTGTGCAAACCCGTAGGAAGGGAAACACCACTTCGCTAATGTAGGGCGCAGATCATGAAACATGGACCCGGTCGAGGCGCTGGACCAGAGTGAGAGTCCTCTTCTCACAAGTACAGCACTTTGCCCCCCCGTTGTCAACCTCGCAGTTACCCCTCGAGTTCCCAGGCTCCTTGCTCGCTCTATGGCTCGACGTATATCTCGATTATGGCTCTATCAGGAAGGTTTCACTACACCCAAGTCTCCAAACTGACTCTCGGCTTATCACCCGTTCAGCAACGTGGATGACTTTTCGGGGATTGACCAATGTAACGTTCGCCGAGCACGCCATTGGGCCTCCCACGCTCCTCAGCCGAGTCACGATTGGGTGCTGACTCTTCGAACACGAAAAGCAAAGACCGCTGTCGAGTGCCGACAGCCAGCCATCTGAGACCGCAATGGCTTCTGGGCAACTGCGAGATGCACACCGACTTACGGGTGTGGGGGTTTACCACACCTACCTTAATGCTGACAGCATGTCTCGTCACACTTTCTAGAGCTTCGAGTAAGAAAACAAGTAGTCTATCAAGATTTCCAGAAGGTCCCGAACACCGGGGTTCCTTGCTCGTACTTCTTTCCCATTTGACGTAGTATTTGGAGCCCAGCCGCTATCAGGCGTTCCATGGTTTGCCGTAGGGTCGGCCGGGCCGCTGGAAACCTATAACACAAGTCTGTAAGCCGCTTATGCGCAAAGCAAACCGGCCATGGACACGGTCCGCGACGACATTAGCGAACGGATGTAAGTAAGCTTACTAGTTTGTGGAGTGAAACTTCCCTCTTCCCCGAGTAAGCTGTGAGCAGTCGCTGAGCAAATGGTAAATTCGTCTTCATCACATTTTCTGTCCGGGCAGCCAGTCACAGCGAGAAGACGCATTATCCTACTTGGATCTGGTTTGCTAAGTCGTGTGCCTACTTTTGCCTTCTTAGCCTTGGTGGGCGACGGTAAAGGGGCAGTGATACACGTCAGGTCGTATTTGATACAACTGCCGGCACTTCTGGGGAATTCCGTCTCGATCATTTTCTCTGAGAAGCTCTAAGATGCGAGAGGTCTGCTTACACGCGTGCGCTGGAAGAAAAATATGACGACATCACATGCCCATCAAAATTCGAAGACACTTCTGAACAGGAAATGATGTAGTGACATGTCAAGAGCGCTCACTACCTTTGCCATGAGACTCTATGGCTAACGATATATTCAGAAGCAATTTGTGACTTCGGCATGCGAGGTAACGGGAACATATTTTGACGGATACTTTCGGCTCATACATGTCCGAGACTTGTGCCCCCTCTAACAGAGACATCTAGCACAACCATTGTGGCAAGACAAATATAGTCATTAGTATGATCATCGATAAAAGAGAAATTTCATCCAGTTGGTCAGCGACGTGGCCTGGCAAGTACGCTCCTTCCAATCGCAATCACCACACCAAGTCTTTTCACATCCGGTGAGAGTAAAACGACTCAATACGAATGTGCGATTTCTGAATTCAGATCTTGGATGCAGGGATGCATATTCACTTACTTTGGACAGATACGTACGCTGTGCATCATCCGAGACCACTTGCCCTTGCATTCTTCCCGCCCTGTGCGTCACTGATGCCCCAAATCGCGATGAAGCAACCCTGTACACAAATTGCTCATACAATCAAAAAGAAGTGGAGCTTCTTGCAAACCTATAGTAGTAGTGTAGACCAAGGCGCCGTCTAGCATTGGCCCAGCCACACGCACACACATGTAGTATACCAAAAAACACATGACAGAACACGAGTGCCAGTCACATGTCCCCGTGTCAAAAAACTCGCAAGCGCGCGCTCTATCCCTTCCTACCCTATCCCTACTTCTAGTCCCGAAAAACACCCAGCGCCATATCCACGCGCGAACCTCGCCTCCCAAGCCTTCCCGCGCACACGCAACTCTACCCGAGCCACACCACCCTCCCACAACCCAGCACTATCCCCAAAAAGGCTCAATCCCCTGATACTCTTCTACAACACGTGCAACCTAGAAAGTTATTTGATGTGTGTGTGTGTGTGTGGAACCCCCCTCCACAATCACGCTATTACTACCGCTACCTAGGTAATCGTAAAGGTAGTACTCTCGCGGCACAGTTCCCAAATCGCACCCGCGTGCGCGCGCATGTGGTCGCAATCACATGTCTCCGCCGTCATGCTGTTTGCCGCAACGGCAGGAAAAGCGCTACGTACGGATGTGTTCTGCATGCGTAGAGGTGTGTGTGTGTGGCACGTACGTATGTACAGTGGGCATTGCCACTATCGACGGTTGGGAAACGGGCCGAATGCGTACGGCGCGGTAAGGGAAAGAAGGGAAGCGATGGGAAAAAAAGAGGGTAGTGGTAAGTAGAGTCATTCAGAGAGAGGGGGAGATGGGAGAGGGGTATGAGTGTGTGTGCCGCTTTTGCGCATACGCAGAGGATATGTTGGGCAACCGCGCGGGTGAAGGAGAGACATATTTACTGCGGCATGGGTGTGGAATTATTCCGTGCCGGTTTGGCGGTTGTAGGAAGGTCCTGCATGCTTAGAGAAGAGGAGGGGCCAGTCATGGAGGGAGGTGTTGCGCCGTTTGCTAGTCATTGATGCATTTTTGGGCGATTGCGGCGCGGCCAAAGGCCAGTTTTTTTTGCAGATTGCGGCGTAGGTATTTCGTGCATGTTGGGCAGGGACGGTGCGGAGTAAGTTGCATGGCATTGGCTAAGCTTGTTTGAAAAGGAATACTTTTGCTCGTCTAGAGAATTGTGTAGGTTCGTTCATTGAATGTGCGACCTAATGTAGGTACGTTGGCTCGCGCCGTTTGAGTCTAAAAAAGGTGCATAAGGCATGATGAAGAAAGGGATCACCTAGTGTGGCAATCGATAGACAAGAATGGATCGTTACAACATCGGTCATTGCTGACCTTAAGCAAGGGTATCTAGTGAAGAGTAAAATATGGATCTGTGAGCCTTGGAAATGGGCGGTGCGCGGTGCTCGTTTGCCGTTGCCAGCCACGCCCCAATCTCCTATGCAAGCCGCCCGTTTTTTTCTGGAAAACGCCATGCCCGTGCCGCATCGTATCGGACGAAGCGCTTGTTATCATTCCGGTGAATGATTCATGGGAGGACGATGGATAAGACGGAGATAAAGAAGAAAGAGAAGACGAAGACGAAGAAGTAAAGGGGTATGACTGTGACCAGTTTGCCTGTCCTACCCGACCTGGAAAGGAGCTCATCAGGTGTGCAAGAAGGGTAGGGAATTGTTGGGCGGCGGCTCGATAGGACTCATGGCGTAAGGGGCAAAGCCCTGCTGAAGATGATGATCGAACTGCGCATATGACAATGGTGGGTGATCCATCATTTGCCATTGACGTGAGCATTGCCGTGCTGTCCATTTCTCCTGCGCACCAAACTCCAACATCTATGAGATTGGTCAGCTATGCACTTTAGTTATTACAATCGAAACATACCTTTTGCGCAATAATCTCAAACTTGTTTTGTAACCAGTACTCGTGCGCCATACGTAGTGCTTTACGGTCGGTGTCGGTCCAGACGCGCATTCGTTCTCTCAGGCGCTTGTAGCGCATCTGTAGCGCAGGTATCTGATAAGACTTTTGTAGTTCTGTCTGGAAACGTGCTGCGATATCCTTCCACGGCATGGAGTCTTGTTCCTTGAGTTTGAGTAGGAGCTTGTCCTCCTCACTCAGCTCAAACTGTGTCGATGTTTGCGAATCTGATCGCTTCCTGCGCTTGGAGCTGTCAAGTGCTTCTTCTTCATCCTCATGGTACCTCTTGGTGCTATGTGATCGAGGCGTCTCTTGTGGAAGAGGGGCAATAGGGGTGTACGTGCGCCGTGGCTGTGGTGAGATCATCTGGTTTGATAGATCTACTGATGGTTCACTCAGACGAGGACTATGATTCAAGGATGGGAACGCCGGATAGTACGATTCATGACTGGAGTGAATACCCAGGGGGTTCATGGCCCAGGACACGTTCGCTCTTGCGGTGTTCAAGTTACTCAAGCTACTGTGGTTTCGGTCTAGTAGGTGAGACTGTGGCCCAAGACGCAAAGCCGACTGATGTAACGAACACCTTGGGTCGGACTGAGGCTCTTCTGATGGGCTGGCAGGCTCGGGTACCACCGAGTCTCGAGAGTAGACTGTGCCTGGAGACAGTGTAACAGATGGATCCAACTGTGTTGCGGATCCCGGATGTTTTGGCATATATGGAAACGCTGTTGCTGGCGGCGACAGGTTGATAGAAGATGTGTGAGGAGTAATGTAGTTGTTGTATGAGGCATAGCTAGTCTAGGTGGGTGCATGTGAGTAGCCAGACGTAGGATAAGAATTAAGTACAAACCTCACTAGAGCACTCGGGGGCCGAAATTGAGGGGCCATACCATGCAGAGGCCGGGACGTGGATGGCCTCATGAGAGGGTAGAGGGCTTTCCGGTAGATGTGACATTGAAGGTTGGAGCGACTGAGGAGACATGGGGGCAGGCGAGGAGGTTGAGGCGGGGTAAGTATGACTGTGGTAGGGACTTTGCCACGAGGATGGTCTTGACTGGAAGAGGTGTGGAGGGGGGATAGCACATTCAAGTGTAATCGACATGGCCTCTATTCCTTGCGGGAGAGTGAAGGGCCTTACTCTTGCTGCGCCTCTTCTACTCTGGTTGCCGATATAGCCAGCAAGCAAGGAGGATGGGCAGTAGCAGGAGTATGATGAGCAAGACGGGGCGCGCAGTGATGATGTTTAGGCTCGAGGTAGACGACTAGGCTAGGGGGACGCCTCCGTCATATTTATCAAGATAGTGATGGTATAGCGGACAGGTTGTGCAGGTTACTCTCTAGTGCATCGACTGTATCGTGCCCCCGGTAGGCGTGGAAGGATTGGGTGCTGCGCGCATTGACTGTCAGGCCTGCACGTTAGCGCCCCGGGCATTCACCCTGCTGTCTAGGCTGGCTCGTCACGGTATGGCGGCAGAGACCCCGGCTGCACTGCGTTGCGCTTGAGCCGCGAATTGGCCAGGCATGCATAGTCAGTCGACGGTTGTGTCCGACCCATTTGCTGACCCGGAACGGCATGCTGGGTTCACTCCATGTGGGCGCGGTCTACGACAACGGCGATGATCATGGCGTACAAGTCAACATGCAGGCGCAAGCCCAGCCTTGCCATTGCTATTCAGCCCCACTGGCCAGCCGCCATCGACATACATAGCAATACTGTAGGCTCGTCGCCGCAATGCTCGTGTCCGCAATGCTCGTGTGCGCGCCGCGCCGTCTATAAACGACGGTTCAGGACTGGGACCACCGGATGCAATGCTGGTTCAGGCGGCCGACCTGGTGACGTCGGGCTCTTCTTCTTGCCTGCGAGTTATTTTTTACGGAAACAGGACGTCGCCAGAGGATAATTTCTCTTCGCTGCAGCGTGATATTGACGAGCCCGCCTGAGCTGGCGGCGTCATAGGATGCTGACAACAAGGGGGGCAGTCCATGGTGCAGCACGACGAGATTTGGCCAGGCCGTGTCTTCCCATTCGGTGTGCAGGACGACTGTGCCGCGAGAATAGAGGTGAAAGCGAGCAAATAGGCCTGCATGAGGAGGGTAAGCTGGTGGTTGTGGACACAAAGGCGCTTAAATGCGTGGATGGAGTAGCTGCCATTGGCCGCTAATCTCCACTCGGCTGGCTAAAGGCCGCTAATTCGCCGTATTTGTGCCACCCACCCATCCGCCCATCCTCCCCAACTCTCCTCCTTCGCTTCATCCCCCCTCAACCACCACTCATACACGCAAGCCTCGAAGATCACTGCCACCACCACTAACATGCTCATATCGCCAGCCAGTCCGCGTGCCCTCCGTGTCAACAATCGCCCCACACCATGGCCTCAGCGACCCGGTGCTGGGCCGAGTTGATTGACGGTGCAAGCTGGTGCTGGTCACACCCCACCCTCATGGTCCCATCTCTACTAGTCCTCCTAGGCTGTGCGTTGTCGGTCGGCTAAAGGCTCTGGTTGTGCCTGTCTCCATTCCACCCCGCTCCCTTGCTGTTGGCTGCTCATCGTCTTCGCTCGTCAGGTCGACCACTGACCATGGCCGATGAATCCGTGTCTGCGGGATCCTCCTGACGCCTTCCAAGTCTCAGGCTTTTTTCCCTGTCCGTGCTAGTTCCTGAAAGCAGAACAATAGCTTCTGTTCGGCGGCTGCGCGTTAAACTTCGCTGCCGCACCGTGCCGCATCGTGCCGCATCGCAACGCTTTCTCTACACTGCCTCACCAACATTGATACAGCCACTCTTCAGTATTATCAGTCTTCCACCGCCATTCTAAGCACCTATATTTACTCGCTGCTAGCACAATCTGCCTTGTCTTAACCAGCCTCTCACCCTCGGCTTCTTCGGCGCTTACAAAGAGATGTTTACTGGAATGTGGTAGGAAAGCGCATTCTTGTGTGTCCCCAAACCTGACGCTTGCAGCAGCTATGCCGTAAATGTGGCCAGCAATCATGGTGGAGGGTCTAGGGCTTTGTATGTGCATAAAGAATACGACGAGATGACGCGCCATGCCACTCACTTCGGCCAAGTCACGAGTTTCAGGGTCCGTCAAGATTTTAGGGACTGCAGCTAATGATTGGAGACGTTCCGTCAACATGAGCCGGCCTCAGCATCATTTTAGAGCTACTCCAAAAGTTGCTGTCATCCGCTGTCGCATGTGCCCCGTTGGACGCCTTGCAGGCCTTGCAGGCCTTGCATGAGCCTCGACGGACTCTCCCGTAAGAGGCCCCATTGTGAAATGAAATGAGCAGAAAAAAGAGCGTAAAGCAGTAGGTTTCCCGATAGTCTATTTTGGGACAATATGCTAACGGGAACGCATTTGTTTGCCCATGCTGTCGATCCTGTTGCTCCGGCTGTGGCACATCCTCTAAGCCAGATCGTAGACTGTACACATAGAGGCCCGCTGCATTTTGAGTAGCAAATATGTTGTGGCGAGTCTACATATTCCATGTATACCCTTTTGGCCAACTTGGCAATACTCGAATACACGCACCAGAATACAACAAATGAGACAGTAATCTATTGGAGCTTTCTCGGCACTGTGCACCTCATATATTTGTGTAAAAACTTCAACAGATCGGGGCAAATATTCTCATCTGCCGCTATACTACTGAAAACAGATAAACGATGTCTATGAACAGACATCATTGGGATTTCAGTTGCGAGAGTACGCAAGTCATAGCTATGATGATGAAGACTGCACGAGCAGTTTGATCACATCGCTCTAACAAGTCACAGCAGTATGTTAATGAGTGTGTTGAAATATCCCCGTGCAAAGGGTTAAGCCATGTAGCTCTGTCTTGTAGTCAATATCCTCATGTGGTTGTCGAGGCTAGGCCATAGATTGCCGGGGCTAGAAGATGCGTAGGTCAGCCATAGAATCCCATGCTGACGGACCCCCTCTATCCGCCATGCTGTATTAAGGTTAGCGGATTAGCAGACTCCGGGGTATTGCCAAGCCGTTACGGATACCTGGTAGCTTGCGTATGCGGACGCGAGCCATCAGCTCCACAACGCATCATCATCCACGCAACCTATTCATACCTCTGCCTTTTTCTCATCTCCGATTCCTGAATCTCCCAACAGGTGGCGCTAAGCCGGCCCGTACTGGAATCCTTCATCACAAAGAACAGTGCTGGCACGCGGTGCCGACATCGAACCCTGAACCCGATACGCCGGCCACAGGCCTCTTATTGTGTAGCCGTCGCACACCGCATTCCGTCCCCAACATGGGGTTCAATCTCTTCCACATCCTCGGCGATGTCTCGCATACCTCATCCAAGCTCATATTGATATGGGCCATACACGCGAACAGCAGTGCAGAGGGTGGGTTGGACTAGCCATAGGCTACCGGTCGCGGCATTGCTAACACACTGCATAGGCGTGTCCCTCATCACCCAAGTGCTCTACGCACTCGTATTTAGTACGCGATACCTCGATATATTCACCTCCTCGGCTACAAAGGACGTATGGCACACATGGAACTTCTCCCTCAAGGTAGGGCGCGCTCGGGTCTGTCCACGCTGGCAACTACCGGACTGACTGGAATTAGATCTTCTACACGCTATCTTCTTTATACATCATCTTTCTTATGACAAGTGTATATGCGCGCACAAGAGAGCGGGAAAAGGCGTGGAAGTTTGGCATGTACTGTCTGCTTGGAAGCATCATCATCACCCCTCTTTGGTATCTCATCTTCAAGAAGACCCTTATTGGTCATAGCAGCTTCCTCAAAGTCAGTTTTCCCCATTCTACTAGAAGCAACCAAGCGACGGAGCTAACCGCAACCAAAAACAGTTTCTCTGGGTCTTCTCGGAAATCCTCGAATCCGTCTGCATCATCCCCCAACTCCTCCTCTTGCGCCAAACTACCGTCCCAACCGTCATCGATTCATACTACCTTGTCGCACTAGGCACGTACCGCTTTCTCTATGTGCTCAACTGGATTGTACGCGGCGCCAACGAGAACCACTACCGCGACCCTACATCATGGGTTTGGGGCTCTATTCAAACCGCCCTGATGATTGACTTCGCTTGGGTGTACTACACACGTCAGCGCGTAAAGCTCCGACACGGCGGAGTGGTGGATTCAGAGGATCTGGGTCGGGGATGGCTTGTTGGGCGCTTTGTCGGCAGAAAAAGCATGGACTTTGACTACGACGAAGAAACTGGAGGCCAGCGAAATGACTCGACACAGCCGCATAACAAGTGGGGACGGCGAGGCATCTCCGTGTCCGCTGACGAGGGCGTAGAGGGCGCGCCAAAGAGAAGGAGCCCGGAGAGGGGAAGCGCGGACCCGGAGACCCAGCCGTTGGCAGACCCTGCAGCATTCGATGATGAGAGTGACGAGGATGCCCCTGTCGCGCCTGTGGCTGGTGCTTCGGTGGCTGAGCAGAGCGGGGTGAGAAGAGACGAATGGGACGATGATGTGGACGATGATGCGACGGAGCACGACGCATCTTCCAAGATGATCAAGTAAGCAACTCGAGTTGGATTTTTTTAGAGATATGTGATGTAGATAGTAGGAGAATGTTCGTTTCTCTCTTGGATATATCTATTCTTTGTACATTATCCCCGTCCAATTTGGAAATGCTGAGATGTACTCTTTCTCTCTGCTTTTACATCTTCAAGGTTTCACCAAGGTATACATTTCAGGTAAAAGACAAATTGAAGTAAGTAGTAAAATATGCTCATCATTTGCTCAAAATAGCGGTTGGGTAATCTTTCCATCCCAACGAAAGGGTTCCTCATATACTAACCCAAGATACAGGAAAAAAAAAAGGATAATACAAAATATATACAACGAATCGCGGGAAAGGCGTCCATCATTCATGTTCCCATGCCATCATTCCCTCTCACGCTTATTGGCACACACCAGTTGGAACAACAAAGCTGTTCGTCCGCTTGGTGGCATTGTAAATAGCACCCTGACCCAGACCGCGCTTAGCGAAACCCTTCCAGATCTCGCATTGGTTCTCGCCACCAGTAAGCGCCTTGTCGGCATCAAGGATAGCGTCACGGGCAGAGACAAAGGTAGGGTTGCAAGGCTGGAGGGCCATGCCGTCAAGCCAGAGCTTCATGGCGAGGTACTTGCCGTCGGTGGGGACGCCCTTGGCGTTGAAGGTAGGGAGGTCAGCGTCGTTTTTGCCGTGCTTGTCGATGAGGTTCCAGAGGACTTCGTAAAGCATGGAGGCCCAGATGTTGCCGATTTGGTGGACGGCGGTGGCGCTGTCGCTGTCTGAGTAGACTTGGGGGTTGACGGTCATGCTGGTGGAGTAAAGGGCGCGGCGGATGCCCTGGGGCTTGCCTGTGACCCATTCACCGATTGGGTAGTTGGTGGCGCGGGTGTCCTTGGCCTTGAGGCGGATAGCGGTTGCGTAGGCGTCGCTCCAGCCCTCGCCCATGCCGCCGGATTCGAACAGACTGAGGCAGCCGGAGTTGGCTGGGCCACCGGTCAGACGGTTGGAGAGGCCGTGCGTGTACTCGTGGATGACGACGCCGGCATCGAAGGAGCAGTCGCGCCAGGGCGTGGTGGAGGTGAACATGTACATGCGCATGCGTGGGGCTTGGCCGTCTGGTGGTGTAGCAAAGTTTGCGTTGTCGGTCCTCTCTCCGTCTTGGGCGTTAAGGTAGACAAAGTCAGCACCGAGGCCGCCAGCGCCGTTGTTACTGGCCTCAAAGTTACCAGCCTTCTCGTTGAAGCCTAGTACGTGGAGGAGATCGTGGTATTTGTTCGAAGTGTAGTAAAGCTGGGTGATTGAGGCATTGGCGTAGGTTTTCCAGTCCGAGGTTGCAGGCGAGTAGGCAAAATCGTAGATATCATTGGGTACGTTGGGACGTGGCAGAGTGATGAGGTTGCTGAGTTGGTTGTTCCAGTTGCTTTGTGCAACTGCGTTGTTACCACGGGTTGTCTTGTACGTGGTGGTGCCGTCATTGTGCCATCCAAATTCACTGGCTGGCTTGTACTCAGGATCTTTGATAAGCGCTCGGTTTCCCTCTGCTGGACTAGTGAGACCCCAGGGGCTAGAAAGAGGAAAGAGTCAGCAACGCACGGGCCTATTATAATGACAATGACTTACTAGACATTGTAAGTGGCATCGGCAGAGTAGTCAACGGCAGCATGGACCTTGTCGCCAGTTTCTGCGTCTACGTAGGTGAGAAGCCAGTTGCTCATGATGTCGGTCTCGATCCTCCAGGTGAGGGAGAGCTTGCCCTCTTGGTTGATAAGGTAGACAAGGCGTGCTTCCGGGTCGCTAACACAGCCGCTAGTCTTCTTGATGGTGAATGTGTTCTCTTCTTGCTGGGGTTCAGCAGCAGCCGAATCGGCAGATACAGGGAGGGAGAGAATCTTGACAGCGGACTTGAGGGCATCTACGGGCTCAGCAGAGTCACGCTTGCCCAGACTTGGTGGTGGTGCTGGGATTTCGCCCTTGTAGAAAGAGTTTCCAAACGAGAAGATACGGCCATCACGACCGATCTAGGAAGTGTTAGTCATGTCAGACTTGGGTGAGAATTCAGGTGACTTACGTTGACGTTAAAGTCGGCCGAGTCAATGTCCAAACCATTTGCGGTCTGCTTGTAGTAAAAGTGGGCGATGCCATTGTCGCCAACATACGAGTCGCCCGCCAGACGGAATGTAGCACCGGGTACAGTAGCCTTGACCAATTCGTCGGCAGTTTCCTGAGCAGTTGCACGCTTGGTGATTGAGGATTCAATGGTAGGATCCTCCTGAACCTCGGTGACATTCATGTATTGAGCAGCATGCTTGATACGGAAAGCATCGAGGTTGACGGCCCTCTTGCTAAGTCCGTTCTGGCTATGGCTGGTGTGGGGATGGCCATAGACGCCAATGGCCGACAGTGATGCCAGCGATGCGAGAAGTGTGGACCGCATGATGAAGTAGAGGGAAGAGGGAATGAAGGAAGGGTGGCGAGATGTGGATGATGACACAGCTGAGGGCGTAGGAGGTGAGTCTTATAGATGTTGTATGTACGCCTACCTCGCTACGGTGACTACCAAAGCAGCCTATTCACGTCTGGCAGATGGCAGTGGACCAGGGTCTCGGTGCGATGCCGGGCAGGTTTGGTGGATCACGTTTGGTGGCAACGGCGCCTACACGAGGAACGATGTATCACCGGCTTCCTTTCTTAGCCTCGCCTCATGCGTAGTCTGTCCCCAGGCGTACGGGAGCCAGTTAAACGATTTTCTTGGCAACTTAGTAGAAAGAGGCAGGAAAGGTAGGAAATTGGCCGATCGGTATGCTAACAATATAGAGTAGAGATGACGGACCTTCCAGATGCAGCTATAGGCGCGGGATGCTGTAGTGTTATTTCCGCTCCCACATGTATAGCATGAATATACATATGGGGACCCCTGGACTGGGGGCCTGTAACAGGAAGGCCAGCACAAGCAATGAGTGCATGGCAGTGCTTTTGCTCCAAGCAGCAGCCTGCAGGAACCCGTATAGCTGAACCCCACAGCTGCCCAGCTTCCCCAAGGGGGGGAAATGCGCCTGAGGCGGTTCCGGTGGTCGCGGGCATCTTGAGGGTTTGGATAGGTAGGGTACATGTGTGTGGTGGAGCCTGTACGATTCAACGCTATTGCTGCGCGATAGCAGGGCTTGGCGGCGTCGCCTCCTGCCCGTTTGGCGGTAGCATGCTTTTGCGAGGCCCCCACCACGCCGCCCTCATGGCTGCACAGGAACGCTGGAGATCAGAGACACGGCGAAGGCGCATCATCGTGGCCGCAGCTCGTGCGTCCAGGCTCAGGCCCGACGCCCTGTGGGCATCAAGCTGGGGACTGTGAGGGTGTGAGGGTGTGAGGGTGTACTGTCAGTATGTATGTAATATGCAGGGCTGGGCCAACCCCAAGACGATGATAACAAGTCGCCACCAGCTGCTTTGCTTGAACAAAGACAAATAGCGTATCCTGCCGTTTGTGGACATGAACAATATAGCCAACTTCTTCTTGTGGTCGGGTTCCGATACAGCTCCAGGTACTGCAACCAAACACCAGACGAGATGCGGCGATGTTAGATGAGCACGTGCCCAGGGCTGCTCTACCTCCCTAAAGCGGAAAGGCATGTCGTGCCTGTCGTCGCGTGAGCCGAGGAGATCGCCGCCGCCCCTGACTTATGACAACATGACCACGGACCGAAGCGGGTGACAGGTACGACAGCCAAACGTCCACACTGCAATTGGACCCTGGGTCGTGTCAATCTTGATTCCATCTTTATTAGTTAGTAGAGTGGTAGTATTAAACCAGACCCTGCCCCTTCATACCCCCAAGCACAGCCACAGCCACAGCCACAATCATAGCCACAATCATAGCCACAATCATAGCCATATCCCTATTACAACACAATCAGATTCCCAATCTTGACCCCCTGACTGCGGAAGTGATATCGTCTCCTTACCCCCATCCCGCTGGCTCTCTTCAGCTTGTCCATGGTCGCTTGCCCTCCTCCCACCATGACCAGCGGTACAGGGTTCGGCCGCAGCATCCCCGTCGGCGTATGCTGTGCTTCGTCTAACAGTGGTTGAGCGGGTGCCCGTCCTCCATCACTGTAGCCATCCTCGTGTTCGGGAAAACTGACGACAATCACAAGCTGTAGAGATGTGCTGCTTGGTGGGTATGCAGGCACATTGTGAAGCTTTGTAGAAAATGAGCAGTCGCCGCGAGGTATCACAATCACTTGATACTGCTTCGCAATCTCCACTCCAAGTCGCTCGTTGCACAGCGTAGTAGGATGCACGTAGATCTTTGTCCACGCTAGTGCCTTATCCGCACTGTACGTCAGATCTGCATCTTTCGTATCCGGCATCGGTACTGCACCAGGGCCCGTCGGGAGCGCTGCCGCTAGAGAATACCGTTTCGTAAGCTGCCGATCCCTATCTCCAGACCACGATGCTGTCGACGTCGATGTAGGCATGGGAACAGACAACAGAGCCTGTAGCGATGAAAGGAGACTGGAAAGATACGAAGGCTCACTTTTGAGCGCCTCTGCATCAACTTCAAACTCAATCGCATCCGCAACGTCCATATCAGACAGGTTGCCTGTTCCATCAAGTACCTCGTTGACCAGGTCAGACAGTACACTCGACACTACAGATGTTGGCTCTGGCGGGACATCAACCACCAAGTCCAAGACCTGACCGTCTCGTGTCCGAGTAAAGAAGGGGTCCAGTGGATTAAAATTGTCCATAGTAGAACGTGACATGAACACCTTCTCGTCGCGTCCCAGGGCAATGTTGGAAATGGCATAAATGCGAAACTGCTCGTCCATCTCAATCCCATTGCCCATTGCAGGTACTTGGTCATGCTCCCGCACCATGCCAAACCGCAGTCCGCTGATCGAGTTGACGAGGATTCCTTCTTGTACTCTCTGGAGCGCCCCAACTAGCGATGTGCTCGGCATATTGGGAAACGTCAAATCGAACGTCGACCGAACCGCCATTGATGAGCTGGTGGCGTTGTGCGGGATAAGCTCAGGAGGCAGAGTCCATGGGTAGTATGTGTAATTTGAAGGCGATCGAACATCCGACATTGAGATGCTGGGATGATCTGTGTTGAACTCCACCAACGGCGAATCCAGTGTCTCAATGGTTGGCATCAAATGCAACTTTGCCAGGCTTGCCGCATGGTAGACGTCAGGACGAGCCGCAGTAGCCGAAATACTGAACGGTAAGTGAGCTGGCGGAAGAGGGCACGTTTCGGCCGTCTGACCGCCAGACTGTGGCTTAGATGCAGTCTTTTTCTTTGACCTTAGGCGTTTGGGTATAATTAGAGGGTGTCCCTCCGTAGTAAAGACAAACGGCGCATCCCAAGTATTGAGCGGGTGTGATGGGTCAAAGAGTAGGAAGAGGTACTTCACAGTCTCGCCCAGAAAGAAGCTCTCCATGCGATCATTGAGCTCACCAGTGCGCACATCCTGCAGACCCGCCCATCCGCACTTGGTCCAGCAGCGCCTTTTGATGTCGCGAAGCGCCATCTCCCCTACATGCAGATACCAGGGGTCTTTGGTCGCTTGATAGAGGTACCAGGTCGATTCAATCCACTCTGGCCGACCACCCCACCAGCGCAAACCATGCTCGATGCCGCCAGTTGCAGTCGACCATCTCTCGGGCATCGCAGAATATCGTGTCCATAGCGCAGTGTACAGTAAGTGTGTCTCGATAGCCTCGTCCAGTTCACCAGCCAGAGTCAATAGTCCCTGGTAAAACGCACTGAGACTGTCGATCCAGAAGGCTCTGATGGCGCCAGTGTAGAGATCTACTTGGGCATAATGGGGATGGTGATGCTGCGCGCCACGATAGATCTGTCGCTTAATGCTGTCGTGCGCATCGAGCCAAGCAGTAAGAAAGGCGTCGGGAGAGTCAGTGGCAGCATTATCTTCGTCATAAGGCAGACCGGAGAGTAAGATATGCGACTTGAGGGCATACTCAAAAAAGCTGTCGATTCCTGCCCCGATGCCCGTGTAGGCATTCACCCATTGTCCAGTTTCCGCATCGATACCGGCACCAATCAGTCCAATGCTGCTTCTGCGCTGCCAAACTGCCCAGAAAGCCTTCTTAGCCAATTGCTCATACCGAGGATTACCCGTCAGTCGGCTCAGGACAGTGAATTCGAGAACCAGACTTCCCGCTCCGGCGCTACAAGTCTCGGTAACTTCGGTCCCTTTATCGTTAGGGTCTCTTCCACATTGCCCATGTTCAGCGTCCATGTTGTGCGGAGATTTGGCGTAGAAAGGAACGCCATGACGCAGGTTGACCCGGGGGTATGGCAGTCCAGTGGGTGTATTGAAGGCGGGTAAGAGTCGCTCTGCCAAGTCTCTGGCCAAACGTAGCAATTGCCCATCATACACGAATCCATTCGGCCACACAACTCCCTCTTTGCCGTCCTTGCGCTCCGTTGTAGGTTTGTAGCCACGGATTGGCAAATCTCCGACCGCAAATTGGTGCGCACTCAGCAGACCCCCAACTCCGCGAATGACAGTTTCGAAGACTTGCACCTTGCTGTCCAGGTCAAAGCCTCTCGATCTTGCCCCTTGGCCACTTGGACCAGGCCTTCCGTCTCCGTAATTCTCTACCAAGAGCTTGACACCATCTTGAAATTCTGCCAGGGGCCTGTTGGCGCCCGTCTTGCTGAGCGGAGGGGTCGAGGCGAAGATGGCGAGGGTGGATAAGCTATCGATCAGGGTCAAAGAGTAGTTTCCCAGGACATCATTGACTTCGATGTGCGCAGGATTGTAGCGGTCACGCGTAAGAGGGGCACATGTCAGTGGACGTAGTTCGTCTTCAGGGAATGCATGTTTCATGTAATTGTCGTAGCCATGGTCGAATATATCGCGTGTCTCTTGTCTGGTACCATCAGCGAGCGCACGCAGCTATATGCGCAATATGGCACAAATTTACCTTAGGGCTGCTATGGCTTCATCTGTCATACAGCGTGCGAGAGTCGCCCAACAACATATGCATAGTACGAGTGTCCATAGTAGCTGAAAGGGCGATCCTCCAGGCATTGGCGCATTCCGCCACAGAGGCCATGCAGTCTGTCGCATGGGCAAAGGCGTGCCCGTGAGGCGACATCAGTCTGTACTGTTTTTAGCAGTGGAGGGTAGACGTGTCAAGAAGCCTATATCTGCAAAGGGTGGGGGCGCATGGCGTTGACCGGGTGAAGGACACGATTACCATATGCCGAAGCAGCGTCATTGCGCCAAGAAATCTTGCCGTCAATTATTTCATCGGAAGACCGCAGAAGATTTCGACTGCCATTGATTCCGCCCGCCACCTTGCCCTCGTATATTCTTCAGCCCATGTGTTCTACAGGCGCATTGCTTATTTGACGCTTTTATTCTTCTTAATTTGCGCTTTCCTTTAGGTTTCTCCCTCTGCCCGCCATGCTGCCGCGAGGTGCCTTTCGGGCGCTGCGCACGCGGCCTGTACTTGCTGCTCCGCGCACAGTGTCGATAGCCTCGACATGGCAATGGAATCGCACATACGCCAAAGTTGGAAAGCCAAAAGACAACACCTGGAAGCCGTCGGATCCCATAAAATTTGCTCAGGAGAACAAGGCGCAGCCGAACCCGGTAAACTCTTCAGAGCAGCCAGAGTTTGATACGGCAGCGTCCCCAGAGAGCAACACAACACCATCACAACCTTCGAGACCCATTGAGAGCGCCACCCGGGCGTCACAAGATGCAGGAAACAATTTCAACACCGCAGAGCACGCCGAGATGTCAGGGCCTAAATCGGCTGCTGAGAACACCGATCCCACCACCGAGAGTCCCGAGTCACAACAGCCACAAAAACCTCTACCCGATCTGCGATATGGTATCCCCTCGACATTTGCCGAAGAGCAAGCCGAAGCTCAAGGCAAGGCGAAGAGGGACCCGAATGACCCCAACGAGGGTTACGAAGACCCAATATCAGGCGCCGCAGGTGGCCGGGAAGGAGGGGCGGGCGGGGAACTGCCCAAATCTGCATACGAGACGAGTACCGATAGGCGGCGGAATAGGGTTGCCAACTGGTCGTACCTTGGAATGCTGCTATTTGGCACCACTGGAGCTGTCTACATGGGAAGGAACTGGGAAAACGAAGAAGAGGAATCAGCACATCCAGATGCTCCAAATGGGTGGACAGTCGGCCGCATGTATGCCCGCGCAGCCGCTCGCATCAATGGACAAAAGGCCTACTACACCGAGCCTACCTTCCAAAAATTGCTGCCAGACAAGGACAAGATTCCCGGAGGCGCTCCCGAACTCACACTCGTCCTAAGTTTGGAGGATCTGCTACTGCACTCGGAATGGAGTACCAAGCATGGCTACCGATTAGCAAAGCGACCTGGCCTTGATTACTTCCTGCGCTACCTCAGCTCACAATACGAGCTTGTCATCTTCACCTCTGTGAAGTCCATGGACGCCGACCCTATTATCCGTAAACTCGACCCCTTCCGCCTCGTCATGTGGCCTCTGTTCCGCGAGGCGACACGCTTCGAGAAGGGCGAGTACATCAAGGTACGTCTACAGCTGTTTCAAACGATACCATTGCGCTTTACTAATTTGCTCAGGACCTCTCCTACCTTAATCGCGACCTATCAAAGGTTATCATCATCGACACTGACCCATCGCACGTCAAGCTCCAGCCAGAAAACGCCATTGTCTTGCCCAAATGGAAAGGCGACCCCAATGACAAAGGCCTCATTGCCATGATTCCCTTCCTTGAGTATCTCGCCATGATGAGCCAGACCGGCACGCCCATTGACGTCCGCACTGTCCTAAAGTCCATGGAGGGCAAAGACATTCCCACCGAATATGCGCGCCGAGAAGCCAAACTCCGCGAGCAATTCCAGCGCGATCTCGCCGAGCAAAAGAAGAAGAGCAAAGGCAGCGCAGGCGGCATGTTTATGAAGAGTCTGGGTCTCGACACCGCCAAGCAAGGCATGGTCCTCGGCGACCAGAACGTCTCGCAGGGCATGAACGAGGGCAAGATGATGATTGACATGTACCGCGAATTCAACAAGCAAAACTACATCCATCTCGACAAGCAGATCCGCGAAAACGGCGAGCAGTGGCTCAAGGAAATGGCAGAGGAGGAAAAGAAGATGCAGGAAGCACAGCTCAAGGATATGAAGGCTGGTGCGTTTGGCTGGTTAGGCGGTGCCGCACCGCAATCTGCTACCGTTCCTTCGGCTGCTTCTGCACAGGAAGCTGCTGCTAGTCATCAGGGGGGCGTGTCACCAACTCAGACCAAATAAAACCCTATTTGTTTGGCGATTTAACGAGGATGAAAAGATACCACTACGAAAAGACTAGAAGAACGCATATGTATTCCACTCTTGATGCCAGTCCTCTGAAAGGAAAAGGAAAGGAAAAAAAGTTGACTGTGCGTGGCGATGCCATGACGCTGGGCAGGAGACTTTATTGTACTATATATTATGTTGGAATAGCAAATGATCACAAAACACAACCCATTGCACATGCCAGTAAAACAAAAAGAGCAGCTATTAAGCCCACCCCAACCCTCTCATTACATCTTTCTCTACTTACTTACTCTTCACTCATACTGCTTCCATCCCTCGCAACCATACTCTCCACATCCTCCCTCGCCCCCTGCACATCCGCAAACAGCGCCACCGTCTCCCGCGGGACCCCATACGCCAGCAACTCACTCCTCGCCTCCTCCTTATCCGCATGTCGTAGAAACCTGACAGCTGCATCCCACAACCTACGACTTCCCGCTAGCTCATCATCCGCATAGCTAATCAGCTCGCCCATCCAATCCTCGCGCTTATTTTCCATGTTCCAAAAAGCAATGCCCGTGCGCAGGTAAATCATGCCTACGTCGCTACCGCCCAGGACCTCTGCGAGGAACATTTCGAAATCTGGGTTGAGCGACTCTTCGAGGATGGTGATGCTGCGCATGCCCCAGAACGCCGCGTCGTCCCAGCGAGCGAGCTGGTTGTATGCGGCGAGAAATCGAGAGACGAGTTTGAGGCGCAGGACGACGCGCACGGTGACGCCTGTTTGGCCTGCATAGCGGCCGTGGGTGACTGCGTCTTGGAAGAAGACGTCGGCCATGACGCGGCGGGTGCGGCCATGGATGAGGATGTGGATTGCATGAAAGGCTTTTTTATAGAGCTCGATTGCTTCAAGGGCGGTGGGCTCCGTGGACTTCGCCAGCGCGGCGTCGCCGGCGGCTAGGTAGTCTGTTGCTGATTCGAGGCTTTGCTCGAGTGAGGGGATCGGGCGGGCTTGCAGGTGCGCGAGTTCCGACTGGACGGTGTTTGAGAAGCCGATGAAGATGGAGTCGTGGAGGCCCTTTACATGTTCGAATGGGAGGAGGAGTTTTCGCTGGACGGCGAGGGGGACTCCAAGCCCGTCTTGTTCTTGATCTTGCTCTTCGCTATCCTCATCGCGGTTTTCATTTGCTCTCGCTGGATTCCGCAGCATAAACGTAGTGTTCAGCCGCTCGTTCAGCGTCGGATACGACAACGCACTGTAATACCATGTCCGAGTGAACAACGGCAAGTCATCCGCCAACATGACAACCATATGCTCCGGCGTTACAATCTGCATCGGCGAATCAATCTGCACCACAGCGTGATGCCCCGTAAACGCATTCGCCTGGGCGTCCGCACATACAATCGGCACCAAGCCCTCTGATGAGATATGATTGACTAGAGACACTCAAAACAGCAACAATCAGCCTTAAATTCCCGCATTTCCCCCAAATATCGCTTTTTTTCCAGAGAGGGGTAATTGCAAGGTGGAGAAGGGGAAGAGTGGGAGAAGAGCTCACGATGTCTACCAGACAAGCTAATATCGCCATACTGATGGAGCTGCTCGGGCACCCCGTCCGTAGCCAAAAGATAAACACGATACATACCAGCACTCGGCCATGGCGTCGCGATCTTAACAAAGATGTTTTCTCGTCTCCACACGCGCTTGCTCTCCCGGTGTATCTGCTTATTTACATAAAAGACGTCGAGGTCCCAGTGGTAGACGCCTCCGAAGAAACCCTTTGCTTCGAGCGCAGTGTTGCGCACGAGGTGGTCACCGGGGTGAAAGTAGTACGAGTAGATTTGCTCACGAAGCTCTAGTGGGAGGCGAAGGAAAGGGAAAGCTGGGGCCGAAGCGGATGCGTCGTCGGCCATGGGTGGTAGTGGTGGCGATGGTGGTGGGTCAGAGGACTGCGGTGGAGGTATAGACCGTGACGAGAATGGATTGGGGACAAGTGAAGAGAATTGGAACATGCCGATTGAGTTATCGGGGCCGAAAGTAGGACGCTTTAAAGGGAAAATGTGCTAACTTGCGCGTGTAACTGGTACGACGGTGATGCATGACATTGGCATTGTACCCCACTGTTAGTATCTCCGGTCTTAACGCCGCGGGCCGAGGCATCTTAAGGAGCGAGGGTTCAGTGCACTGCATGGTAGCACGTTTAAAGACATTAGAGAACTATTCCTCTACCTTGGATGTTGCGTACTCGAGCACTATGTCTTGTGACGAACCTTTCATAGGACATGCACCAGATGACCAATGCCTCATAGTCCATACAAGAATGTCCACTTGGCCTCGGCATATCTAGTCGGATCCAGGCGCTCTGCTTCTACGTCTTCTGCACTCGCCGAATTTGCCATCGCCAACCTTTTTGCGTTGATTGTCTTGAGGATATACCTGTAGGCTACATAGCCTACAAGCGCCGCTGCTACAAACCCCAATGTAGCGTAAAAGGGCGTAAGATATCTGGGTGCATGTTTTTTCTTGTACAGTTGACTACCAATTACACCTGCAAGGTTGCCGAATCCGTTTACCCCTAGGACAAGGGAGCGTTTACCTGGCTCTAAAAGGATCAATTAGCATAGCAATCTTCACTGTCAACACGGCGATCGGCCAAGTGGGGCTGTTTTTGACGTACCAGGATTGTTCCCACTCAGCCAGGCTACCGTCAGAGGGGCTGAGATGTAGCTACCAAATAGTAGGATGCATAGGCCTATATACTGGATGCTGTGAGACTGCGTGGTCACAGTTACGATAAGACCCACTAGCGCAATGCATATTCCCGTGATGATATGATAGCCTCGCTCTTTCCTGACGGTATAATTAGCAAAGCCTGTGATACTTCACTTAGGAGTATATACTGATGATCTGAGCTGAGGGCAAACAAATAGAGGCCTATGGCACCACACACGAAAGGAGGTACAGACATCTATGACAAATCGAGTTAGCTACTTTCTGCACAAATCAATTCAAGAAAATAGATTTAATTACCAGATTTGCCTCGATGGATGAGTATCCCAAGCCCTGGACGACCATAGGCATGAAGACGGAGAATGCTTGGCTTGGCACACTTGCACAGATATTGAACACCAGGATGAACCAGAGCTTCCAGTCCTTTGCTGTTTCCACAATGTCCAGTCTTGTAAGTCGTTTCTTCTGTATACCATCATTACTGTATTCATGAGCGACGAACAGAGCATTGTCCTTGGTGATCTGTTGCGTGACGAATATTTGCTCTTCATCTGTAAGAAACCAGGCTGATCTCGGCCCTTGGGGCAACCAAAACCAAGCAACGAATGCAACGACTATGGTGATACCCCCCTCGATAATGAATAGGTATTGCCAATTTTTCAGTGTAGTGCCATTAAGGTGGAAAATGCCGTATGCTAATCACATATTCATCAGTTTGAATATTGCTACTATCCATTGTGCTGATCGCGTACCAATTGATCCCGAGAAGGCGCCAGCTATTGCATATTGCCCATAGAACAAACCAATACGGACTGCGAGGTCGTACCGGCAGTAGAAGCTTGAGAGGTATGCGATAGCAGTGGGGTAGAAACCGGCTTCACACGCCCCAATCATGAGCCGAACAGCAAGAAGCGCTCTGCGGCCACGAATGAAGGCATGTGCTACTGTGAAGACCCCCCACCCAATCTGAGACACAAGTTAGAACACCAGCCATATGATGTAAGCATGAGTAGTGGGGCTTGCCATGATGATGGTGATCCAATGCTTTGCGCCAAGCCATCTCCCCACCGCAGCCGAGAGGGGCTGTAGCAGGACAAAGGTGATGAAGAAAAGCGAGACTGCAAGATTGAGATCATCTGGGGTAGCACCAATGTCTGTCGTAAAGCCTATGGGTAGTATACGGTTAGCCGCTGTGATCAGCAATGCGAGATCTTGACATACCCTGAGTCTCCGCGTTCCCCACGTTAGATCGATCAAGGCCGTTCAGGAGATAAAGTAGTGATAGAAAGGGTAGTAGAGCGATATCGATTTTTCTATTGACATGCTTAGACGTAGGCTCGCTGGGAACGCAAGTGGGCTGATGACCGGTTGACATTGTCGACGACTGGACCAAGTTGGTGGCTGCTACAGCAGCAGACTTGAAGCTGCGAGTACAAGTGCCACAGGGAATCAAGGGCTTACCCTCACTCGCCTGTGAATGGGCCATGGCTTAGGTAGGCTCCACAGTGAAAGCGGCCAAACGCAAACGAACTGAGTCACTTTGACTGTCATGGTCAGCCTCGTCCGCTGTTCAGATTCTTGGTGACGTTTTTGTATAATATTCCGTGGAGCAGCTTGGCCGATGCTGGCGATGTAGTAAAGCCTTGGCATGCAACACGCTCCCGATGGAGCCGGGGGAAAATACCCAGGCCAGCCAATCAGGGCGTTGATCCTGGCAAGCGGCCTGTCTGCTAGTGCACGCTTATCCTCGATGGCTGGGTTACATATGCCTAGCCAGATCAGATTCTCTTGCAAGGTTCTCAGGGCAAATCCAGGAGGGCGGTCGTCAGGACTGCGCGTATAAAATAGTCCAAAGGTGTAGAGTGAATATCGATTGCGGCTTCCATGACAGCAAGGGTAATGGCTCGTGACCGTGCCTCTTTCTCTCCCCCTTCCCGAATAGGGATGCTGGTGTGGTGTTTTGCTTGGCCGGATTACATCAGCAGGACCCTGGTCACCTTTGACCTGGCCACCAAGACTCTCCCAGCTCCCAGCTGCAAGCTGCAAGCTGTCAAAGAGCCTCTGCACGGTGACTCACGCCAACCACATTATAGGCTGGCCATGCTGCAGCTCGTGGGAAAAGAGTCCCCATCAGCCACAAGCGAGCCGGTGCCTCGTCGAGACATTGGCTAGGAAGCCATCTCCGTGGCCCACCACTCACATGGGTAGGCTGTGGTGCATTTGTAGCCCGTCATTTTGCATCCACGTCCTCATCTCTTGGTACAAGCCGTTGCTTTCACCAAGGCCTGGTGTGGTCCCCTGTATTCCAGCGTCATGTGGTGCCGCACGAGGCGGACCGGGAATGTTGGAGGCGCCATGAGGATAGCTTCCCGGCTCCAACCTGCCATGGTCGTGGGACAGGTATCGGTCCACCAATGCTTTGAGATCTTGAAGAACCTTGAAGCAATCTCGGGGATAGTTTGTCCCCGTTCTTGACTCGTTCTCAAATGTGCGAATTGTAAATTCAATCTCAGGCGTATGTAAATTGGGAGTTGGTGTCTTGTGGCCACCAGAGTATTTGAGTATTTGTTCAAGTAGCAGGGCAACGCCAGCATTGAAGACAAAATGCAAGCCAGCTTGGAGTAGCTTTCTCACTCCGCATAGTCGCTGTGCTAGTAAGATATTTTGATGAGCTGCTTCTATACAAGTGTGGATATGCTTGCCATGCACATGATTTTGCAATGACCATTGGCCGTTAATGTAGCGTTCGGCTACAGCTTGTTTGACGGCTGCTAGTAAGATTGGGCGTGTCGTTAGCACAATGAGCTGGTTGGATGCCATATGTAGACAAAGAACGGCAGGATCAGCGCCTTCTCCGCTCGCGAGCACTGACGGGAGTTCCGAATTCCACTCTTCAAGCATCTTGAGAGCCTTGTCTATATTCGCGACCGAATAGCCAGGTCTGAAGTTACGAGGTGCAATTTTGAACGTCTCGCAGACAATGTACCCGGCGATGCGGGATAGCTCGACATGTGCACGGAGGCCTACAGACGGTGGCATTGAGCTAGACGTGTCAGCGGCTAATTCCGTTGCAATGTACTTGAACGCAAGATACCTACCCTTCATCGCATGGAAGAGGAATCCGAATCGCTTCGTCGGCTATGGTCGGCGGGCGTCCCATAAGCACAGCGAGCCATCGGTCCAGAATGTACAGTGTCCAAAAGACGCGCTTGTTTTCTTCATCTTTGCAGGACCTGAATGCGCCATGAATCATGGCAATGTGGATTGCCAGGCTGACCTTGACCGAATAGTCCCAAGTAAGTATGCATTTTGTACGCGCTGCTCGCAAGGAAATTACTGACATATACGTAAGCCGCATCTCTACGGTTGAGTTCAATCAAGTAGAAGCCCATAAGAGTTAGTACTGGCACATCACTCAGGGTAAAGCGCACAGTGTCCAGAGGGTTACCCAGAAGCTTGCGTGCACGCTTAAAGTAGGCCTCACCGGTATGTTGATCTGATTTTCGGAACATAGGATGTCCGATTGATGTGGCTAAAGCAAAGCACACGTGATAGAAGGCTAGGTATCTGTGAGTGTCGTCTGTGGTCATCGAAGTCAACGAGACAGAGCTGGCTGTGTGCGTGGGAGGATTGTTGAGGTCGCCCCACCCTAGAGGTAGACATCAGTGGGTTTGTGTCGGCTATTGCACCCAATGGCTTACAGTAAATGCCGCCAGACAAGAACCCGTCCTTGCCGTCTTGGACATAGGAGCGCAGTTCTGCTAGCATCGTACTCATGTCTGCCCAATCGGGCAACCACAAGGGGTCTACATTGGGGTTTGGGATCGGCCTTGAGTCGTACGTCTGGTAATGACCTATAGACGCAACAAAAGAAGACCCATCTGCCGACTCCGGCTGGAAGGCCAAAGGCACTAGGGTAAGCATGAACTGTTTCAGATAATCGAGAAAGGTTGCCCCAGAAGTCTCACCCAGGAATCTTTGAGTGCCGCAAGGGTCCACAAGCAGGCGGCCATCGTTAGCATCAGGTTGGTCCAGATCCATGGACACGGATTGAAAGGTAGGGGCAGTCTGGCGTGATGCAGATGGACCATGGTCGAGTTGTGTAATGAGTTCTGCTGCGTCTTCTGGGGCTGCTGATTGAAAGCCAGCCTCGAGTGCTGCGCATCTTCTTCGCAGGCGCTCTAGCTCGTCCTTGAGCGAAAGTTTGTCTGACTCGGGGGCTGGATACTCGCATTCCCGTGAAGTTTTGTGGCATCGTTGGCAAGGCTGCTCGCCAGAGCATCTGACACGGCGCACATTGCAGGCATTGCATCTGCCAGTGAATGTTAGTCCTAGTCCGGTGGAGGGGTGTTTTCTTTGTAGCGATGGTGGTGGTGGCGGTGCTGGGCGTCTTGCTAAGTCTTGCTCTTCCAGACGTTTCAACGGCCAGACTGGCATCACTCGGGAACAAACCCCTGGCATGGCGGCCCATGGTGGAATGCTACTTACGCCCTCACGACACGTTTTCTCTGATCGGGCGCGACCTTGTGCCGTCTTGGGTTAACAGGAAGGCGTTGGGGTTGGGGCGAGGAGCTGCCGGACGCAGGTACAAAGTTGGTATGCATTCTCGGGCCGAATTGACTGGATACGTCGTGGGTTACTCGGCGATGTCATGGGCTGTGCGGGAGGGGAGAAATGGGGGTGAGGAGCAGCAAAACCGAAATGACAAGAGGCGAAGGAATCCTCTACTGGTCGGGGCGTGCAGACGTGCAGTTGGTGTGGCTGCCAGCCCCCACGGCGCCGCAGCAATCCAGACCGTCACCATGCGCAGCCCTTTTGGGTCGCTATACGGGGGCAAGCGACCATGGATGCGACGATCTGGGGCAAAAAAACCCTAAGTCACCTGAGATGGATGCATGCATGGCAGCAGCGCGGTACAACAATGCCTCCGTGGTGCAAACCTAAAGGTAAGCATAGTCACATTAATGCGCTCAACGAAATAATGAATGCAAAAAAAAGTCTGCAAAATTCGGTATCCGAAGATGGTCCATTCGAAAAGAAAAGCCACATGGTCAAACATACATGTACTTGTTATCTGGAAGTAAAAGGTGGCAGCAGATCAGACATTCATAAATCGTATATTCGGAAAAGGTCATACTTCGTAGTACGAGGGCTAAAGGGCTTCTTTGGAAAATCGCAGTAGGCCATATTAACATACTGGGCATCGCTAACACCAGTCATTAAAACGCCGGCCTGGTAACATCAAATTCGTCAGGCCGTCTCAAACTCGCTCTCACTCTCTCACTCTTCTAAATGGACATTCAATTGACACTGACAGGCGGTGCGGATCGAGTACTTGGCCGCTTCCTCACTCATCCAGTTTGTGTCTTTGCCGCCATTCCATTTGATGCCGACAATCTTGCCTGCACCCTCACCTTTTGTGTCCATGACGACGAACAGCTCAGCGACTTTGGTGCCGGTCCAACTCCGGTGAAAGTGGACTTTGAGCTTGCCAGCTTGGTCTGGCCCCTCGCTGTAGATGAACCACTTGTCCTCCATTTCCTGCGGGGCGTGGCCAAGATAGAGCGAGTACATTTGCGAAGGGGGAAGGAAGATGTCCCATGATGTGATTTGGGGGTTCCCGGGAAAGGGTTTGGTGAGCAGAGCGTTGGGCACGACGCGTTCTCGTGAGCCTGACGAATGCATAGGGATGGTGAAGTGGCTGCGAGCAGGCTGACGGTAACATGTGGATGCCTCGCTGGAGTCGAAGGAGCTTTTTTCTGGCGGAGATGGCGGTGGTGTGAGGAGGCCGACGGGAGCGGGTGCAGGTGCGTGGGAGCGGTTCCGCTGCAGTCTTCGTGGTGCTCGTTGAACGGGCGGGCGGATGCCCTGGTTCATAAGAAAAGGCGATGGAGGGGTATCGCCTCGGTCTCGTCTGGAGAAGCGTCGGAATATCGACACCTTTTTCGACTGTGCCTGGGGTTGGTCCGACGCCATTATTGTTGTTTACGCGTGGCAGGCCGATTCTGTATACGCGCTCTTCGCTTTCTCTCTGGGGCTGTGTATATGATATGAAGGTATGTTATATGTGTTGTGTATTAAGTAGTAGTAAGTCGCGTTGGAGAAGAAGGTCAGCAGCCCTCGCAAGCAGGTGGACGGGTCAAGACAAAAGCAAGGCAACGCAAAGCGAGAGAAATAGCACCAGCAAGAGAACCCCGTCCGGCTTGGAGGGACAGGACGAAGGAGGCAGCAGAGAGGGGCGCGGTGCAGGTCGAGTACTCTACCTACCGTTGGCGGAGCCCCGGCGCTCCCCCTCGCGCAAGTCTGCGCCTGGCTTTATTTAGTATGCACCTCCCAAGCCGCAAGCAGACAAGCCCACGTCGTCCAGCGCACACCTGTCTCCACTCGCCCTGCACGCAATGCACCACACTGGCCCTTGTCTACTGGCCTGACTACCAACATCGTCCTTGTCTCCGGCCCGCCCTGGCAAGCCGCATGCTTCCAAACTCTGCCTGCCCATGACGCGGGAAGGGCACGGCCGTTGCTGGTACCAAAGTGCCTGGTAAAGTGGACCTACACCTGTCCAACCATGCGCCTGCGGTCAGAAAACTTTACTGCCGACGCCCAGGTACTCCCAGACTGTCATACCGTCTTTTTGCTTCGGCACACGGCATGCTGCTCTCGAACCTACCTGTTCGCCAGGGCCCCGGACGTGCAGTAGTTCCTTGTCGACTCTCTTCGCCGTCTCTTTTTGCCTCTTCTCTGGCAGCAAGATGTTCTGTCGATCGCCCCGGCTCCTCAAAAGGCCGGGCGCCTAGTACTGCATGCTAGATATCCTTCTCTCGACGCGTATTTGTTGCCATTACACACTTGGCACGTGCCCATCACACAGCCCTCGCCATACACGGTCGGTGGGTGCCTTACATGGGCAGTGTAAGTAGTACGACGACTCTGCTACCACTCGCCTGGGCCTGAGTGCGCCCGCATATCCCGTGTAGCGAATCCCGGGCCTCGTTAGTACCAGCTCACACATCCGTGCTACCTCAGGTGTAGCGAATAGCAGACGCGTCGTAGAGCAAAACAACGCCATGGCACCGACAAAAGGGGCGATTACCCTCACCGGTCAAAGCCAATCACCAGTCTACCTGACACGGAGCGTCAGAGTCCGATTGACGGGTGGAAGCTTCTTTAGGCCAGACCCTGGGCGGCCTACTGGCCATCATACTTACATGCATACCGCAACGTTCGACTAGTATTCCTTCCCAGCCCCCTCATAAACAAATGCTCGGACCCTTTTGGCACACGCGACACTCTGATGGAATAATCACACGCGAACTTTCTGGAAAACTCCGAGGGTAGCAGTAAGCCCCGACCCCTCTCTCCTCGGCCTGCATAGTGATTGTAGCAAAGCAAAAGCAGCCACGTGCAGAGAGACCAACCTAGTCCCCACGCCACTCTGCACCAGATCGTAAGATATGCATGCCACAGTCAGCCACGACTGGAGCTGGCCAAAGCCTTTGGATGATTGGACCCGGGTAACGCCCGCCTCTGCCTACCAAACATCAGGTACATGAAACAAGACCATCCATGGAGCTTTTTGTCGGGGATTATTGCTGCAACTCTAACAACGAACCCCGCAAAAGCGCTTACGTTCTCGATAACATAATGATAAGCCCCATCGTCTCGAAGAAGCTATTACAATGGGAGCCTAGCAGGCATTATGTCATGCACGGCGATCACAAAGGCTGGACGTGGTTATTCCGTCGTAGTATATTCCGACTAATGGACCACGGACGTCACGGAACTTCAGTCATGACAGCAATTTCCATTCTTATTCATCCGCTAGTTAATGAATTTTTTCTTATGTTATTCCTTTTTCATAACTAGTAGTTAGTCTATGATACTTTTCGAATAATACCACCCTGACATGGCATCTACTCTTTGTAGGTAATGGTCTTAAGGCGCAAAAACTCCTCGATACCCCAGTGGCCATTAAAGCGACCAAATCCACTCGCCTTTGCACCGCCGTGAGGCAGAGTCCACTCGTCGTGCACTGTCATGGAGTTGATGTGAATGGCTCTGTATCAATGTTAGCACGTGCGTCTCGACTGCACCTCAGTCACCACAAGCTGCTACTTACCCGCTCTCAATTTGCTTTGCAATTCTCAACCCTCGGCCAAGGTTCTCGGTAAAGACAGCCCCGGAAAGACCATAGTCGGTATCATTAGCAATCTCAATAGCCTCTTCATCGCTGGAAATCTCAATGACGGACACCGAGGGACCAAACGACTCGGTATGGAAAAGCTCCATGTTCTTGTTCACGCCGTCGACGATAACGGGACGCATGCGTGTGGCTGACGTCTCGTTTGTCTCGGGGTGCTTCTCGTCCTTTTCGTAGTCGCCCTGCACGACCTTTGCTCCGTTCTTGACAGCATCAGCAATTAGCTTCTTGTTCTTCTCCACACCAGGTGCAGCTATAAGAATGGGCGCGGGCTTATCACCACCAAAGATACCCTCTACCGCGCCCTTGAACGCCTCGATAAACTGTGGCTTGATATCCTTGTGCACCAAGATGCGCTCAGAACTCATGCAAATCTGGCCTGCATGCAAGAAAGCACCCAGCGCACACTGCACTGCTGCCGTCTGCAGATTCGCATCATCCAACACAATAGCGCTAGCCTTACCCCCCAGCTCCAGCAGCACAGGCTTGAGGTTCTTACCCGCTGTTGACGCAATAATACGCCCAACAGCCGTAGACCCGGTAAAGTTGATCTTCTTAATAGCCGGCTCCTCAATCAACGCAGTAGTAATCTGCGCCGCATCCTCGGGTCGATGGAACAGCACGTTCAGCGCGCCCGCTGGAAGCCCAGCTTCACTCAGTGCACTACCGATAGCCCACCATGTGCGGGGGCAGAGCTCGCTTCCCTTAAGAATACATGTGTTGCCCGCCGCGAGGGGATAGAGGACAGAGCGCATACCAAGAACGTACGGTGCATTCCTGTGCAAAACAAGTTAATCCCAGTTAGCAAACCATAATACTCCCAAGTTTTGTTTTGTTTTTTCTGTTTTTTTTTATAAAAAGATGTAGAAGCGGTAAAAGATATAACATACCAAGGCGCAATGCCCAGCACAACCCCAAACGGCTCCTTGACAATCAACGCGCTCGTTCCTTCCTCCTCACAACTCGGAATATGTCCCATGACCCCGCTCAGCCGTCCCGCCACATCCCTCAGCATATCCGCCATCTTGGGCACATTGAACCCATTTGCGAACATGTCTGCAGCCCCCGTCTCGAGCTTCATGTAGTCTGCGAATTCGTCGGCGCGCGCCTCAATCACGGTGGCGGCCTTTAGGAAGATGTTGCGTTTGGCTGAGTGCTTCATTTTGGACCATGCTGGGAAGGCGGATTTGGCGGCGGCGACGGCGGAGGTGACGTCGGCGGGGGAGGCGGAGGAGGCGCGCCATAGTTCTTTGTGCGAGGAAGGGGAGATGACGGGGAAGGTGGTTGTGGTTGTTACTTCTTGGCCGTTGATGAGGAGGGGGACCGTGTAGGACGGGTCTGGTTTGACGAGTTTGATGGTTGCCATTTTTTTGATGTTGGATTTCTTTCTTTTGTTCTTCTTATGCGTGAATCTTTATCTGAGAGAGAGAGAGAGAGCGGGTATATTTGAGAAGGGATTTCCTTTTTTTTATGGGTAGTAGCGACACTTTAGATATAAACACCCGCTTGTAGCATTGCCGATTCTACGGGCCGTGTACCAAAAACCCTAGCTTGCCCTCTTTTCTGGACCCCCCTTCCTTCACACCCTCGTTTTGGCGCCTCGACCCGTCTCAGACGATCCCTTCCCCCCACCCACTCCACTACCTTTCTCTGGCTGTGTGCGTGCATGCATGCTGCAATCGGCACGTATGAGGCACGGGTTGTGGCGAGCACATTACATGGGCGTAGTGGGGGCCTGATTTGCTAGCGTTCCGAGGCGAGTAGTCGGCCGAGACGACAGGAGGGGTGCATGAGGGAAAAAATCCCGTGAGGTTATGTTGGCTATTCTTTTTCGAACAGCTAGGACACGAGCGGAAAGTTGTGCTTGTTACTATTGCTATATTATAGGATGTGAAGTGGTGTGTTGGTGATATTGTATACACAAGGGTAGCATATAGAATGGCTTTGATATTTTGTATGTAAGCACCTATTTGTCCATTTCAATTTAACAGCTTTTCTGTATCTTCGGCTTACATTCATTCAGCTGCCATAAGTTGGAATCCTTCAGTCCGTCCATACTCGAGTTGAGTGATAATACCCGGTTGCAAAATCTGTTTCACGAAGTTCGTGGTGAAACCTGGCAGGTATTTCTACATGAAAAGGATTGCGGTAATTTAAGGTATCTTCATATTCTTGAAACTCAGATTCTGGGTTCTGCAGTCTTGTCATCTAGCTTTGTAAACGTGGCGTGCGTGGGATACACAAATTCGGCTGGGAACTGGGGATGTGCGGTTGTATTGCCTTGAGGCACATACGATTGGATGTGCAGGGACATTGGCTAAGGATGATAGGTTAGTTTTTTTAAATGCGTTTGACATATTGTGTGAATGTCCTGAGGCGTTTTATACGAGTAAATGCAAACTAGCAAGTACTTCATGTTCCTCCAAGGGCTTCATTAAGCGACATGCAAAAGGGGATGGGTTGACAATACTGCAAAAGAAAGTTCAAACTTGAACAGTTTATGCTTGGAAAGAAATAAAATTTCGAACCGTATATGAAAAAGCGGTTCATCGTGGTCCTCGCCACTGTCGTTGCCGTTGTGATATTAGTCGCTTAAATCTCCGCCATTGCTTCTATAGTTAAGTAGGTCAAACACATTATACTCATCCTCTGCAACATACGGACCCTATCCACCATACTGACCATACCCATCAATTCCACCAAAATCTTCATAGTCTTCAAACTCGTCACTGCTGTTACCATCCTCTTCGCTGTCATCATCCGACTCATCGTTGGACTCATCACTGTTTATGTCCATCTCGTCCGAAGAACTCGATGTGCTCTCATCGTCTGTATATCCGCCATAGAAGTCATCCTCTAGCAAATCATACTCGAAGCTAATCCCCGCCTCACGAGCCAGTTCAGTGAGGTGCTTCCAAAGGCGTGTGCCAAGAAGTTTCTTATCAGAGTATAGTAAAAACATCCGAACTTCACATAGTTTAGGTGTATGAGTCGCACTGCCAGCCAACAGGTGTTTTAATGAACGAAGGTGTTTACGGTCGTGTGGGCCAGGTCGGATACGCGTTTGAAATGTCTCCAGCGAAGACGGTAGTCCGTTTGCAAACTCTTTACCATATTCCGCTACCAGTATACCCAAAGGGCAACTGAGTTCTTTCAACGATGTAAACTCCGTCAGGCCGCTGTGGTCGTGAATTCGACCAGGCCTTAACCTTTCTATTTCCGTCTCGCAGTAAATCGTAAGAGTTTCTAGCGATGTTTGATGAGGTCGCAGAATCTTGGCTAGCTTGCGAAGAACAGCTACGGGCGATCCATTGAACCACGGTAACATGTCCACAGACATGTCGTATTTGAACGCCTTCAAACGCCGTGAAGTTGAGACTAGGAAATCTAAACAGCTTTTGGTGTAAAAACAGCCGTTTAGAGAAAGTGTCTCAATATTATTTCCCCTTTTATCTATCATTCTTCGAAGCACCTGAGCATTGTTCTCTCCTCGACGGGAACTGTGGAACTCCACAATTTCTATTAACCGTAGCATGCGCAATGATTGGAATCTGAATAAAGGTGCAAGAGTAAACAATTGTAAGTCAAGTGCATGGACCGTGACTGTTTGTAGGTTTTCAAAGCGATGGATCTTTCCAGTTTCGCAACTGAGTGCTTTGTTCATCAAGAATACCCAGTCGGGAGCGTTCGCGAGAGACTTGGACCGATCATAGCCGGCATATCCGATAGTTTGAACATTTGGTAGATGTAGTAGGATTATGCCCGTCAGCACTTCATAACTTCCAGGGTCGTTGTTGCATTTGTCTACCCATTTTCTCCAATGGCGGATTTCAAGGGCCTGCACAGCCTTTTTAATCACCCTCTTATCCTGCGCTGTTGGTTCGTATCGCGGATTAGAATAGTCATCTTGGGTGACTCTTGTCACGTGCTGTACGAGCGCCGCCAGTTGCGGGTTCGATATCAAGGTACGGAGGAACAAGTAGGCATTGCAGTCGCGTGGGTCAAACAACGCATAAGCCTTTGCAATTGCAATTCGGTAAAAACGGCGGCTCGTGCATGCCAAACTCAGAGCATTCGAAATCTTTTTCTTAGGGGTTTCCGCATCTGACAAGTACTCCAATATCTCGAGGATGAGCTCGTCAGGTAAGCCGTTGATTGTCGCATGCAAGTTTTGTTTTCTCGAGGGTGATGCTGCCGCAGCTTCATGTGCAAGGAGGAGCCTCCGCTTTTGCTTTTCAGAGGGGAGTAAAGGAAAGTCACGTTCGTTGAAGATCGGCATGAGTACTTGCAATTCGGGAAAAAGACCGGTGTGGAGAAAAACGATGCCTTGCTTTGACAATTGAAATGGAGGTGTAGCTGTTCCAAGGTGGGGGATATCTGCTGTTATAAAAGGGCGGATTACTAGGGCTGAAGCTGACTTCAACTGTATATTTGCTACACGGAAACATCCAGGTTGTACATATATCAAAATTATACCTCCAACCACCCCAGCTTCGCCCACCCAGGACACATTAATTTTGGCAGCGATTTTCCCGTCTGCGTCTACAAAACCCAAGTGTCTCGAAATCCGCAAAGAGTCCCACCCAATAAGATCTACGTACACTTCAGATAAGAGATTTGCTAATCAACATCACCCCCGCACCCCCACCACTTGACTATTTCGCGAGAGAGCTGAGGGCATTCCTTCACAACATTACCCCTCTTTCGCCATGAACAGTCTATCCGAGGAGCTTCTGGATCATATTATTTCCGAGGCCGTGCAACCTTTACCAGACCGGCATAGTGCTCGTTATGCAGACCTCATCAATGTATCCATGGTATCACGCAAATTCCATCGCATCACAGAGCCGTATCTGTACCGCTCTATTGTCATATCGGAGAAGAACAATGAGCAATTCCTACATACAATAAGATGTTGCTCTGGATTGTCACAATATGCTCGGGAGCTCTGTATCAAGCAATCTTGCAACATCACGCATGAAGTATTGCGTCTTGCTCAGCATCTCCCAGGCCTGCATAAATTGGATCTGGATCTCACGTCTTGCAAGACTTCAGATCTTTTGCCTGTATTGCAGCTGTCATCAGTAACAGCACTGTGCCTCTCTAGTGTTGTAGCCAGACAAGTCGATGACGCTAGTCCCATCGACTGGGGAATCGCTAACACGGCCATTGCGAGCCTTGAAATGTCTTTTTCGGATCCCGAGACTTGGTGGGAAGATTGCGATGAGATTTGGAAATTTGCTGCAGTCTTTCGCAATTTGAAAAGCTTGAGTATTCATAGCGACTACGAGGGAGAAAGGAAACATACACTCAACGGCCCAGTCTTTCGGTGTCTTGTGCATGCTTTTAGACATGCGTTTGAGACCAGTCTCCGCTCATTCAGCTTCAAATGCAACGATGTGAACCATGATTACATCTACCAGAGTGGCGTAGCCGTCAGTGGCGCGTTCGATGCGAGAGAGATTCTCAAGCAATCACAACTCGAGAGCCTGGAGATCGATACGATGTGTTTACACAGGTCAAGTCAAGAAGGGAAGCTGAGGAGCCAGGAGCTCGGTCCGTCATGCCTGCCAGCTTCGTTGCGCACGTTGTATTTGCGCCACCTTGTCGCGACAGGCAATCTGAACCCTACAGAACGAAACCTTATGCACTCGGATGAGGCACAGTGTTTGTCACAGCTAGTCAACCTGGGAGCGCGAAGAGCGCGCTTCCCAAATCTAGAGAAGATGACACTAGCTATCTCTCTGCCTCCTCTCTTTGAAGAAGTTGCTTCGAGGATCGTCAGAGTTCAAGCACGAAAAGTAAAACTGCAACTAAAACTAATACTGATGTAAGTGCAGAGGAGAGTTTGTGGCGCGCGATAGCTGAAAACAAGCAGGTCCGAGTGGGACTATGTGAGTGATGATACGGCCAGATCATGGCCAGAATATCATGCTACTCGAGACCCACGGCATTCTTTTTACGATCCGACATTTGTACGCTGCGCATAGCCATTTCCGATCTTTTATGATTGAGGTTTGCTGCAGGCGTTTCTCGATACATGCTCTGGCTATTTACATCCGCTGCTCTCTCGCTCTCTTGAGCAAGTAGACACCAGACTGTGAAATTTTGATTTGTACTGCCATGCGAGATCACATCTTCGTATTGCTTCGATCGAGATAGAATAAGATTCTGCTAAAAAGCTTCAAGTTACATGTGAATGCTACAAAGCTTCTGATTGATGGCTTCGTACAACATCCTGGTCATCTGTGGTGTTAAAAAAATCTTGGCAGAGGCTTGCAACGTACGGAAATCTTGGGTTACCGAGAACACTGAGATGCAGCTACACGTAGAAAGGGTTTCGACAATGTTTGGCCAAAGGTAAGCATGGATGCTGACAGCATGCGGATCAAGGGCGCGCTATGAACCTTTTGGGCTAACAGTCAGATTTAGGTGTCACGGTCCGATTGGCTGAATCTATACGCAGTTGCGTGTTCCGCAGCCTTCAGCCACGATGAGCGTATACGCAAACAGAACAGCATCGCCGCAGACCATCGCATGTGGTCTTTCATTAGCTCGACTTGGAAGATGCCGGGGGCGGAGCGGCCAGTGTTAAGATACAGAGCATGCTCTATTTAAGGACGCTGTCACTGACCCAACCTCTTGTTTCGTTTCCCATTCCAAACAACCTTCACAATTCATTTGCATCTCAACCAACATTCAGAGCACTACTTTTTCGTAAATCTACAACGTAGTCCCATAACCAGCTTTCAAAATGGCCTCTCAAGCGCTCGTCCTAGCAACCAACTCCGCACTGCAACAAAAACCCGCACCCATTGTCCCTCACAACTCACCAACCCAACAACAAAAATCCTCAGCCAACAAATCAGGTGGTTTTTGCCTCAAAAAAGGCCTTGATAGCCTCACCGAGATGCTTGAGCGTAAGATCGACCACCAGATTCTTCTCGCTAAGACCCGAGCTCATGCCGCGTCATCGTCACAAGAGACACCTGCCGATCGCGCTTCCAAACACGTGCACTGGGAAACCAGCAGCAAGCTTCAGCAGACAGCAGTCTAGAGTCTTTGAAACACGTAGTTGGAATACTAAAGTAGTGCCAAGAGGGGCTGACGTGTTACCGTGAAGCAGTTTAGCTTCTCGGGTGTGGTCTTTTGCGGATCTGCCGGGCACTGATTTCATTTGCATCACACAAGAACAGTGTATGCGCATCCAAGCAAGAGTGTGGTATGACTGGGCTGTGATCGATTTACGCCTTATGGCTAGTAGGCATTCTCTATATACTTCACCGAGATTAGCGTGGAGTGTCATCACATGCCTGCCAACAACAAGGCAACGAATCAGTATGGATATGGTCATGTGTTAGGAACGGTCCGGCAACATGAGGACCAAAGAGCGAATGTATGAAATACCCAAAGGATATTAGAGGACATGAAGAGGGGCATTATAACGTATTCGCTTACATTAGCGAGCTGTCATTTTCATAGCGAAGGATATGTTAATCTTATAGAATAACGATTCAATAGAACATAACAGCACCATCTTACAGCATTTGTTGCAACCAATTTATCCATCACCATTACACGTGATCAATTGATCCAGGGAACAAGCTTTCCTCATCAAAGCTAGTACAACCATGCAAGACCCAATCACTACATTTAGATCCAATACACTATCCCTCATCACGACAAACACTCTGTACATCAAAGCCGTCCAATGAAATGGCGAAATCTGCGCAAACATACAGCAAGCACTTCATCCCACTCGAGTCGAGCCCTGAAATATTCACAGAGCTTGCGCACAATCTAGGGCTGCCTGCATCGTTAGAGTTTCATGATGTGCTTTCTCTGGATGATCCAGAATTACTTGGGATGCTGCCACGGCCAGTATACGGGCTGATTCTGATACTTCCGACGACAGAAGCGTACGAGAAAAGAGTCCAGGATGAGGATATTAAGCTGGAGAGTTTGCAAGGCGCCAAGCAAAACGGCGATGTAGTGTTTTTCACACAAACGATTAACAATGCGTGCGGGTTGTATGCTATACTGCATGCTGTATGCAATGGGCCGGTCAGGGAAAGGATAGGTGTGAATGGGATCTACTGGTGCAGAAGGCATGGCTGACGTGGTGTAGAATCCGATTCAATCATTGCGAGAGTGCTCAGTTCAAGTCTGGCGAATGGTGTAGATGAGCTGGCTAGAGCGCTGGAAGACAGTGAAGAGTTGGAAAAAGCATATGCCGCTGCTGCTACCAAGGGTGATACGGATGCGCCAGTCAATGCTGAAGATGAGGTAGATTATCACTATGTTGCTTTTGTGCGATCATCCAAGAGTGGACATCTCTACCAACTCGATGGAGACCGGAAACGTCCCATTGATCTTGGAACACTTGAAGCAGACGAAGACGTTCTTGGAAGCAAGTGTCTTGATATCATTCGGAACATGGTGGCACTTGAAAACAACAATGTCAACTTTAGCTTAATGGCCCTGGTTGAGGGCGCCGAAGTGTAGGTAGCCAAGGAGTCACACTCTCGGTTGAAGAGTCTCCGAAGAGCGGTAAAGTGTGAACTATGAAGGACCTTCTTATTTGTTCTTGCAACCAAGAATGCACGTACTGGAGTACAGCCGCATGCACCACAGCCAAGCAAGACGCGAGGCTGTGGGATGCTCCCCGAAGGGACTTGTAAAGGTGTCATAGACCAAGTGGCTGGTGTGCGAGGTGCGTCCTAGAAAAAGCGATTACTACGATAATCGACATGAATCATTTCACCTCGTCCTAGAGGGTTGTTGAAGCTGGCCCATGTGATGTCGGAGAGATAAGGAGGGTGAATGTGTGCGAAGAAAAGTCATCCAGAGGCCGGGCGCATGGACCACCACGCGCTAGGCTAGCTCTGTAGCTTCACCTCGAGCGACGTCCCCGACCGCGATTGTGGTAGAATCCATAACTTACTCCCCACCCACCCTATCACGCCCAAATCGCAACCATGACTAAGAAGCGCAAGAGGTATCCGGATCTGAACCAGAAGCTAGAGGTCAGCATATTGAGAGCGAATTGCACACGAGACACGCATTGATAACCCGGCAGCGACCATGGTGCTACTACTGCGAGCGCGATTTTGACGACCTGAAGATTCTCATCTCTCACCAAAAAGCCAAACACTTCAAATGCGACCGTTGCGGACGACGGCTGAACACTGCCGGAGGTATGCCGTCGCAACATTCCAAGCCTCGCTCTCCTCTAACACCTGACCAGGTCTCTCTGTGCACATGAACCAGGTCCATAAGGAGAACCTCACGCACGTCGAGAATGCCAACCCAGGACGCCAGGGCCTCGAGCTCGAGATCTTCGGCATGGAGGGCGTGCCCGCCGAGATAATAGACCAGCACAACCAACAAGTCACACAAGCACATTTCGCCGAGGAACAGGAGCGCGCGCGGTTAACGGGTAATCCGATGCGTGGAGCATATGTGAATGGTCAGGCTGCACCGAACAAGAGGCCCAAGATCAACGAGAGTCTGGACGAGATTGAGGCGAGGGCGGCCAAGTTTAGAGAGGACCGTAAGAACGGCGTTCTCCCGCCGCCAGTTGAGCCCGTGCAGAATGCAGTATGTACATTTCAAGAAGTAGAAGACGGGAATGTGACTAACAAGTTGACTAGACCCCCCCAGTCGTTCAACCGCCCTATGGCGCTCCTCCAGGTGCTCCGGTGGCCTTTCCGCCAGGCGCTCCTGCTTACCCACCCCAAGGCATCGCGCAACCCTTTTCACCCGGCAATGCCGCCATACCGACACGACCAGGCAGCATACCAGGCCAACCAGGAGCGCTTCCACCTCGACCAGGCTTCGGCGCCCCACCGCCCGGCGCATTTCCTCCCGGGCCAAACGGCGACATCTCCAACTCTGTCGACGATCTCATCAATGAGGTTACTAAGGAGGCGGCGCCCAAGGAAGAGAAGAAGAGCAAAAAGGACAAGAACCAGCGGCTTATTTTCTTTGCCGAGACGACGAGTCCCGAGGAGAAGATGGCGGTGTTGCCGAGGTTTGCGGAGTTTATGCGGACGTGATTGGGGGGCAGTGAAGCTGGTGGGAGTGTGCATGGTGTATCTTGACATTTTTTTCTTGGCCCAAGTGCAGGAGAATGCACGTGGAGATGGATTTTTTAAAAAAAGAAGAAGGCGCCTTGAAAGAGGTGTGAGAAAGGGGGGCCCAGACAAAACGAATGACAAGCTTACTGGTGCTATCGCGCCGTGTGAAGGGAAAAGGGTATCCGTCTCTTTTCTTCTTCTCTTCTACCCAAGACATGGAATGCGACGCGAGTAAGAAAACAAGGACGTGTTTTCTAGTCTATCCATGTTTGTTTGTATACAGACGGTACATGTATATGTCTCAGAGCAAGAGAGAGAAATAGCTTCGGGCGTTGATTACGAAATGAAGACTATAATCCGGTCCATTTGAGAATACACTGTTCAACCCGAAGAATCAGAAGAGAGTGAGAGATGTTCCAAAGAACCAAAATCAGGGTATCTTGCATTAGTGACGTGTAATCTGGGCCGTATAACTAAGGTATACAGAAATGTTATATGTAGATCGCGAAGAAGAAAAAGACAAACATCGAGGTAAGGATAGGCCTTGTTTTTTTTATGCCACCAGAATTCCACCATCTATATCTCAAAAAGAAGAGGGAGAGGAAGGAATCATTGATCATAAAACCCCAACTCCTCGCCTTCCTCCTGCTCATCCTCATCGTACTCTTCGCTCTGCCCATCCTCACTGCTACTACTGTCAGTCTCACTGGCACGCGCCCACTCAGACGTTTCTGTAAAGAGGGATTCGCCGAGATCCAGAGCGCGGGCTTGCGTGGTCGAGGGACCGAGTAAACCCTCTCCATCACTGTGATCTTGGTCCGGCATAGGTTCCACCTCCTTAAGCAGTGTCTTCTCATCATCTTCGTCCGGCGTCGCCCGGGCAAAGCCAACAGATTTCGCAGTGTTAGGCCGCTCATGCTCCTCAGCATGTGATGACGCGGGCATAAATCGCGGCTGCTCTTCGATGATATCGCCGTTCCAGGGTCTGCATGCGGTGATGTTTTCGCCGCAGCGGAGACAAGTCCAGCCTTCGCCTTCTTCGTTTGCGATGCGCTGGGCGAGACAGGCAAAGCAGTAGATGCAGCCGCAGGATGTGGACTCATAGGGGTTTGTAATGTCTGTTGCTGCGCTGCCGACGACGCCGCCACCACCGGCCGACGAGGCCATGATGTCGGATTCGGTCGCGGTGGTGGGGTTCTGGTCGCGGTAGCAGATTGCACAGGTGCGTTCAGGGAGGAAGCCGAGTTCGCCGGAGGTTTTGGTTTCGTCGTCTTCGGTTGAGGAGGTAGTAGATTTTCCCATGAGGGAAAAGAGGGTTGCCCGGAGTTTTTTGAAGGTGCGGCTTAGAATGCGGCGCCAGCGGGATATGCCAACTAGAGGGAGGAGGAAGAGCAAGAACTCGGTGAAGGCGTGCCAGACGAGTTGGCGATTGAGGTACTCAAAGCTGACTTCGCGCGAGGTCGAGTGCGACGAGGGGGTAAGGCGCAACCGGAGGAGACGGTCGGTGATTGTTCTGTAGCGGCCGTCGACGAGGAAGACGAGGAAGCTGGCGAGGCCGAGCACATCGTGTGCGTTCCCAGCCAGCTCACTCAATCTGCCCAGCAGTTTGAGGCGTGCGGATTCAGGTCGTGTGTAGTCTTCGGACGTAGACAAGAGGTACTCCTCCCACTTTGTCCACGCATATCTCCCACCGACAGTAATGGCGCCATAGGCAATCTTCTGCCAGGGCTTCGGGGGCGGGCGATTGGGGGCACTGCTGCGGGCGTCGGTGTAGCGCAGCCCCTGTAAATGGGCGCCGTAACTTGCATTCTGGTCCCAGATGCTCAGCTTCCACAGCACAGCGCGCAGCAGTAGTAGAATCTCGGCCGAGTAATTATCGGTGACATGGGAGCCAAAGTACTTGAGGCCTTCGCCGACCTGGTCTTTGAGCAGTGTCAGCAGCTCCTCGTCAAGGAGTTCGGCATCGACCTGGCCGACGCGGAACTCTGGGCGCGTTCCCGAGCGGCCCTTGATCGCGTCCCAAACGCTGAATCCCGCCGAGGAGACGGCGCCTAGGGGAAAGGGAAGGCGGGCGAGAGCGCGAGCAGGGCGCGATGGCTCATGGTGGTTGCGCTGCTGGAGCGCGCGCTGGGCGCGGCGGGCTGCTATGCGTTGCTGGGCGGCGGCGAAGTCTGCGGAGTGCATCGGGAAGCATTGGGAGGCTGCCGGGCGCAGGCAGGGCAGATGAGGGTGTGGCGAGAGAGATGTGGGCGGGAGGAGGCGGCGGCGGTGATGGCGGAGGTGAAGGTGGTGATATCAGAGCCGCGGTCGCGCACTCGCACTCGGAGGAACGTGATGAGGAGGGCCATGGGCCGAGGTTGGCTGGGCATGCACAAGCCGATGGGCGCCATGGGCCTCGGGGGGGTACAGACACGCCACAGCAACAATGGGCATGCGAACATGCAGCATAGCCTGTATGCGATTCGAGCAAAGAGAAGGCTATCCCTCCCCTTTGTTTGTGTATCTGTCCCCAGGCCGGAGTACTTAGTATAAGTATATCAAAAAAGTTTAATTGCTAGTCAGCTCTCACCGTCGGTCGTAGAGGCCCGAGCTGGCGACGCGGGGACAGCAAACATGGAATTTGTTTCGACTGCAACAAACAACAGGCAGACAATTACCCTGCAGCCTCATATTCACTGCCCCCCGGGAGAGTAGGGTCCTATTTCACCTTTGTTGCTTGCTGTATATACCCAGTAGCGTCATTTCCTCTCATTCTGAATCTCTCTTCTTCACACTTGCGCTGTACTGCGTCTCGAACTACCCCACTACGGCAACCCGCCCAGTGCATGCATATATACATAAACACAACAAACAACAGCACCCTATGAGCGCCAGCTTCCAGGTCGAGGTTCCCGGCGAGGCCAATCCCTTGACCGAGGGCATCCTTTTCCATGTCCTACGCTCCGCCTCGTCCGCAGACCAGACGCAGGTCCAGAGCGGCGCAAAGCAACTGCAGCATTGGGAAAAGACACAGGGTTTCTACCCTCTGCTTCAGGTACACCAGGTGTGAAGTATGTACCTGATATCTATATTGACACGCTCCAGTCCGTTTTCCTCGACCATTCCCTTCCGCTCGAAGTGCGATACCTAGCCATTATCCAGTTGAAGAATGGCATCGACAAGTACTGGCGCAAGACTGCCACCAAGTACGCCCACCGCTCTATCCATACGACTACACAACACCTCTTCTAACACCATGGCAGTGCGGTGACAAAGGAAGACAAGGCCTCTATCCGGGCACGTCTACTCGAGAGTGCGGTGAACGAGGCGGATCCCCGGCTGGCCCTTCAGAACGCCTTAGTCGTAGCAAAGATTGTCCGCTTCGAGTTTCCCAATGACTGGTCAGTCTGACTGCCCTCCTTCTTACTTGCAACATTTAACACTCTTACCAGGCCAGATCTGTTCCAGCAGCTCCTCCACATACTCCGCGCCTCGACCGAACCCAACGCATACTCACTACAACTCCCCCGTGCGCTCCTCGTGCTCCTATATATCATAAAAGAACTCTCCACAGGCCGCTTGCTGCGCACCCGCCAGAGCCTGCATACAGTTGCTCCGGAAATATTCAATGTTCTAGGGACAATATATGTGAGTAAGGTGCAAACATGGCAAACCTTCTTTCGTGATGGTGGCGACGATGAAGGCGGTGCAATAGAGAGCATTGACCACAGTCTGCTCGCCATAAAGACCATTAGGCGACTAGTCATTGCTGGCTACGAATTTCCAGGCAGAGACAAGGACATTCAGGACTTTTGGACACTGACTCGTACTCACCTTGGCGGGTTTCTACAGTATGTGACGCCAGAGAACTCGCCGCTTGCAGCAGAGGTGCAGAAGAAGATTGGAAAACATCTCATGCAGCTGTCCAAACTTCATCTCAACATGGCTTCTACTCACCCCTCAGACTTTGTTCTCCTGCCAAACTCTTTAGATCTTGCACGCGACTACTGGAGTCTGATCGCAAAGGTAGGCGAGCAATGGGGCTCTACGTCCATAGAAGGCGCCAAAGTTAGTACCGATGGCGACGCTGAGGATGAGGCCCCCATACTCGAACGTCTTGCTCTCAAAGGTTTGTTGTTGATACGTGCGTGTATAAAGATGGTCTTCTATCCCACCCAGACCTTTCGCTACAAGCAACAACAAGAAAAGGACGAAAAGAACCAAGCTACGCACTTGGTCCGCACAGACTTGTTCACAGACGACTTGGTGCGAGAAATGATGTCAGCACTCGTCCAGCGCTTTTTCGTCTTTCGTCCCAGCGACCTCCGCATGTGGGAGGAAGAGCCCGATGAGTGGGAGAAGATGGAAGAAGGTGCAGAGGATTGGGAGTTCGCCATCCGCCCCTGCGCTGAAAAGCTGTTCTTAGATCTCGCAAAGAATTTCAAAGATTTGATCATCCAGCCTCTGCTCCAAGTCTTTTATTCCGTCGCAAGTGAGTACTTGCTCAAGATGCGGTGAGTTTTGGCTAACCTCTTGCAGCCCCTCAGAATGAGGACATTCTGTTCAAGGACTCGGTGTATACGGCCATTGGCCTTGCAGCTGACATACTTCATGACAAGCTTGACTTTGACTCTTTTCTGGAGAACACCCTAGTTGTAGAGGCTACCAAACAGACACCCGGCTTCAACATTATTCGTCGTCGTATTGCTATCATCATTTCTCAATGGATTACCATCAAGATGGCACAAGAGAAGAAGCCTATAGTATACCAAATCTTTCAACATTTACTCGACAAGAACGATCCACTGAACGACCAGGTCGTCCGCATCACGGCCGGAAGGAAGTTTCACGCCGTTGCGGACGAATGGGAATTCAAGGCTGACGCCTTTTTGCCCTTTTCTGAGGTCATGCTAGACAGACTCATGGCTTTGGTGCAAGAAGTCGAACTTCCGGAGACAAAGATGGCGCTGCTGAATACTATTAGTCTGATTGTCGAGAGAATGGAACACCACGTAGGTTAGATATCCATGATGTACATCCCGAGACTGACATGATGCAGATTACACCATATGCCAACAGTATCATCTCTCTCCTGCCGCCGCTATGGGAGCAGTCTGGCGAAGAGCATCTCATGAAGCAGGCGATTCTCACTATACTTGCTCGTCTGACAAATGCCATGAAGGCCGACTCGCGCTCATTCCATGTTTCGTTCTTGCCCATTATTCAAAGCGCCATCGAGCCTGGGTCAGATACCCAAGTCTATCTCCTCGAGGATGCACTCGACCTGTGGGCGTCTATTCTCGCGCAGACACCATCTGCTCCTGAGCCTACGCCACCTGAGCTCCTCAGCCTTCTCCAGTATCTTCTTCCACTATTCAATATGGACAATGAAACTCTGCGCAAAGCCATTGAGCTCACAGAGGCCTACCTTCTACTTGCACCCGCTTCAGTGCTAGCTGATTCTTTCCGGCCTGCCGTCCTTCAAGCACTCGCGGAGTTACTTGGTACTCTAAAGCCTGAAGCGAATGGTATCATGACACACCTTGTGACATGTATCATTCGTGGAGCTGAAGGGGTTGGTGGCGAAGAGGCAATCAAGGTGTTGACTAGCGACCTCATATCTACTGGCTCTCTAGCAAAGGTTCTTGAAGGTCTACACGGCGCATGGACACACCACCAGTCTCACGGTCCCTATCGTGAACTCCCGTCTCATGCTGTCGATGGCGTGGTAGAAACAGACTACTTTACTGTCTTAGCCCGTATCGGCGTCGCTTCTCCTTCGGTACTTCTCGAAGCTCTTGCTTCTCTATCTAACGAAGGCTTAGAAAAGACACTAGATTGGTTGCTAGAGGAATGGTTCAGCCATATTGAAAACATTGGAGATGCACCAAACAAGAAGCTCATGTGCCTTGTTCTGACTAGGTTTTTGGAGGGCGGGCAGCCGTGGATGCTGGCAAAGTTGCAGTCACTGATCGGTGTCTGGACGGATGTGCTCGGCGAGTTGCTGGATGGTATGGATGATCGGACGCAAGAGTATATTGAAGTGTTTCCTCTGGTTTTTGTGCCTGTACTAACCTCAGTATAGTTCTCTCTACTGGCCTCCAGAACCTTATCACCCGACTGAGCCCGAAGCCCCAGAAGATGTGCGCAAGCGTGAGCTCATTTACACCGACCCTGTACACCAGATCAATCTCGTTGCTTTTGTCAGAGAACATTTGCAGCAAGTGATTCAGCAGGCTGGTGGCGAACAAGCGTTTCAAGAGGAGTGGTTGAGCCGAGTGGATAAGGAGGTGCTCAAGGGCTTTGGCGAGTTGGGGATTATGTAGGTAGATGGAGATGGGGACATTGGTACAAGATTATAATCGATTAGATACTATCAAGCGATGAAATGAGTAAAGAAATATGCTATTTCCAGTGCCCTTTATAGGGTCCCGATTGCAAGCTTTTCCTCTTTTCTGTATGATGATCTTGTTTAGTAAAAACAGGGGAAGGTAAAAAAACGTGGCTACAGCATTGCAAAGTCATGACATCTTGATATCTGTGTATATACATCAACCCCATGTCCATCCATCCTACTCAAACACCCCCACCTCATCTCGCCAGAGAAAAGTCCACATAGCACGAACGACCGCCAACCCACTCCCCTGCGTCTCAATCGTGCGACCCCTCCCCCGATCATTCAAATCCTCACCTACCCGTCTCTCTGTAAACCTTGCCTTCTCCCTCCTCCCATACACATCCCTCTCCTCCCCTTCTCCCACATCCCCATTCCGATAATCCGTCGCATTGACCCCAACCTCAACCTCCAACCCCTCTCGCTCATTCCCTTCCTTCGCATCCCACCAACCCCCAAACCTACCCTCGCGATCCCTCGTAGCCAACGCAGCTTGTGCATTGTGCACCACCCACTCCGTATACCCCTTGCAACTATTCCGATGCAACGCCGCCACCGACTTACTCGCACCATACGTTTTACCACGTCTTGCTGGCTTCCGGGGCAAAGGGTCACAGAACGCAGTTAGGTGGTGAAAAAATATCCCTTTGAAAGTCTGACCGTCTTGGTTGCAGTGGCCGGCGGGGTCGCAGAGTTCGGTCAGGATACCGTTTGCTCCAAGACCGTGCCATTTCTCATCCTCTTTCCCTTCTGCTTTAGCTTTAGCTTTAGAAGAAGATGGTGCTGGGGAGGCGACGTCCCAGCCAGTGGCACGTATAACGTTTCGCACAAGCTCATGGCCATCTTCCAGGTACCTCGTTTCCCCCGTGGCTTCCCAAAGCCCGCGTAATCCGGAGAGCACAACGCCTTGGTTGTATGTGTAGACCATTTCGTTACGGTCGTCGCAGACAGTTTTGCTGTGATTGTTGCGGTATCCCCCGATGTGGAAGCCGTCAGTGTATAGGCCTTGGGCGTTTTGCATGCCGCTTTGCTGGAGCCAGGTGTACCCGTTTATGGCGTTGGCAAGGTAGATGGGGGAGTAGCGGGGGCGGGTGTGGGGGTTGTCGAGGCAGCCATCGTCGTCGTCGTCGTCGTCGTCGTTGTCTTGCCTGCTAACGCTATTGCTGTGGTTGGAGGAGGAAGAGCGCGATTGGGAGAAAAAAGGTGAACAGTTTTCGTCGCCGGGGAAGTGCAGGTACATGTTTATGCTGGCGGAGATGAAGAGTTGATTTGTGATTGCGTTCTTGTACGGTAGGAGGGAGGGGTTCCATGTCATGCCTCCCCCGCAGAGGCGCCAGTCCCAGCCTTTCTCAGCGAGTTCGTAGAAGATGCGTGCGCGGTGGGCGAAGGCTGGGATGAATTGGTGGGCGTGCCAGAATTTTTCTGATTGGCTGGTTGAGGCAGCAGAGGAGGAGGAATAGTGGGATGAAGAATGCGTTTCGATGAATGTACTTGCTTCGAGCCAGCCTAGGACTACCCACAACATGTCGTCGTAGGCTTGCATGCGGATTGCGAAATGGTCTTCGCCGAAATAGTAGGCCGTGATTTGGGAAAAGTACTTGTTTATTTCGTTTTCGTGCACGAGGGCTTCCATCTCATGTTTGCGGGTCCGGGAGAAAGTATTGGGCAGAGTGGAAGAGAGCGTGGAGAGCGTGGCGGAGACGTAGGTTGAGGTAACGGCTCCAGTCCAATCGATCGCAGTGGTGTACTTGCCGAGCCAGATGGCGAAGTAGTGGTCTTGCATTGTTGATAGTGCAGAGTACAGGTCTTGGAGGATGTTGGTTTCTGTGAGGGAATGGCTGGCTGGTGTATTTCCCTGCGGTGTTGATGGCAAGTCTTCAGGCGATGCTTGTAGAGGTGACTGGGATTCATCTTGAATCTTGAACTTGTAATCTACTTGAGCTTTTCCTAGAAGAAGCTTATGAGCATGCAGTCGCCAGACTCTATTTCTCAGCCTCACCTTGTGCATCTTGTGGGTCTGAAGTACCAGCTACCAACCCCGTCACGAACGCGATCACAAGCAACGACAACAACATCCTCAATCGCCAGACTGGTGCGACAATATAGAACGCCATTCTCAACGCCCAGAAATCTCCCAAGCTCTTTCTCAACTCAAGTTACCAAGCCGATCCAAAACACCCAGCGACGCGTAACCCCCTTGCAAAGTACGTAATCTGTGCTCACGTGCCCAAGTTGCAAATTCTACAGCAAAAACATCTAACGGGTAGAACGGTGCCAGTGAAGAACTCCAACCGGTAGAGCGAACAAAGTCGTGGTAAAAGAGGAGAAGGTTGGGGGCGGCGATTTGTCTAAGGCTGATACGAATCTAGCCAAGTCCACCTTTTGCCGCGCTTGCATGTTCGGGCGCTTTTTTTGCTTCATGTTCCTGGGGTATTTATCCTTTGAGAACGACAATCCATCAATGGTAAACCTACTAAGAAAATGCGGTACATCATTAAATTGCAGAAAAGACGCTACAACACAGCACGCCCAGCAGCTACATTCTTTCCCACTTCTGCAATATGTAATACATACGTGGGGGAGCAGACACCTCCAACACCGCGCCCAGACCTAGCCCGCCACCCCTCGCGTGGTGGTTCCAACGCACAGACACCCAATCCATCTCAACTCGTTTAAAAAAAACAGAGGATCTCTTCCACGACAACGACAACGCAAAAGGCAAAAAAGAATATGCTGATAAGAGTGGGACTCGAACCCACGCAGATTTCTCTACTAGCACCTGAAGCTAGCGCCTTAACCGCTCGGCCATCTTACCGGAGAGTGATAGTGATTTCGAAAATTGAATGGAATCTGTATTGAGTTTTATGTGCGTAGATATGGCATTCGAAGCCATTAGAGAGCAGATGGGATATATTTTGGCAAGGAGTAATCCTGCTTCTTTGCTCTAGAAATAAATTTCGTCTGTATAAGTGGGGTGCATGGCACTTGGAGGTAAATTCTCTGGTCAGCCGCATGTCCGAGTGGAGCGCGGGATCAGGGACCAAAAGGTCTTGGGAGGAGCTTATTTGATAGGCTGCTTGTTTGTATTGGGGGTCTGATTAGGATATTGGATCAGGGACAGGCAGTGTGTGGAACTGATAGGTACTAATGAAGTTCTCCTCTGGGTGATAGCCAGTTGGGACAGGATGTGCTAGTCCCTTGGGAAGCAGCACCTGCTTAGAACCTTGGTGTGCTGCTTTCATGTCTGTAGACTAAATGGATGGGAGAATTTTTGCATGGTACTAAGTATTGATGATGGTTTGTTAAATCTCATGATCAGTCACTCAATGCAGCTGAAGGCATATGTCTGGTGAGGCACAGAACTTGGTTATCCGTTAGCGGCCACTTTAGGTTTCAGAGAAAAGTGGCACATAATTATGTATTGATTCAAGCAATGCATGTGTGATATCTGAATCTTCTGATTGTAGTGTCTTCTGGAGACGAACCCAGTAGATACTTGACGTATAGATACAACCAAAATTGCAATATGTACTTTTATGCAACGCATCGCTCTTCAAACTTATGGCCAATCACGACCAAAAGGCCCAAATAGCTCATTCGTGAAGATTTGAATGGGCAGGGAAGATTCCGATTCCTGTACTGGTGCTGAATGATAATTGAGATCCTATGCAGTCCAAGTATGCGAGATATGGATGGGCTTGGCAGGCAGTTGTGAGTGAGGCAAGTTTTACCGACCACACGTACGTCGTAACGACTTTTTCAGACGCGTCTTGAATACAGCATGCTCATTCTACTAGTTCACTTTTCTGGGGCGCGTGTCCGGTTCATAACATCACAATGCTAGTCACATGAACTTCTTCTGTCAAATCACAAGTATAGTGGCCTAGTATGATGTCAGCCAATCGTTCGATTGATAAATAGATGACATGTACTCACAACAGTCATGTCAATGCCCGGCCTGGCTCATGGAGAGCCAGACCGGTGAGCTCGTATTGTAATTCCTGATACAAGGCTGCCGGCGACCTGTACTATCGAGCGGCTTCCAAGATGATGCATCTAAGCCTCCATATTGCTGTGTAATGGATCCCCAAGGTGTGGTATCAATACGCAAAGCTGGCTCCACAAAAGACTACTCGTCGTCTATTTCGTCGCGACCCGGACTCCTGCTCCTCGCCCTAGCCGCACCACGCCCGCTCTGTCTCCTGTCATGGTCGCGCGCACGACCCTTGCTGGCTGGTGGTGGTCGTACAAAGGCGTAGTCGACGGTGACCTTTTGCTCGAGAAGCTCCTCGCCGCTGGCGCCCTTTATGGCCGCCTTTGCTTCGTCCAATGTGGCGTATTCGATCAGTGCGTAGCCCTGTTCAGCATTAGCCATGTCACGGTGGTCCTTGGACAGGCTCAGGCGCGTACCTTGACATAACCCGTGCGCCGGTCGAGGTTCATGTGCAAGTTCTTAACGGTGCCAAATTCGCCAAACATGTCCTGGAGATCCTCCTCGGTCGCCTCCTCATGAACATTGGTGACAATGATGATCCAGCCCTCGATGGAGCGCACAGCTGTTGCGCCCGCCGCGGTCTGCGCGTCGCTAGCCTTGGGGTCGGCAGCCGGCACGTCTTGCTGCTCAGGCTGGTCAATATCCATTTTGGCGTCTTCTTCCATGGTTATGGTGTGTGGTTGGCTTTGGATTGCTTGATTGGTGGAGAGTGGGTGACTGTGGATGCTGCAGCTTTCCTATCGCCAAAAGCTGCCCTGGCCGAGCGGCTCGCGCTAGTCAACCAGCACCGGCGGTTTCCCTTGCCCACCGCGAACTCAACGCCCGGCATTACCAACTGCCCTCCAATGCCCGGAACCGGGAAGGCACCAAAATTCCCAACGCCTGCGTGCTACCTGCATACACAATGATTACAGTATCCACTTCTCCGAGTCCTGCCGGAGCGCCTATAATAAGAGGGCCGCCCGTCCTCCACTTGACTATCACTCAAGCTACCAACCCCACCGACGTCACTGTTGTCGTTACGTGACAGAAGAATTGACACACCCCAATCTCACCATGCTGCAGTTTCTCGACAGATACGTGCACTATCAAGACTCGAGTCTTCCAAGCTTCTCTTCCCTGACTACTCTGTACTTTATCATCCTCGCATCTTCGCTACTCATTTCTCTGCGTTCGTCACAACTTGAAGAAGAGAGAGCACGCTAGCCATCATGTCCAAATTCACACATGTTTGTATACCAACCGCCACTGATTTTGCCCTAGCTGATTCAAAAAGATTGCCATGATCGGCTGTGGCAGTATGGGTGGTGGTATGGCCCTGCTCTTCGCTGAGATTGGAGTCCATGTTTCCCTCTCAGACCCTTCAGAGGAGGCCATGGATGCTGTCATGCAAAAGGCAGAAAAGCAAGGCTATCACGGAAAAGTAGACAAGTACACAGGTTTGCAGACTTGCCCAACACCTTCATGGCGCGAGACTAACGAATGTAGACTACGACTCGCTCTGCAAGTCACTGTCATCGCCGCGCCTACTCGTCTTCTCTCTTCCACATGGCGGCGTTGGTGATAAGGTCCTCGAAGGCCTGGAGCCCCACCTTTCTCATGGTGACATCATACTGGACTGCGGAAATGAGCACTTTGAAAACACCGAGCGCAGGCAGGACAAGTGCAAGGGCACTGGCATCCGCTACATTGGCTGCGGCGTCAGTGGTGGATACCAAGCAGCCAGAGCCGGACCCTCGATGTGCCCCGGTGGTGATATTTCCACACTCAACGAAGTTCTCCCTCTTCTGAAAAAAGTCGCGGCCAAAGACAAGAATGAACAACCATGTGTTGGTGCCATTGGCAAGGGCGGTGCCGGACACTACGTCAAGATGATGCACAACGGCATTGAGCATGGAATGATGAGTGCTATCTCTGAGGCCTGGGGCATCATGCAAAAAATGGGCATGGGCGATGAGGAGATTGGCGACGTGCTTGCACAATGGAATTCGGAAGGCGAGCTAGTGGGTCTTAGTTTTACGACTTCTTCTTGTCGCACGCTGACAACATATGTAGAGAGGTACCTTCCTCGTTTCCATTGGCGCAGACTTATCTCACAAACGAGATGAAGGACGTCTCGTCATCTCCCAAGTCCTTGACAAGGTTGTCCAAGACGTGACTGGCGAGGAGGGCACCGGCGTATGGAGCAATACCGAGGCCATTGACCTGCACGTCTCAGCCCCCACACTCAACGTCTCCCACGCATTCCGCCTAGCGTCTGCATTCCGAGGTGACCGTGAAAGGGCGAAAAAAACCTTTGATGGCGGATTTCCGCCTAATGAACTTACCGTCTCCAACAAGAAAACCTTTATCGAAGACCTGCGGCAGGCGACCTATGCAGCTTGCCTCGCTAGTTACATTCAAGGAATCAATGTTATTGCCACTGCAGACCGGGCACACGAGTGGGAGATTGACTACTCGCAGGTCTGGCAGATTTGGCGTGCTGGTTGCATCATTCAAGCCGATTATATTTCCGATGAGATTCTGGCCCCTGTGTTGAAGTCGAAGCCATCTTCTGAGGATCTGAACCTCAACTTCTCTTCTCGTGTTGCCAAAGATGTCATGAAATGCTTCCCGGCACTTCGGAGAATCGTGGCCAAGTCGGTCGAGACGAATCAGGTGGTCCCTGCTATCAGCGCAACGTTAGAGTACTTCAAGGTTGTCAGCGGAACTGATCTGCCCACTTCGTTCTACGAGGCTGAGCTTGACTACTTTGGTAGCCACATGTTTGACAAGAAGGATGATACGGATCCCAACGTCAAGAAGCCCGTGGAAGGCAAGTACCACTTTGAGTGGAAGCCTGCAACAAGCCAGAAGGAGCAGTATGGGAAGAACTATTCGTTGTGAGGCAATATGACTACGACTTTTATTTGCAAATAAATGTCACCCAGTATTTTTTATAGCTTCGTACTACAAACCAATAATACAAATATGACTATCGGCAAGTATAAACAATTTCTCGATTTTCACATTAGTGGCATCGTGAACAGATTTTCTCAAGACAAAAATGTGAATTACTATCGTATTTACAATTTGTTTCTTTTCTATGGTTATGCACACAGCTACCATCCTCCCTCTTCCTATCCATCACACACCCTAAGGCTCGGCGAGGAACCCCTTGCTCGACACCAACTTATTACTAACCCTATCCCCAACATCCACCGTAACATTAAACGTCGTAAACCCCACATTCCCGACAACCGACCCCACCGTAAACACAGCTGCTACAATCTCAATCTTCCTCTGCTTGTTAAACTGCTAAATATGATTCAGCGCCGTCGTCGTCAGCTTCACCGGTGCCTGCTTGGGGTTTGGAGGCAGGTGGTAAATGGTTGCGTACTGCCCCACGCTGTTGATGCTACCCGGGGGACCATTGTAGCCCCATGTTACAGCGACGTCGGTTCAGGAGTTTGATGAGTCGAATTTTGCGTCGAAGGTTATGGTGTAGGTTTTGTTGGGATCGATGGTGGCGGGGACGGTGATGCCGGAGATGTAGGCGGAGGTTGTGGAGAGGGTGGTTAGGGCAAGGGTGAGGGGGGTGAGACGCATTTTGAGATTCGGGGAGAGATTGGGTGTTCGTATTTAGAAGCGAAGGAATGTTTAGGTATGTGAGGGTAAGTGTTATTCCTGTGCTGTGTTTATATACTTTTACTTAATTGCCACATCGTGACTTTTAGACTTTGTACTGGCTGACATGTTATCCTATTCCCCTGTAGTCACGTCCGTGTACAAAATGCATTTTACAATATGAGATTGCTAACGGTATGCAAAAGTGACAGGGACACCACCCATCCACCCATTTCCCGTTAGCTGGATCCTAACAAGTGAAACTCTATCGTGGGGAGCTTGTTGAGTATCGGTGTCTGACCTGGTACTGGGGGATCGCTAGTGTAATAATAGATGGCGGCAACTATGTCATCGCTTGAGTCGCTGACGGATAAATGCAGTGACATGAACGAAACCAACCGTTTTTTTTGCATTTCCTCACCGCACATCCCCCATGCGCCAAAGTTCTATCTGTGATAGAACCTAAAGCTCAACTCGCTCGGTATAGCTGCGGCGAGTTCTGTTCCGCGTTTGGTACACCATTCTGATGCTCGTTTCCACCGTTTTCAACATCATAGCTTGGTATTGTGATTACAACTCTGAAAGCGGTCAGCGAGTTTTACCCTACGCCTTATGTAGTTATCAGAGGGAGGATTTAATAATACACGGATGACGGCTGCGTCTGACTAGCGGTCTCAATAGCGGGATAAGAATCAATTACGGGAATTACCGTTTATGCCCATTTTCTGTACTAGAGTTATAATTAGCCGCTGTCACTTTAGGGTTGCCAAGGGATTGCCAATAGGGGAAAGTGCTTACATGAGGCTGTTAAAACTTGTTTCGATCATGGAGCGAATGGTGTGGCGGAAATGTTTTGATTTGAGTCCGTGGATGTTAGTGAGCGCTTTGGAAGACATGGGAGCGGGACTGAGGGACAGGTACTTGAGGGAGGAGGTCGAAGCTTGTTCACTACTGAAATTGAGGGTGTTGATGGAAGAGATGTTGGGAGATATAGTGTGATAGGTGCCTCCTAGTCTTAGGCTTGCAAAATGGAGAAAATATTGGACATGGAATCGATTAACTTTGCTACGTTATCTCGCTATTTACCCTCTGCGGCGTGCTGGATTTCATAACGTGAAAAACGACACATGATGAACAGGGAAAGCAAACTCCAAAGGGAAAGCGAGTTATATAAATGCGGGAAGTGAAAAATTGGATCTTGAGAGATACTAAACGGGTCTGGAAATGTAACTGAACATACTTCCTCGAGGAAGGAGCAGGGTTTGATGCCTACTATCACCCGGAATCTACCGCTCCAATTCTGTCCCCGCACCTAGCTGTGACCCCACAGCGAAAGCTCCCTTCACTAGGCATTTGTTTTCGCCAGAGTTAGCTTTTCGCTAGAGGGGCTACAATCAAGGTATGTTTGCCTCTATTCCGTGTTAAACAAAAACAATAAGTGCATAAGTAAGCGGCTATACAAAGATGCAGGCTATTTTGCCTAAAGCCTTTCTTTAGAATTCATTCAGACGCTGCTATCTCCTTTGAGAAAAAGAGCTCAACAGTAAAAACTATTAAAATAGCATATGTCTATATCCAAACAAAAGACTGCAACTTTTTCGATCTAGGAAAAGATATCTAGCAAATAACAAAATCAAGAATACTAAAAATAGTGTGACCTTGCGAACACGATTTTCTTGCCAGAAACATGTGAGACAGAAATTTATCTTCAAAACCACGTGATTGGTTTCGACGACTTAGGGGTCCAAAATATTACATTTAGCGGCCCATGGTTCTGTAAAGGTATGACTAAAATGAAAACACACTCGCCTTCCACTTATTTCCTCAGCCAAAATACTAACAACTTTAGACCTTCTCTATCCTCCTTGCTTCCACTATTATCAACACCTCCACCTTTAAAAATATATCTAGCGAAACCTCATCATCGCCACCCTTCCCTCCTCTGGCCAACCAATCTTGCCACATAGTAATCTCAATTTCTCATCATTCACCATGTCCTTCACTCTAGAAACCATCCCCGCCCTCCAAATCACCGACCCCATACTCACCCAATGCGCCACTCTCTTCTCCACTGCATACGGCATCTGGGGCCCTCACGCCGAACAAAAAATAGGCAAACACTGTAAACACGGCAAGCAAATTAGACTATCTGTCGAGCGTCCCCAGTAGCAATCCTTAGTCCCAGGCACTAACAGCCTACTTGTTCGCAGCATGCATGGCGATGAGCTTGCTGGGTATGCGTTTGCGACGCGCTGGATGTATGAGGTTCGAGGGATTTGTTGGGTTACGCAGCTTTGTGTGAGGGTTGAGTATCGGAGGAAGGGGCTTGCGACGGAGGTATGTGGTTTGGTTCTATCTACATCACGTGCCGTAGTTGATATTGTTGGTATATCCAGCTGCGAACTTTGTAGTTGGCTAAGGATATCTTTTTTCTGTTGCAGATTTAGAGATGGCGATGTTGCTGACATGTTCTAGTTGCTAAGTCGTCTGTGTGAGGATGAGGACTACGCTTTTGGCATTTTGTCGTCGCATCTAGCTGCTATTATGGCAGGGCTGCGTGCCTGGGGCAAGGGAATCGAGAGTGTCGATATGAATTTGGTAAAGGAGTGCGGTGCTGGTATTATGGCTGCGTCGCCAGTCCAGTATGTTAGAGAAGCTAAGCTCAGGGGTAGTTTATTTGGCAGTGTAGACGATGGCACAGTGTGTTGTGCGGGTACGGATTTTTGAGTTGATCACGCTGAACCTTTAGCTACATTGACTGAAGTTATGGAGAGAGGTGAATGGCCGTTTGGAGAGCTCCCTGAAGGATGCGAGTTTTTGGCTCTGATTCAAGGTGTCTGAAGGTTGAAGCCAGTTATATCTAGTAGCTTTACCTAATTCCACGACGCACTATCATCAACCATTCCAAATCAAACTGTGATTGTTGGCACGGGAAATATTTGGCCCTTTCCAAAGACACAATCGCATAAAATGATCTGCTCTACAATGCGAACGGTCGCCAAGGCGGATGCAGACGGGATGGAACGAGTGCTCTTAAAATGAACAAGGATCAGTGTTATCACCTGGCGCAGTTGTCTTGGAGGTCTAGAATTCATGTTCATGAGAGATGAAATTGTATGACGTTGATACTACATTGACTCCATCCCATCTCGATCAAGCTGGGATTACGGCATGAGTAAGCCCCAATGACTTCTATCCCCAAAACCTCATCTTCTCATTACATTACTTGCGAAGCTCAGATTGAGTCTTCTGCTCCTCGAATTCTGTCATATCGTTAGCAAAATGCAGTACCAGGTATACATGTCAAGAACTCACCCTCAAGCCAATCCACAACAAAGTTCTTCAAAAACTGCTGCGCATACACAACCTGTGGCGGCGGCAGATTAGGCGTAGTCTGGTTCTCAAAGATTCCATTCTCTTCCCAATGATGTACACCATGGCTAATAAGCAACCAAGGCTCATCAGTCGAGGTGTTGCGGCTGTCCGGATACCACAATGGGGTTGCAGGCCTCCAGGGATCGGCGTTTCCACCGATGATAGCCAGACGCTCGTACGCAATGTCGAACCCACCGTATTTGTTAACGCGCTCAACATCTGGAGGGGTCTCGATGCCGAACTGTGCGCGGCAGAAGAAGGTCAAGTATTCGAGGTCGAGGGTGCGCGAGATCAAGGGCATGATGTCCTTGGGTGTGTTTCCGGTTTGGATGTAGCCCCATTCGGTGCAGACTTGGTAGTTCCAGCTTATATAAGGGTAGTCTTCGAGAGAACTGGCTGACTGAAGAGCGGTACTGTTGATTGTCGTAAAGAAGCGGTCTTGAGAAACGTCTGATTTGCGCCAGTTTGCAACCGCGGTGCGGTTGAGCCAGGAAATGGCGTTGAGAGTTATATCCTGAACTGCTGTGTCGTTGGGGTAGCCAGCTGCTGATACGAGCTTAGCAACTTCTGGGCGTAGATTTTCGGCAGCAGGCTCCTCATTAGTGATGTTCTGGCAGTAGTTGAAGAACGAAGGAGAGTTCTCCTCGGGATCCCAGCTAGTGCTTTGGAGACCGTAGACACCGGTGAGCTGGTTTGCGAAGTCGCGGTTGTCCGTGACACTGCCCAGGCCAAAGACATTCTTAAGCGATTGGACCAAGGAAGTGTCGTTTTGGCGCAACAAGATGCCATCAACCACATCAATCAGGAGCTGAGTGTTCTTGATACAGTCTGGAGGTCCGTAAAGCCTGGCGGGCTCAAAGTACTCCCAGTAGTCATAGATGGCTTTGGTGACACCCGATGACGAGATTGCTCCCCAAAAGGTCTCTGGGTAGACTACGCGCAGGAACGCAGCTTGCGCTCCGGCGTAAGATCCACCGTATACGACCCAAGGAGTGTTTGGAGCTGTCAGATCCGCATCGATTCCGTCAAACTTGACGTTCCTCGCAAAGTAGTCAATCTCAGCAAGAGATTGCTCCGTTGTCAAGAAGCGCATGTTCTTGGTGCTAAGATCCGGAACGGGGAAACTCTTTCCATAGTAGCGGTGTTCCAGGATAACGCCTAAGCCATTAGTGGCCTTGATGACCTGATGTACAATTCCCTTTTGGAGGAAAGGTAGGCGACCCACCCCACTGGTTTCTCCGCTGAGAAGGACAAATACAGGGCCGCCTGGCTTGTAGTAGGTGTCATCGAACCAATATCTCAAGTTGAAAGATCCATTGCTGTGCGGCTCGTACCGAGTCTCGTTGTGGAAGAAGTCGACTGGGACAGACAAGTTACGTTCCGGGTAGAGCAGGGACGGGTCGGTGTCCTCGCGTTTCGCAAGACTGCGACGAGTCTGTGCTTGGAACTAATTATCCTGTCAGATTCACCGTACCAATATATTTAGTATCGTGCCATTGGGCGCCGACTCTGTTTCCCTCGAATTTCACCGAGTAAGCACCAGATGATGATAGTATGAAAAACAACTCGTTATCGCAGTCATAGAGAGGAGAATACAGCGATGGCTCCCTCTAGCCTGAACTTTACGCTTTGTAAACAATTGAAAAGTCGGCTTACCTCCTCCTCTCTATCCGCAATGTTTCTTGGTGAAAGCCTGAGCGCAGAAACAGCCTGTAGGCCGGAAAGGACCGCTGCGACTGCAATTGAGAGACGCATGGTGAGAATGCGTTGGCCGCCAACTTGGAGCGAAGAATGGGCACAACTGGGCTTTTTATATAGTGCATTCGCACACCAAGGAAGACCGAGCTTCAATAGCCATGATGGCTATCTGCCCCGGCCCATACATATCAGAGACTGGCGAATTGACCATGATTCGGGAAGGTGGTTAAAGTAGTGTGCCATCGCTAGCGCAAGGTCGATGCTCGAACAAGCAGGAGAAACGGTGATCGGCAGCTGTGGAGCCGTGGGCCGTGGCGCACAGCAAGCTTTATGGGTTGACTGCTTAAAAGTACCTCAAAAGCGTTAATAAAGGATCTTGTTGGTGCCAATACGCGGAACAGTGCGCAAGTGGCGTGCAACCGTCAGTTGCACATGACGTGGTGGCGATACCGCGAGGTTGGTGTTGTAGCCAGGCAACGCCCCACCTCGTCTATCCAGGACTAGCCTGCTTGATTCGCTGAACTTCGATAACACCCCTAATATCATCCCGGAGATTGGTCGAGCAGTTCACATCAAGAGGAAGTCCCTTAAGCAGTTATTCTGTAAGCCTTCATCTTGGTACATTAGCCCGTCCACGAAAGCCTCGCCTACGAGCTTGTGATACGTGGAAGAGAAGATCCTTGCTGAACTCCTATTGGCGCAGTGCCGCAGTATATAGGGTATTTTTCCACCCAAGAGAACAGCCACGGTATCTCCTCTCTTCATATCCCATGGACCCAAGCCAAACCTCCCATCTTCAGTCATAAAGAATCGGCGGCCGACACAGGCATTGCGCACCGCGAGCCTATAGTCTATATTTTCATCGTCGCGTGAATGTTCCTGCTGGGTCTTCAATCTTTTCCTCCAGTCCGTAGGTTCAATCTGCCAACAATCCGCAGTCACGGTGCGGTTGAAGGATTCTCTCAGAGCTGAGGTTTCTGTGTGCCCTAGCTCCTCACCAGCGACAAACTCCCAGCTACGCAAAATATGGTCCCAATCGATATTCTGCCAGGGGTTTCTTTCGGCAACGATTCCAGTTCTTGCTACAACGCCAATCTCGTAACCTGTGACTGCCAGAACACGATACTCTAGATCGATTACAAAGCATGGGGGATGGCGTCCCGATGCCGAGAACGGTCGGGATGATTCAAGATCTAGTAATCTCTTGGCTGTAACCATAAACGGCTGATCATAGTTGAGTCGCCAATCTCGACACCAACTCGAATCGTGAAGTTGCGCCCCAGGAGCATAACTGAGTATGTCCAGGCTTTTCATGTGGATTAGACAAGACTCGGTAAACTGCAGGAATACTTCATCCGGCGGCTTGCTATAATCAGGTGTAATTAGAGAAGGATTATCCGATTGTAGTAAACCAAGCAGGGCGTATATCTTGTCCGATCCAAACGTGGCTGATTGTAGTCGAAAGCGGACAACGAGGTCACCTAGTGTGACGTTGGAGTCCTCAGCGTCATTTGCCTCTTCTCTGAGGCCTTGGATATATTTAACAAACGAAGGGGGCCTGTGATTACTGAAACAGTCGTTCGCGAAGGGGCCGTACGTGAATAATCTGTGGACAGCTTCCCAATCCACTTGGAAGGGACCACATTGTATGACCACATGACGCCCAACGACTACCTCTTGAATAACCCAGGCACGGCCCCACCAGTCATGCTTAAAGATACGGATATATTCTGCCCACATGCCCGTCCATGTCGGCTGCATGGTGTGATTATCCCAGAGTGTATCGATTTCTTCGGTCTTTGCAGCCCCGAATTGCTGTACAAACTCGAACATAGAACCAGTAGCAGGAGCTGATTCGCCCAACCACACCACCACCTTGGAAGCCTTCGAATATATGTCTCGCATCATTTGGACTTGAGTGCTCTTTTCTGTGTCATCGAGTTGATTGATGCATACAGCGTCAACCCAAAGTATTCTTTCATGCTCAGTGTTGCGCAGCTCTTTGAGTGCACTATACAAGTTGTATGGAATGTAAAATGGTTTTCCATCGACCCGGATGGTGTATGAACGTAAGCTTACACCCCAAACGTAGCTGAGCGCCTCAAACTCTACAAACGAAAGAGGTCCCTCAATCAAGTCGCATATGATTTCTTCTTCGCATCTCCCTGGTCTTAGCCGCATAGCCCGTATACGAGGTGGCCCCTCAGGAAGAGTGGAGTAAACTTTGGCATTCTCAACTAGCATTCTGTTCTTCAGCCTTGGGTATATTATCTCAAAGACTGGATACCGACAAAGCGCGAACCACAGAAAGAAAATCACAGGAAAACATGCAATCAAAAGCAAGAATAGTAGATAAACTGATAGGAGAAACTCTGTAGCCATGACTAGAAGTGTTAGAGCGGGAAGGACAGCTATAGCTGCAAGCACAAACCCAACCAGATAAGCAATGGCAAAGTATGCGTATTTCTTTGCGAGAGGTCCCGAAGGTGCGTATCGGTAAATAGGATCACCAAAGTTCGTAACGACCATCGATGTGAATAAGGATTTCCCCGTTCGCGTGAGGAGAGAAGCAAGGGACCATGTAAGCAGACCTGCGATATGTAATTGAGACCAATAATAGTGCCACCAACCAGCCACGAGAGGTGAATCTACTCTTGAACCCATAGGGTACAGGGCCCACAGTTTGCGCGATAGAAATCGAAAAAAGGAGGCCATGACAATCTGGATAATGGTTGGCTAGGAGCGTAATCCGTAGAGTGCGCTATTGTCACCCAAGGTAATCCCATTAGTTTTTTTAATATTTATTGCTTGAATATCACGACATACTCACCTGTATCTCTCGTTACGTCTGAAAGTTCAACAAGGTTCTAGGCGAGACGAACAAAGGAAACTGCTACGCTAATAGCGAGATAAGAGTAAAACAATTGCTGCGCCATTTTCAGCCCCAAGCTTGGCTGGACACGTCACCTTGTGCCACCCCAGCCTCGGGATGACGACAACAATACTGGAATAACACTATCATTTGACTAATTTCACATTAAAAAAGCCGTAGTAGGTAAATTCTTACCATCCAGAAGGTCCCCAAAAGACCGGGTTTCTCCAGTTAAGGGAACCATAAACCGAGTGGAGGCTGTGCACTAAAGATGGATATCATCCAAGGAGAATCTTGAGCTGAGCAATCTTTCCAGCTTACAATCTCTTGAGAAGTACTTTTCATGTGATAGCTAGCGCTTTTCTCGATCAAAGTACTTCTTAGGAGGTGTTGTAAGGATTCCAGGCTGGTACGTAACGTGGTTTAGATATGCCCGGGGATCTGATACCGGGCTAGTTACCTTACTATTATATTCATTCCACTGAGATCCAACCGTGCACCATACACAATATGGGCCCGTGACACAAGCTATCTAAACTAAAAGGTTACCCTCAGACATGAATGATGACCTCAGCTACGCTGCCATAAGCCGGATATCAAAATATGAACGATATCTACAAGCTCCAATCCAGAATAACGACATTATAATGAATGTACTAAAACCTTATACATAAATTCATGCAACATCATCACGAGCTACAAACGCTGCATCGGACAAAGCCTCTATACACCTCAACCCACCCTCAACTTCTACCTTTACTTCATCACCTGCTCAATCCGCTCCACCGTCACACTCTTCTCCCCCACCTCGACCCCCCTTTCCTTCACATCCGCCAGCGCCGCTTCCCCCACATCAACCGCCTCCTCCCCATCAAAGAACTTTGCAATCTCCTCCATCGGCGTATACCGCGTCTCCACAATACAAAAGTAAATAACGCCAATCTCAAACGCGAGGAAAACGCAGTAGCAAATGTAGTAGCGCCACTGAATGGCGTCGAGCGCGATGCCGTTGACGAATTGGTTGAAGAAGAGGGCGGCCGTGACGCAGAAGTTGAGCCAGGTGAAGCCCTTTGCGCGGAGGCCGTAGGGCAGGATTTCGGTGGTGTAGCCGGCCATTATGCCGGATTTGATGTCGTAGAAGATGCCGTAGAAGAACTAGTTGCCCAATACATTAGTATAGTGTTTCTTTTGCTCTTTTCTCTTTTGACTTATGGATGGGTGATTTTCATGAAAGGATAAATAAAACTTACGATGCTGACGATGAAGCCTTTACCGAGAGGGGCACGGGGAGCTGCATCGTAGCGCGCGGAAATGATGGTGAAGATGTTGAACATGACGAAAGTTCCGATTGTGGAGATGAGGTAGATGGGGCGACGACCGAGTTTGTCGACGAGGAAGGCGAAGAGGAAGTTTTCGCACAGGGCGAGGGTTTTCATGCCGCCGTTGATGCCGAGCTGCGTGTGGGGATCTGTCAAGCCGACGTTATCCATGACGTATTTGAGGTAGTAGGAAATCAAGCCATTGCCGCTCCACTGACTGAAGAAGCCAATGGCGGTGATAATTGTGATTCGCTTGCGGTTGCCCTTGGTCTTGAGGAAGTCGGACCAGCTGGTGGCATTCTGCTGCTTGTCGAAGTCGATGGCTGCGCGGACTTCAGCGTATTCGAGTTGAACGAATTCGTCGTTCTCGTCTCCTTCGCCGTGCCATTTGGAGAAGACGGCGAGAGCCTCTTCGTGGCGGTCTTTGTTGCATAGCCAACGAGGGGATTCGGGCATGAAGGGGACGAAGGCGATGATGATCAGGGAGCAGATTGCCTGGAGAAGTGAGGGTAGGCGCCATGACCAGTCACTCTGTCTTGCATTAGTGATGGTGTCTTAACAAAAGACACAACTAGAGCAATCGGGGGATGGCGAGGTATGATTTTCGCTTCTGACATACCTGAATCTGAAGCGTTCCATAAGTAACCCAAGACGCAATAAAAGCACCAGAATGGTAGCTCGCACCAGACAGCGTGACCAAAACAGCACGATCCTGGGGGTGAGCGATCTCCGCAATAAGCAGCGGTGCAGAGCCCAGCACAATAGTATCTCCAAACCCAAGAATCAACCTAGCAGCGATAAACATGCCAATGTCCTGTGCTCCTGTCTGCAGTCCAACAGCGCACAGCATGATTGCACATCCAATCATGACACCAATCTTCCTGCCCTTCCAATCGATAAGGTAAGGCGTGAAAAAGAGCCCAATGAGCGAACCAAGAGACATGGATGCGTTGAAGAAACCCAGCATGGCACCGCGGGGTTCACCAAAGTAGTCCTGCCAGTAGGAAAGGGATTGGAGACCCTGTCACTTATCAGCAGGGATCAGCGTGCAAAAGCAGTGTTACTAACATTCATCATACTCCCATCGAACCCATTAGCCGTGTTAGTCAAGATAAGAATGACAATGTAGATGTACAGTCTACGCAAATTGGGTCGCTTCCACCATGGCAGGCGCTCAAAAGCACGACCGGCAAAGAAGAAATGGCCCTTTGGCGGCTTGACAGGCACGACCTTCTGGGCGGTCTTTGGCGGGCGAAGAGAAAAGCCCATGATTGATTATTTGATGCTGAAGGTTTGCTGAAGAATGCAGTGTAACAGCTCGCCAGCCCCGATGAAGAACAACAAAAGGGCAATCTCGTTTACCGCTGCATCTATATACTTTTTCACGGCCCTGGCGCACATGCAAAGCCAGGAGGCATACTGCCGCAAGTTGCTCGCGTGGTACCACGCGCACGGTATCTATCGGGACAAACTCCTTGGAGGAGCCAAGATGGGTGAATGGGCTACATTTTGCCTGGCCTTGTCCCGCAAGTCAAGCACTGCCGACTCATATTCTGGTGTAGAGCAAGCCCATACCAAGGCACTGCGGTCTTGATGGCTCTGGGCGCAGCGTTATCGGGCTGGGATGGGAGAGCCCTGGGGTAGACGACCAAGCCGGAACCTGAATGCGGGGTGAAGCTAATCAAGGACACCAGTGATCCCATGGGGCACAACAGGCTAAAGATCATCACAGACGTTATCTTTTGCTTCGTGTGGTTGAGATGGAGACGTGCAGTTGCCCTATCGCGCGCTGGTTGCTATTGGCTATGGAGAGGCGTGGGCCGAAGCGATACTGGCAATGTTTACTTAGTGTTGTGGTGAGTGATTCAACGCCCATCATCGGTAGTATATATTGACAGCCGAGCAAGCTTTCAGTACAGCCTCGAGTTGGACGCCGCCCAACGCCACCAAGAGGCGCGCCTAGACACTACAGTCTTGGGGTACCGCGCTAGGTCATAGGCGCGTCTAATCTGATCCTTTCACCTGGGATGACTATTTCGGCTGTCTTGTGCATACCACTTTATCGCTGCGATGTATATTGCAGATCATGTTCGTTAGACCTGTGGCACCCGTTTGGCACACACGGCACGATTGCATTGAAGCGGGATGCACCTGGTTGACCGTTCAGGTCTCCGTGATGAAAAGTAAGCTGTCGACACAGTGATAAAATAGGGTTGAGTGACTTTGCTCGGACGCGGTCCCTGGCTACATCATTGGGCTGATGTGTCACATGATGTTAAGGTTCGACAGTCGTTGTCGAGACGGCAGAGAACAAGACGGATATGGCACCCCTTCATGCGCCTCTTTTCTGCATTTACCCGGTAAAATACCCGATGCACTAGGAAAGCAACATCAGACTACACTCGATGATTCGCACAAAGGACGAAGAGGAGTCCATGATACCACCCCTCTAGAAAAGTTTAAATCACTCGACCAACTACGCACATGGTTCCCTTGATCAGCCACACAGCACCACAATGAGCACCGACTCGCCCATCAACCCAATCATACCGGGCTTTGCGCCGGATCCATCTCTGATCCTAGTCGACGACACGTATTTTCTGGTAAACTCGACCTTCCACCTCTTCCCCGGCCTCCCAATCTACACCTCGCGTGACCTCGTCCACTGGCACCAAATCGGCAATGCCATCAACAGGCCCTCGCAACTCAGCTTCTCCAAAGCCTCAACCTTGATTCACGATATTGGCAACAATGATCATTTGTACGCCACAGGCGGCTTGTACGCATCCACGCTTCGCCACCACAACGGCACATTCTACATTGTCTGCACCAACGTCGTAAACCACAGCTCAGACTCCGCCCAAGAAAGCGAGACCAAAAATTTCATCATCTCCACCACTGACATCTATGCCTCCGCCTGGAGCGACCCTGTCTACTTTGACTTCCACGGCATAGACCCCAGTCTCTTCTTCGATCCCCAAACAGGAAAAGCATACCTCTGCGGCTCGAAATCACCGGGGCCCTCTACAAAAATCACACTTTTCGAAATCGACGTAACCACAGACGAGAAATTGACGGAGGAAAAATACCTCTGGCATGGCACGGGAGGCATATACCCCGAGGGCCCGCACATCTACTTCCACGATGGCTTTTACTACCTCATGATAGCCGAGGGTGGCACGCATGAAGGCCACGCCGTAACTATGGCGCGCAGCAAGAATCGACTGGATGGACCCTGGGATCCCAGTCCGCTGAACCCCATACTGAGCGCTGGAGGGACAGACGAGTACGTCCAGTGTACGGGCCATTGCGAGGCGTTTGCCGTCAAAGACGGGCAGTGGTGGGGCGTCTGCCTCGGGATCCGCATGCGCGAGAAGGAACTTTATGGGCTGGGCCGCGAGACGTTTCTTACGCGGGGCTCATGGAGTGCTGATGGATGGCTTACGTTTGAGCGCGCCACAGTGCAACTGAGTATTCCTGGTGTAGGTGTTGATGCGGAGAAGAAGCTAAGTGCAGTGCCTGGAGTGGATTACGTGTATATTCATGATCCTGTGCTGCGAGATTACGACTTCGATCCTACAGGTAGAAATGTGATGGTAAGGGCTTCGCCGCATGATTTGACTGCGCCGAATGCATCGCCTTCGTTTCTGGGTAAACGCCAGCGCTGGATCGAGGGGAAAAGTAGAGCCACGTTTGTTGTGGATTCTTCTATCCATGAAAACGCGCGCGTTACCGCAGGCTTAGCCGTGTTTAAAGATGAGCATCGTTTCTTTTCTGTTTCTTATAGCCCCGCTCAATCGTCGCCGCAACTTACCCTCCGCGTCTTGAATACAGCCAAGAAGATAGATCAAAGCCACACTTTCGATTTGCCGATTCGACCCGAGTCTTTGGAATTCATTGTCGAATATACTGAGATGCAGTATGAGATCTCATACAAACTAGATGCTGTGGGAGAGAGCAGCAAAGTAGCGAGTGTAGATGCGAAGGATCTTAGTGGCAAAGACTTTGTAGGGCCCATTTTCGGGGTTTTCGCCATTGGATACAAAAAGACAGAGATAAAGTTTGAGTGGTTCGAGGTAGATTCCGCATGATGCTGGGATGCGAACGAGTCACATGTATGGTTTTGTGGCATTGAGAGAATACAAAATACGAGGATTGACTTGGCAGATGGAGATGTCGTGACTCATGATCTTTTGGTATTGCGTATTATCTTCTACTTCATCTTGACAAGTTGCGTCTGCCGTGGCCAAAACTTGCACTATTCTTCTTCTTCTTTTTGGACGGGGCTCGTTCCCTGTGTCTGCATCACTCCAAAGCTGCAGAAAAACTGGCAGCCCGGTGTGCTGGGTATATTTTCTCATAGGCGGACGATGTGGGTATAATGATGAGAAAGGCGATTGCAGAGGCTTGGATTTTAAGATGTGATGACAATAATCTTGCTTTCATCTGTGCCGGGAATCTTGAGGCGAATCCTTGTTCAATCCCGCGTAATGGTAAAGTCTTTGGACACCTTGATGGCGTCAAACGGCATGGGATCTGCCGTGAGCTTCCTCTCTGAACTCGCATCATCGCCGGTGACGGTGGCATTGACGGTATCCTTGTCATGCTTCAAGTCATTAGCCTCTGTACTACTCTCATCTTGCACGTGGAGTTATGAAAATGCAGTTCAACTTACCAGCTCCATCCACTGTGTATAGTGGCCCGGTCGCTGTTGTTGCGACCCACCCAGCCCTCCAGTGGTTGATCTCTTAGGCCCACTCTTGAGACCACTACTGCTCATCGAGGAGCTCTTGTAATGTGAGCGCCATCGCAGATAGAAGGGCCGTAGCGTGGGAATATTGATACACAGACTAGCCAGCATCAACTCGACAGTGCATAACATGAATGTAGTGCCTGAAGTTCCCGTGAGGTTGCCAATGAGATCTAGAATCTGTCAGTACGCTATAGTGCTAGTGAAAAAACATAATCTCAGCTTACCGATTGTGTAAATGAGCACAAAGCGAGCAATTCCGATGAATACGCAAGCCAACCCCAGCCCAAAACAAGCCAATACAGCAAACTTCTCAGTCTTTCGCATCTGCAGCTGCCAAACAGCCCGGATTGGTAGAGCTACAATCATGAGATCTGTTATCATGTTTGTTATAATCAGAAACTTGAGCAAAAGTATCTGGTCCAAGCAGTGTCCAACTCGTTTTACAGTCCATTGCTGGGAAATGGGGTCGCATAGGAACAAGAAGACGAAGTTGAAGATGATGGCCCAGGCTACTACGATACCTCCAACGATGTATACCGCAATGCGAAGTTGGAGCGCGAACACACGGTGGTATAGAGCAAGTTGAGAAAGCTTGAGAGCGGCCAAGCACCAAATGTATATCAAAGTGTAGGCGAAGGTCAACTGCATGATATGTGGAAGGTTGTTCATAACTGTATTTCAGGATTAGCTAATGTATCTAAATGTTTATGTCGCATTCAACTCACGCTTGGGAAACATTTCTGCGTTATTTGGGTCAAAATCATAGCCCACACCACTGGTAAAGACTAGATAGTATGTCAGTCATACTGTCGATGCCTGTTGAACAAGAAGTTTTTACCTTCAGCATTGAGACCGATTGTACTTGTTGTCAGAACCTTGGGTCAAGTCAGCCGAGGCTCTAATAGCCATTACAGACCTGCAGCATACCATTGCGATACCCGCAAAGATGTCATCCAGTGACAATCCAGGTCCTTTTACACGCCCATAGATACGGAAAACGACTGTCGATGCAGCGAGTAACCACAAACACGACATTGCTATCATCGAGTCGCGGCCGCTCCTCGCCATCGGTATCTCGATCACTTCTGTCATCTTGTCCGGTGGCCGTGACGCACAGATCTGATAGAGTCGTGTCACAAGTGAGCAGCAATACTAAACAAGACGCCGGATAAATCGAGTGGAGCCCGTGATAGTGGACTGAACGGACAAAAAAGCGGCGAACGAAAGGAACAATATGATGGGGGCACTGGCATAGTGTTAAAAACCTGATCCATGTTGTCGTCTCCTGTCGTCTCTAGAAGGATTCGGAACATGACAACACGGACCGGCAACGCGAAGGAAGCAACGGGCCGATAGCGTTCCCTCACCTGTCAAGGTTAATAGTGGGTATATCGCGTAAAATCGTTGCCACTATTGTCGACAGGAGAACGGGATGATTGCCGTTCAGTTGCTTTCCGGCCATCCGCAACCGAACAAGCGCAGTCGCGTGCAGCGAATGCATTGGCGATCTCAGTCCGAGCGAAGTAGAGCCGCCTATCTCGGTTCGTTGCACGATGTCAGAGTACGAGGCCAAGTCAGGCCAAGTCCATGTGAGTGACTCGAAGTAGACAACACGAGGCTACTCACAATGCTGAAACCCTCTACGGAGGAGCGCGTCAAAAGTCTTCGCGACAGGGGTAGGCAGCGCACTGACGCACCGCAGGTCTTGGCATTTGGTGTTTCGACGTGGCCTTCCTGGAGCCCCTCATATTCATTGTTTTTCAGTGATTCTCAATCAGATTAGCTCAATATGGCTCCTAATCATGATATCGCTACTCGTGCACTTGTTGTTACTCTTAAATCCGTTGCAGGAAAGTCAAATAGTGAGGTCTGTTACCTTACAGGCCTTCCTGAGTCTACTGTTCGAAGTATATATGCCAAAGCTATCAAGAGAGGATTTGAATACAACGCCTCACAACCTATTACTATCTGCAACGCTCACCTTGAAGATGCTCCTCGCTCGGGACGCCCTACTAAAGAAACCAAGGCTGTACGTCAATCTATTACCCAGAAACTCGTACGCGATCGATATGGAAGAGAGAAGAGCTGTGCTGATCTCGCTGGCGAACTTAGTCAAGAGGGAGTCAATATCTCTGCTACAACAGTGCGCCAGATACTCAAGAAGGCAGGCTACAAGAAGACGAAGCCGACGAGGAAGCCTGGGTTGACCAAGAAGATGAGG